CAACTATTAGGCTAAAGTTCTGTGAAGATTGCCAAAGGAGGGAGTCAGGCTGTGCCCTGGCCAAAGGCCTGGTGGAATAGCTCTGTCTTGCAGGCCCTGCGGAAAGATGTCAAGTCCCGCAAGGTCCTAATCTCTTGTGGCAGAGCGTTCCACCAGATTGGAGCCACAGCCGAAAAAGCCCTGGCTCTGGTTGAGGCCAGCCTAACCTCTCTGTGGCCTGGGATCTTCAGGATGTTTTTGTTTGAAGACCGTAAGTTCCTCTGTGGGACATACCAGGAGAGGCGGTCCCGTAGGTACGAGGGTCCTAGGCCATATAGGGCTTTGAACCAGCACCTTAAACCTGATCCTGTACTCCACCGGGAGCCAGTGCAGCTGGTATAGCACCGGGTGAATGTGATCTCGCAGCGAAGACCCCGTAAGGAGTCTCGCTGCAGCATTCTGCACCCGCTGGAGTTTCTGGGTCAGTCTCAAGGGCAGCCCCACGTAGAGCGAGTTACAATAATCCAGTCTGGAGGTGACCGTCGCGTGGATCACTGTGGCTAGGTCAGGGCGAGAGAGGTAAGGAGCCAACTGCTTAGCTTGGCGGAGATGGAAACATGCCGCCTTTGTTATAGCTGCAATCTGCGCCTCCATGGAAAGGGAGGTGTCGAAGATGACACCCAAACTCTTAACGGACGGTGCTGGCACTAATTGCACCCCCGCAAGAGATGGGAGTTGCCCCCCCCCCCAATCCCATATCGTCCCTTCCCAGCCAGAGGACCTCTGTCTTCGAAGGATTTAACTTCGAATCCATGATGGAGCCTTCAAAGTCAGGAACAGTCTATAGATTACACAAGTAATCTAGCATGGGGTGGTTTTCCCCCCTCAGTCTTCTGCCCCAAACCATTATTGTCACTCTGATCACAGGACACCGCGTCTGAAATCCGGCGATCAGATTCCTTCTCCTTGTTTTCAAAGCCCCCTGGCTCAACATGACCCTTTTATAATCCCTATTAGACAGGGATTTGTTGACATCCATGCGCAAAAACTCGCTAACCGTTAGCCATGGTGGCCGCAACCAGTGGCCGCAGAAGTCCAACAAACGGTCTATCGCTCCGGCCGGTTCCCAATTGATCCCTGCTCTGCACCCTCCCTTGTTGAATTGTGGATTGTAAGCTCCTGAGGGCAGAGTCCTTTTTGTACTCTGAAATGCTCTCGTGCCCAATGATCTCCTTTCTCAATTCAGGTTGCAAGAAAGGCGACTAAATGACAGGAAGACCTTTCACTCAACGTGACTAAATGACAGGAATGGGTTTTTAAACTAAATGAATATTTAATTTCGGCAAAATCAACTGCTATAATCAGAAATCAGTCGAATCAAAAACGTAAAAAGGAGTGGAAATGTTTTGATGAATATATGGCAAAATATTGCTTTAAAAAAGATACGCTAATATGCCTAGATTAAAATGTGAAGTGACGGATGGAAGAAAAATTAGTAAGGAAAGATTACTAAGGAAAAATTAGTAAGGAAAGAATATATAGATGATTTGAGAAGATTGTAGAATGCAAAGATTATTGTAAATTGTATAGTGTGGAGGAAATCGAGGGGGTGGAGGGAAGTGGGAGGAAGGAGAAAAGAATAATATGATGGATGGGGGGATGGGGAGGAAATAGTGTTGGCTTTGGTATTGTAATGCAATATGTGAAAACCAATTTTTAAAAAATCAGCACTTAAAATAAAAAGGGAACACCTGGAAGACTTTTTCTGCCAGTTAAAAGCAGCTGGGCAGTGGAGCAAATGGTCCTGGGAGGTTTTTAAGCAGAAGTTGTCTGCCCATCTGTCATGGATGGTCTAGTTGAGATTCCTGCATTGCAGGGGTTGGACTAGATGACCCTGGGTGTCCCAACTCTGTGCAACCATAATATTGGGCTGCATGGTGTGCCTTTTTTGCAAGTTGCATCCTGGGCCAAACGAGCTTAGTCGTGATGCATCAGGGGGTCTGCGGGTGCGATGGGAAGAGGGGTATTATTAATTATTATTATTATTTATTATTATTAGCATTTCCTTAACAATAGATAAGTCCCCCCCCAATTGTTTCATTGAAGCGTGTGGGAAGCGTTGGAGAAAACCTCGATTATCCTTGTTTGCATCTCGGGAGGGTGGGGGGCGTTTGCATTTTGCAAAAAATCAACATCAAGGCTACGGGAGCAGTGGAATTAAAAAAAACCATGAAATAAAAATTTAAAAATCTGCTGCGTTGGCCGGGAATCGAACCCGGGTCAACTGCTTGGAAGGCAGCTATGCTCACCACTATACCACCAACGCTTGTTGGGATTAAGGAGGCTGCCGGGAGCCAGAAATGGAAGGATCGCCTGTGGTTTTCCTTTCTTTCCTTTTTTTCCTTTTGCAGAAGAGGAAAAGAATGCGATGGGGGTGGAGGGAGGAGGAGCCAGCCAGGAAAACAGCGAGCTGCCTTTTCCCCCCTCCAAGCCTGGGAAGCGCCGCCGACTCAGCAAAACTCTGCGAAAAACATCTGGCAGCGGTGGGATTCGAACCCACGTCCCCGGAGAGACTGGAGCCTAAATCCAGCGCCTTAGACCGCTCGGCCACGCTACCTTAAGTGGTGGGTGGGGGGAGGGCAAAGGGAGACGAAACCACAAAAGCGGTTTTGAAAAAAAAGGAGAAGATGCACCTATGCACGTGGGAACACGCCGACACGTGTTGACCCCAGATGCCCCCGTTCTTTCCAGACAGGGATGCCGTGCGAGGAAAGCGGACTCACTTCCTTCTGGTTTGCACGCTGAGCAAAGGAGAAGCTGCGGGGTTTTTTGTTAAATAACCATTTGCAACATCCGGAGCAAAAGACATTTTTTTTGCAAGCTCCCTTTGCACGGGATGTCTCCGTCTTTTTGCTGGAGTCGGCGGGCAGAAGTGAAAGCAAGAAATTGCCTGCTTTATTTTATTTTATTTTGCCCCTTTTCAAGCTGGGATCTCTCTCCTGGGTTGATGGTCGTCTGAATGGAGCCGCGGGGTGACCCGGGTTCGGTTCGTGCTAGCGCAGGAATTGTGCATTTTTTAAAAAAAATCCGAAATAAAAGCATTTAAAAAAAATGAATTAATTTTTTCCACGTTGTCCGCTCCCAGAGAAAGATTCAACCGAGAAGTAGGATAATTTGTAACATTTGCAACTCCAAATCCTCACTTCGCAGGATGTATAGGAAAGTGACGTAATCGGGTTCCGATCACGACATTTCATTCCCCTCTGACATCACTGTTGACAACCTCCCCTCCATGCAACACGTGTGTGTGTGTACACACGTGGCAACACTTCCCGCATGGGACGGACTGTATTCCTCGAAAGCTATTGCCACCACTAAGCGGTTCCGCCTTCAAGGTGTTACAAGACTCCTCGCTGTTTCCGATGTGACCCGTGCTTTATTCCGCGACGTTCACACGCCCACAGCTAACACGTGTCGACGCCTCAACCTCAAACCCATAGGGGGTGAAAAGGTGGAACGGGGAAAGGCTTGATCGTTGATTCCCAAGTCCTGTGAGATCACACGCTTGGGCAAAAACTCCGGGTTTCTTTAATTGACGTCCCACCCCGGCCGCTAAAAAACCCCCAAACCCGTAACGTGTGAATCTACATCCTTGCAAACCACCCCCAGGCAATCTAAGTACGTGTTGGGTAGAGGTGCGGGAGTTACACACAACCAAGAAGGCGACACTCGCGCCATCTCCTTCTTCGGGACCCGTTAACCTGCGGAACTCCCTGCTGCGTGGTCCCCAGCAGTTCATTCCCGCCCGCCAGCTTCGGCTATCCAGAAGCTGCCAAGCTCTATAATGGATTGAAAAAAAATGGATTATAAAGAAACCAGAGGCCTTTCTTCTTGGAATAACAGGTTTGGAATTGCCCAAGAAAGATGTTCAATTATTTTTGTATGCCACAACTGCTGCCCGTGTTTTGTTAGCTAAAAAGTGGAAAACCCAAGAATTACCAACGGTGGAAGAATGACAGATGAAGATGATGGATTTTTCGGAGCTAGCTGACCTAACCGGAAGAGTCCTGGAAGAGTGGATTAAATTTAATGATTACTTAGTTAAATATGTTAAGTTACATTAACTGAAAACAGCTTGCAGACATTTAATTGGCTTAGGATTTTATTTATGTTCAGTGATGAATTAATATGTGTAATTTCATAATGTGAAGGTCTAAGGATGTTAATGTTTAAGTTAAATTTCTTAAGAACTGTGATTTGGAAAACCGTTAAAAGGACATGCAATGAAATTCAACCAAGGGGAAGCGAGGAAGTCACTTAACAATGTTAATAAGTGTAATTTCCAATAAGTGTTATTTTCAATAAGGTTATGATTTATGTTTGTCTTATGTGTTAGTTTGTTTATAATGTGAAAACCAATAAAAACTTTTTTTGCGGAAAAAAGACGGCGACACTCGCGTGCGCGCTCTCCTTCTTCGGGACGCGTTAACCTGCGGAACTCCCTGCTGCGTGGTCCCCAGCAGATCAATCCAGCCCGGCAGCTTCGGCTATCCAAAAGCTGCCAAGCTGGGTGGGGAAAGCAGCCAGGCAAGCAGTCCATAGTTCTCCACCAGCACCGGTCCCTGGGCCTCGTCTCCATTCCCTAAGATAGACTGCCACCGAAGCTGGAGGCTCTACTTTGCGCGCTTGGAGCAGTAGGCGGCGGCCGCGGCTTCCTGTGCCGGCGCCCCCGGCCGGGCCTGCTCCGCCCTCGGCGCGCCGCAGCTCCGGCGGGCGTTTCCTGTCCGGATGCTGCTGTTTTGGTGCTGCTGCTCCGCCTCGGCCTCTCGCCGCCGGGGCTGCTGCTGGCAGGCGGCCGAGCGCGGCCTCCCCTCGACGGCCTTGCTGTTGCTGCAGCCGCCGCCGCCGCCTCCTGCTCGTCCTCCGGCGCCGCCTCTCCGCGCCCGGTCGCTTCCGCGCTTGCAATCGCCGTTCGCCGTCGCCGCCGCCGCCGGCCTGGTCCGCCCTCTCCTGCCCCGGCCATGGGGAGGCGCCGCCGGGCCCGGGAGCCGCCCGCCCGCCTGGTGCTGCTGGCGCTGGCGCTGGCCTCCGGCTCGGCGTTGCTGCTGGCCTCGCTCAGCCTCCTGCTGGCCGCCTGGCCCCGATCCAGCGCCCGCGCCGCCCAGCAAGAAGCGCCGCCCGCCGCCGCCGCCGCGGTGCCACAGGTGAGGGGCGCACGGCCAGCGCGCCAGGTTCCAGCCGCGCGTAATGCCAGCGAGGCGCACGGAAAGGTCCTTGGGGAGGAGGAGGGGGGACCCAACTCGGGGCCCCCCAGATCGCAGAGTTGCAGAGAGATTCGCACCGAGGGCGGCGAGGCGGACGGGCGGGGAGTAGCGGGGGGGAAGGCACCTTTAGGTGCAGCCAGCAGCACCCCTAAGGCGCACCCAGGGCTGGGCGAAAGCAGCGCAGGGCGTGCGTCCGGGAGGGCTGAGGAATGCGCTCCGCTGTGCGCACTTTAAGTCGGCGATAATCCGGCCACCTGCTGTGAACGCAGGAGACCCGAGGCAGAGGGGAGGGGCGCCTGCCTTGCAAGATGCATATCTGCCAACAACACACACACACACGTGTGACACTTTGGAGGTGAGCAGATTTATGGTTGCAGGAATTAATCAAAGAGTGATTCTGAAAAAGGCATTGCAGAGGGTTGAGCTGGATGCTCTTTGGAAGTCCCTTCCAGCTCTACAGTCCTGTATATAAATAAATGGAAGGGAGGAGGGAGATTGTAAACAGTGAGGCCAAGAGGCCAGCCCAGGCAAGAGCTCAAAGGCAAACCTCAAATATGCCCAAGATAAGCGTTTGACAGCGAGCGATAAGGCACAACCTTCTTAGCTTTGCTCTGCTATTTCCAATCCTGTCGTGGGAGAGGAAGAAATTAACTCAGTGGGTACCAAACTTTTTGGGGGACCATTGCCCCCCCCCCAACTCTGCAATTCTCAGATTCCAAACAGCAACGATTAATTGCAACCCAATTAAAACTCTTGAACAGCGGTGATTAATTTGACCCAGCGATTCCAGCTTGTGGAAGTCATTTATAACTCTAGTGCCCCACGCCTGCCCCCTTTGCCCCTTGGCAATCCCACTGCCGCCCGCCCGGGTGATGCTGCCGATTTTGGGAGGCCCGGCACTAACTGATTCCTCTGGAAATTGTCAGGAGGCTGCCCGCACCTCCAGGGTCAGAGCAGAAGAATGGGCATAAGATCTAGACCAGCTTCTGCCAAGCAGGCGCCCTCCAGATGGGTTGGGGCTACGACTCCCCTCTGGAGGGCGCCCGGTTGGCAGAGCAGGCTGGTCTGTACCCAGCCAGTAAACAGTGCACAGCTCTGCATTGCTGGGAAACATTCCTAGACCCCTGAGGCAAAGCACACTGTTTGCCGCCTTGCGGGCATGCAACGCTCGACCACAGACCGCCACATGCCTGCCAACCCCTGCTGAGCCCTGGGCTGTGGGAAGCAGCCCAGTAGTTATTATGGTCTGCAGAGTGGGCATAACACTTCCTCCAAGTCCTTTAAATAGCTCTAAGTGGGTCACGTTCCCGCACCTTTCAGAAACCGCTGCACTGCAGGCGGGAATTCAACCGGTGCAGCCTCTCCTCAGCATGCTGGTGCTTTGGGGAGAGACACCGGGCAAAAGCAGGGGACCCCATTTAACATACCATGTTTGAAACAACAGATGCGTTTACTTAGAGAGGCAGGGTGGGGTAGTGGTTAGAGTACTGGACTAGGGCCTGGGAGAGACCAGCGTTCCAGATGCGAATCTTGACGCCTCCCATTCCTCTTTCCCTGTGCAAATGGCTCTGTTTTAATGCTGCCTTTCTCACTGCTGTGAGGCTGCAGATAAATCCTGAGGCCGCCCCAGCTGCCGGGCGCGAGGATGGGGTCGGATTCGGGTGGGGAGAGGTCACCCGAGAGATATCTCCCCGGCCCCAGCCTGCCTTTCAGGTGGGGAAAGCGGAGAGCCTTCACAGCTTGGCCAAGCCCACCCAAGTGACTCAGTCGTTGGCCCGAGATTCGAACCTGGATCTTGCCAGAACTGCGTGCTCTGAAAGCCTCTGCTTTTTCTCTGAGTGGATCTCTTCGAGGCAGCCTGGATCCTTTGACGACCTTGTGCCCTCCAGATGGTTCTGCCATGTACTAGTAATAAAACAGTCAGGCTGGGTTGGAGCAGCGGTTTTGTGGAAATGGTCCCTTTTGTTTGGAGCCGAAACCCCCAAACGAGTGGGGTGTGACGTGTGGTTCAGAGGTGAAGCCTCTAGTGCACCTTTTTCCCACCCCACCCGCTGGACCCACACGCCCAACAGCTGGGCTGGCCCCCCTGAGGCTGGAGGCCGGCCTGTCCTGGCTGCCTCTCCGTAGCAACCTCCCAATCGCTCCCTTCCCAGGCCTTTGCAAATAAAAACAAAAAGCCATCGCTGAGTGCTCCCATCTGTTAGATTCGAACGAGGCCCAGCAGAGTCCTCGAAAACGCAGAGGCCGTGCTGAAGCCCCAGGACTTCTTTGTAGTCCTCCCACCTGTCTGCACATGCAAATAGCCTGGCTACAGGATCAGACCCATCTGGTCCAGCACCCTGCTCTCACAGCGGCCAGCCAGTTGCCCATTGTGGGAAACCTTCAGGATTCGAACTCTCTTCCCTCCTGTGGTTTCCAGCAACTAGTATGCAAAACAATTGCTGCCTTCCACGGTGGGTCCCAGAAGCCCCCCAACCCAGCCCATAGCCTTCCCCTCCTCCATGAATTTGCCCGATCCTCTTTTTAAATCCATCCAAATTGCAAGAAAAGAGATTTCAGCGAAACATCGGGAAGAATTTTCTGACAGCAAGAGCCATTTGATGGAGGGATGGATTCCCTTGCAATGTGGCGAGTTCTCTCCTTCCTTGGCGGTTTTTAAGCAGAGGTTGGGTGGCCATCTGTTATGGATGCTTTTGTTGAGATTCCTGGACTTGTAATAAACGAAAATCTGCCCTTATTCCCTTATGGGGGACACAAGAGCCCTTACAGAATCCTTTGCAGGTTCTCCATCGGTCGGAGAAAAGAACAGAGGCCAACCAGAGAATATTGAGGAGCAAAGCAGCTTGTAAGCCTGATCTTTATTGAACTGTTGCAACAGGGTGCCCCCTTCACACGCAGGAGAAGGAGGGAGACCCCAAACCAAGGTGTGCCCGCCCTTATATAGACATTTTAAATTGCCCGCCTTGGTGTCCAAGACCACCTCCAGACACATCATACCTACATCACAGAAAGGGCGGTCTACAACAGAAATCTGAGTGAGTTGTTTACCTCCTGTCTGGCAAGTTACCTGTTAATGCTTACTTGATTGGATACCCTGGGGAGCCTGACCAGTGTTTTGTAATGATAAATACTTAGTTCCTGAGCCAGGTCACAGGCTTACCCTATTCATACACAGACATACCCTTAAGACAGGATTTGTGAAGGAAAAGACAATGGGGAGGCTTTTCAATTTTCCCTGACCTTGCAGAGAAATCATTTGGTCAGTTTGGAAGTCAAAATGGTTTCCAGGCTGTTTTCCTGTGCTGCTTCAGACATGTGGTTTATATATTTATGTACGTGTTTGCTTGGTACATTTATTATATATATAAGACCTTAATTTTTATATTTCAGACTAGATGACCCTCGGGGTCCCTTTCCAACTCTCCGATTCTCCCGATTCTAAGTTGGTGGCCATCCCTGCCTCTTGGAATCCCAATAGTTTAACTGTCCTGATGATAAAATGTTTTCTCTTCTGTATGCTTGATGGCAAACGAGAGAGAGCTTCTGAGCATGCGCAGAGTTGTTTTACTTTAAAATAGAGCAATTGCGTCTTGCTCATCCTCCGCCCATGAGATGAGGACGGACGGACGGACATTCTTCTCCAGGTCAAAGGTCACATCCTACGAAGCTTCATCTGGGAGTACTTTGCAAGAATGACCTCCTCAGTTAATGCAGTTGACTGGTTCTTTGGAAACTTTTCTTTTTTCTAATGGGATGAAGATGAATCTACATTCTGAAAATTACAGTAAGAGACAGGTTTGCGTGGATGCGATAAGAAAACATACATTTCGCACAGTGCTTGTCTTTTCTGTGTTTTTTTTTTCTAGCCATACTGGAGCAGAAATGTTTTAATTGACTGATGAAGGATGCTGCTGCTTTTTGTCCTGAGATTCCCTCGGGCAAATCGTGGCATTGGCACTTGCAAGGGTACCTCTGAGCATGCTCTGAGTGCTGAGTGGCGACAGGTGTGGGCTGTGCACAACCCCGCTTCAGAAATTTGGAGTGCCGCCAAAGCTAGCCCTACTCAGAGTAAAATTAACAGGCCTTCCTGAGTTGCTGTTGTTGTTTAGCTGTTTAGTTGTGTCCGCCTCTTCGTGACCCCCTGGACCAGAGCACGCCAGGCCCTCCTGTCTTCCACTGCCTCCCGCAATTTGGTCAAACTCATGCTGGTAGCTTCAAGAACACCGTCCAATCATGTCGTCCTCCATCGTCCCCTTCTCCTTGTGCCCTCCATCTTTCCCAACATCAGGGTCTTTTCCAGGGAGTCTTCTCTTCTCATGAGGTGGCCAAAGTCTTGGAGCCTCAGCTTCAGGATCTGTCCTTCCAGTGAGCACTGAGGGCTGATTTCCTTCAGAATGGAGAGGTTTGATCTTCTTGCAGTCCATGGGACTCTCAAGAGTCTCTTCCAGCACCAGAATTCAAAAGCATCCATTCTTCGGCGATCAGCCTTCTTTATGGTCCAGCTCTCACTTCCATACATCACTACTAGGAAAACCATAGCTTTAACTATACGGACTTTTGTCGGCAAAGTGATGTCTGCTTTTTAAGATGCTGTCTAGGTTTGTCATCGCTTTTCTCCCAAGGAGCAGGCGTCTTTTAATTTCGTGGCTGCTGTCACCATCTGCAGTGATCATGGAGCTGTAGAAAGTAAAATCTCTCACTGCCTCCATTTCTTCCCCTTCTATTTGCCAGGAGGTGATGGGCCCAGAGGCCATGATCTTCGTTTTTTTGATGTTGAGCTTCAGACCATATTTTGCGCTCTCCTTTGTCACCCTCATTAAGAGGTTCTTTAATTCCTCCTCACTTTCTGCCATCAAGGTTGCGTCATCTGCACATCTGAGGTTGTTGATATTTCTTCCGGCAATCTTAATTCCGGCTTGGGATTCGTCCAGCCCAGCCTTTCGCATGATGAATTCTGCATATAAGTTAAATAAGCAGGGAGACAATATACAGCCTTGCCGTACTCCTTTCCCAATTTTGAACCAGTCAGTTGTTCCATTTCTAGCTTCTTGTCCCACATAGAGATTTCTCAGGAGACAAGTGAAGTGATCAGGCACTCCCATTTCTTTAAATTTGAGCGTGTCTGTTCTGCAGACTCGACAGCGCTGAGCTCAATATCAGATGGTTTCCTATGTTCCTGAAACGGTGACTGGCCGTTCTCACACCTCCTCTCTCCCAAATGTACTCCCCACCCTGTTATTTCCCCCCTTCCTGATGTTCCCCTTGACAGCAGAGAGGAGGATCAGAAATGCAACTTTTAAGAAAGGCGTTAGCAGCCGGGATGTTGGGAGAGATGTGTTTTCTGGGTTTCCGGGGCAACCATCTCCAGGCTGAACTCCCTGCTCTCCAAAAAAAAATTACATCTCAGGGCTGCATTTTTGAACCCTTCCCAAAACCGTCCTCTCCCACAGGTACGGAGCACTAAATCAGCCTGGAACTTTGCATCGCTATCTTCTTAACATCCCTGAGTTAAATCTGCAGGTTTATATATTGAAATAAAAAAAAATTAATGTTCAGAAATGTACCAAAAAAGCACGTGCATAGATACGGGGACCACATGTCTGGATCAGCACAGGAAAACAGCCCTGAAACCATTTTGACTCCCAAACTGACCAAATGTTTTCTCTGCAAGGAGGGAGGGGGTGAGGGAACCTTCCCATTGTCTCAGGAATTGGGTAATCACCATCTCAAAGGAATGGGCAGACTACCAGGAAAGGCAATCAGATGGGGCATTATCAGATAACCTGGCAGATAGGAAAAACAATGACACTCAAATTTCTGTTGTAGACCACCTTTTCTGTGATGCAGGTATGATGTTTGTGGGGGGTGGTCTTGGGTTACACCCCTTCTGTGATGTATGTATGATGTATGGAGGGGTGGTCTTGGACTCCAGGGCGGGCAATTTAAAATGTCTATATAAGGGCGGACACACATTGGTTCTGGGTCCTCCTTCATTCCTGCGTGTGAGGGGAGCACCCTGTTGCAACAGATCAATAAAGATCAGGCTTACAAGCTGCTGCTTTTCTTCTCAATATTCTCTGGTTGGCCTCTGTTATTTTCTCTGATCGATGGAGAACCTACAAAGGACTCTGTATATATGACCTTAAATTTTTTATTTCACTTTTCTTTCCCTTTGGTCCTCAGGAGCTGCTGTCTGAGGATGACGCCGAAGAGCTGGACCCGGTATGTGGCTCTCTCTCCCAGGGGTCTGACCCGGTTGAACTGCTGCCTGCACGAGGGGTGTATGTTTTTCCATTTCGTCGCGTGTTTTGGAACAGCTCTGGAGCAGGGATTCCAGAAAACCCCTTCTCCTCTGCAGCGGTTTCTGCAAGGAAAACAGATTGTCTAAGGCAATGGGGAGGAACCAGTAGCCCTCTCTGGATGTTTTCTGGAAAAGACTCCAGCTCCTATCACCCTCCACCATGGGCCATGCCAGCTGGGGATGATGGGAACTGAAGTCCAAGAATATCTGGGGGTCCCTGGTACAAGGGAACAGAGCCTGGCTGGGTCAGACCATGGTCCCACTTAGTCCAGCACCCTGTTCTCACAGCGGCCACCCGGGAAACCCACCAGCAGGATCCGAGCCGAAGAGCCCTCTCCCCTCTTGCAATTCCCAGAAATTGGTATTCAGAGAAATAATAATAATAGTAATTATAATAATGCTGCCGTTCCAATAAAAACACAAGAGAACGTCAAACATAAATACCGTATTTTTTGCACCATAACACTCACTTTTTTCCTCCTAGAAAGTAAGGGGAAATGTCTGTGCGTGTTATGGAGGAAATGCCTACGGGTGGCATGCCTACGGATTTTCCTCCTCTATAAACTACGTGCGTGTTATGGTCGGGTGCGTGTTATAGAGCGAAAAATACGGTACTTAAAGTCTCTGACCTTGGAGGCAGAGAACAGCCATCCTGGCTAGTAATAATAATAATAATAATAATAAATTATTTATACTCCGCCCTTCTCGGTTAAGGAAACCAGGCTCAGGGCGGCTAACAACAAATTTAAAACACTTAACTGATGTTACAAAAAAACCAGCATAAAATACAGTATAAAGCGTAAATAACAATAAAATAAAAAATCAATTTAGTAGCTCTTTCCTCCGCCGTGAATTTATTTAAACCTCTTTTTGCTGCCTCAAGTGGCAGGGAGTTCCATAGTTCAGCTACGCCTGAATCTTTCAACGTTCAGTCTTGTTGGGTGTTCACGAATTCTCGCGTAATGGGAGAGGGGGGAAAGTATTCCTCTATCCCGTTTCTGCGTTTTATAAACTCCTGTTGTGTCTCCTTTTCCTTGCCTTTTCCGCAAGCTGAAAATGCCCAAACTCTGTAACCTTTATTTGTGGGACAGCTGCTCCAACCCCATGGTCACCCTTTCCCTTCCCCTCTCCCAACTCTACAATAGCAGGTGGATGGATGGATTGCGCTGGGGTGGGGGTGCTGATTTTGGAAAAGAAAACGTTTGATCCAAATATTACCTGGTAATGGGACAGCAGGCTGATGCCTCAGGTGAGCCTGGCACTGCCATCCTTTAGGGATTTGCTTTTTACAGAGAACCCAGATGCAGTGGTACCTTGGTTCTCAAACTTCATCCGTTCCAAAACCAAAGCGTTCCAAAACCAAGGCACGCTTTCCCATAGAAAGTAACGCAAAACGGATTAATCCGCTCCAGACTTTTAAAAACAACCCCTAAGACAGCAATTTAACATGAATTTTACTATCTAACGAGACCATCAATCCATAAAATGAAAGCAATAATCAATGTACTGTACTATGAAATAAATAAGACAGTATTGTAGGTGATAAATATTTAAATAATTTTGTTCCCCTTACCTGCACTGATGGTGGTCCTTGTTTGGATGGGGGGCTTTTATCCATTTCCACAGTCACATAACCAGTCAATCAGTAGCTGAACTGGGTTCCACACAGTCACAAAAAACTAATTAACCGGAAAAAACCTCAAAAACGCAAAATAAATAGCAAAACCAAAAGTGCCAAACTTAATCCGTTCTGAAAGTCCGTTTGACTTTCGAACTGTTTGAAAACCAAGGTGCGGCTTCTGATTGGTGCAGGCGCCCCGGAAATGATAGCCAGTTTGAAAACCGGAACACTTAATTCTGGGTTTTTGGAGTTTGAGAACCAAAGCTTTTGAGAACCAAGGTACCTGCAATTTTGCCTGCCCTCTGTGTCTTGCATTGTTCCTCTCTCCCTCTAGGTGGTGCTGTCTACCGGCTGGAGCAGCCAAGGCAAGTTCCTGCACCATTTTGCCCAGCAGGGGGCGCTGCGGCAAAGGAGGCAGGGTGAGTGTCTCCCTCAATGGAGTGGACGGGGAGGGGAGCAGGCGAGGCACCTGATAGGTCAGGGAATGTGGGAGTTGTACAGGTGAAACTCGAAAAATTAGAATATTGTGGAAAAGTTCGTTTATTTCAGTAATTCAACTTAAAAGGCGAAACTAATATATGAGATAGACTCGTGACATGCAAAGCGAGATATGTCAAGCCTTTATTTGTTATAATTGTGATGATCATGGCACACAGCTGATGAAAACCCCAAATTAACAATCTCAGAAAATTAGAATGTTAAATGAAATCAGCAAAACAAGGACTGCAAATAGAGCGATATTGGACCTCTGAGAAGTAGAAGCATGCACATGTACTCAGTACTTGGTTTGGGCCCTTTTGCATCAATTACTGCCTCAATGCGGCGTGGCATGGATGCTATCAGCCTGTGGCACTGCTGAGGTGTTATAGGAGACCAGGATGCTTCCATAGCAGCCTCCAGCTCTTCTGCATTGCTCGGTCTCATGTCTCTCATCTTTCTCTTGGCAGTGCCCCATAGATTCTCTATGGGGTTCAGGTCAGGTGAGTTTGCTGGCCAATCAAGCACAGTAATCCCATGGGCATTGAACCAGGTTTTGGTACTTTTGGCACTGTGGGCAGGTGACAAAGTCCTGCTGGAAAATGAAATCAGCATCCCCATAAAGCTCGTCTGCGGAAGGAAGCATGAAGTGCTCCAAAATCTCTTGGTGGACGGCTGTGTTGACCCTGGACTTAACGGAGCACAGTGGACCAACACCAGCTGATGACATGGCTCCCCAAATCTCTTTTCTGATGAGAGCAGCTTTTGCATCTCACTTGGAAACCAAGGACCCAGAGTCTGGAGGAAGAACGGGGAGACACACAATGCCAGATGCTTGAAGTCCAGTGTGAAGTTTCCCCAGTCTGTGTTGATTTGGGGATGTTTCGCACTGCAACTCCCAGCCGCCCCCAGCTAGCACCGCCGTGCAGTGACGATGGGAGTTGTAGTCCGACGTGGCTGGGCATCTGGGGCTGGAGGGTGTTCTGGTGCAAAGCCTTCACATCCCAGGAACGGCTTCAGCAGGCCAACGAAACCAGGCGAGGGTCGGCAACGGGTCTCAAACTGGACTTCTGAAACAGCACCACGCCACTTTAAACAGCCAGGACTCCCCCGCCTCCCCCCAAAGAATCCTGGGAGATGTAGTTTGTTTGTTTCAAATTTTTTTTATTGATTTTCCAAAAATTTTAAACAAACAGACAAACAAACATAAATCTCAACCGTAATTAAACCAATCTTAGTAACATTGTTAAGTGACTTCCTTGCTTCCCCCTAGTTGAATTTCAGTGTATATCATTTTAACAGTTTTCCAAAACCAATTTTCTCATAAAATTAACTTAATCACTTAACATCTTTCTTTCTTTCTAATTTAAACATATTAATTCCTAACATTACATATTTAAATCCTAAGCCTATCAGATAATTGCAAGCTTCTTCAATTAAATTATCTTAACATATTTAACTAAATAGTGTTTAAATTTCATCCATTCCTCCTGGTCCTCCTCCTCCTTCTGGTCGCGGACTCTTCCAGTCAGGTCGGGTAGCTCCGAAAAGTCCATCATCTTCATCCGCCATTCTTCCACTGTTGGAACTTCTTGTGTTTTCCAATTCTTAGCTAACAAAATCCTTGCTGCAGTTGTGGCATACATGGAGATGTAGTTTTTTAAAGTTGCTGAGAGTCATAAGGTGACCCCTGTTCCCCTGCTGAAACTACAGTTTCCAGAGTGGCGTAAAAACCAGTCCCTCTTCACTGGGAACCCTGGGATTCGTAGCTCTCTGAGGGGAACAGGAGGGGTTTCCTAACAACTCCCAGTAAACTACAGCTCCCGGAATCCGCAACTCTCTCCACCATCCTATAACTAGGCGCTGGCTGCAATCGTGCATTCACAGCTGTGCCTTATTGACCTAGCAAGGCTCAATCCAGCTCTAAGGTAAAGGTAAAGGGACCCCTGACCATTAGGTCCAGTCGTGGCCGACTCTGGGGTTGCGGCGCTCATCTCGCTTTATTGGCCGAGGGAGCCGGTGTACAGCTTCCGGGTCATGTGGCCAGCAGGACTAAGCCGCTTCTGGCGAACCAGAGCAGCGCATGGAAACGCCGTTTACCTTCCCGCCGGAGCGGTCCCTATTTATGTACTTGCACTTTGACGTGCTTTTGAACTGCTAGGTTGGCAGGAGCAGGGACTGAGCAACGGGAGCTCACCCCGTCATTGCGGGGATTCGAACCACCGACCTTCCAATTGGCAAGCCCTAGGCTCTGTGGTTTAACCCACAGCGCCACCCACGTCCCCTACCAAGCTCTACCTCTCTTTCAAATCAGAACCAGTGAAGGCGTTGAAGGTCCTGTGTGAGTGTCTGGAGGTACTTAGAGGATGGATGGCGGCTAACAAGTTGAAGTTGAATCCTGACAAGGCAGAAGTACTGTTTTGGGGGGACAGGAGGAGGGCGGTGTGGAGGACTCCCTGGTCCTGAATGGGGCAGCTGTGCCACTGAAGGACCAGGTGCGCAGCCTGGGAGTCATTCTGGACTCACCGCTGTCCATGGAGGTGCAGGTCAGTTCTGTGTCCAGGGCAGCTGTCTGCCAGCTCCATCTGGTACGCAGGATGAGACCCTCCCTTCCCACAAACTGTCTCGCCAGAGTGGTGCATGCTCTGGTTATCTCCCGCTTGGACAGCTGCAATGCGCTCTACGTGGGGCTACCTTTGAAGGTGACCCGGAAACTATAATCCAGAATGCGGCAGCTAAACTGGTGACTGGAAGCGGCCGCCAAGACCACATAACACTGGTCCAGAAAGACCTCCATTGGCTCCCAATATGTTTCCGAGCACAATTCAAAGTGTTGGTGCTGACCTTTAAAGCCCTAAACAGCCTCGGCCCAGTATACCTGAAGGAGCATCTCCACCTCCATCGTTCTGCCCGGACACTGAGCTCCAGCTCCGAGGGCCTTCTGGCGGTTCTCTCGCTGTGAGAAGCCAAGTTACAGGAAACCAGGCAGAGGGCCTTCTTGGTGGTGGCACCCGCCCTGTGGAACTCCCTCCCACCAGATGTCAAAGAGAAGAATAACTACCAAACTTTTAGAAGACATCTGAAGGCAGCCCTGTTTAGGGAAGCTTTTAATGTTTAATAGGTTATTGTATTTTAGTGTTTTGTTGGAAGCCGCCCAGAGTGGCTGGGGAAACCAGTGGGGCAGGGTATAAATAATTTATAATTATTATTATTATTATTATTTCTCCCCATTTCACAGCAGCCAAAGGCAAGCGCTCCCGGCCTCGGAGACCCAGCACTGTCTCAGCTGCGCACTACGAAGGTGAGAGAACATGTGGCACGCTCCCTTGCGCCTTGCGCCCAGATCTGGCCCCACTCAGCTCACCCGTCGGGGGAAGAAAGCAGGGACCCTTCCCACAGCCCCCCCTGCTTTTATTTGGGAGGGACTGCTTTGGTTTTGGGGGGGTCTTCTTTCTCGCCAAACGGTGCTTCTCGTGCCCTCAGGAACCCGCTCACGATCCCTTAGAGAATCCAGGAGTCCTGCCTGACCCCCGTCTTTTATTTTTATTATTTCAGTGCAGCCCACCGAAGGACGAGCTGGGATCCAGGCAGGTAACACTTCTTGGGCTGGGGCTTCTTTAATGGCTGGGTGGGGAGAAGAGGGGAAGGCTTATGAGACCCTGTCCGCACCCTAATAATAATAATGATAATAATAATATTTTTTTATTTATACCCTGCCCTTCCTGGTTCAAAAACTGGGCTCAGGGCGGCTAACAACAAATTTAAAACACTTAATTATAAAAGCAGCATAAAATACAGTATAAAAACATGAATAACAATAAAATTCAAAAATCAGTTAAATAATCCCCAGGGCTAGCTGGCTGAATTGGTCCTACTTGGGCCAGCGAGGAGACAAGGGGAGAATTAGCTGTGGGGTCTCAGAGCAGGTGATCTTCATAAAAGGGGAAGGGGAGGGAAGAGAAGAGAAGAGAAGGGAAATAAAAGATCAGGCTGGATTCGAATTAAAGGCCAGGCGGAATAGCTCTGTCTTACAGGCCCGGCGGAAGGAGGTTAAATCCTGCAGGGCTCTGGTCTCCTGGGACAGAGCATTCCACCAGGTCGGAGCCACCACTGAGAAGGCCCTGGCCCTGGTGGAGGATAGTCTTGACTTCCTTAGGGCCCTCTAAACTATGATTATACATGGACCTTAAGGTCCTCTTTGGGGCAGACCAGGAGAGGCGGTCCCTTAAATACAAGGGCCCTAAGCAGCGTCCAGGCCACTTTAAACAGTCATGGCTTCCTCCAAAGGTTTCTGGGAGCTGTAGTTTGTTAAGGGTGCTGAGAGTTGATAGGAGATCCTGTTCTCCACACAGAGCTATAATTCCCAGGGAAGAGGGATTAACTGCTAAACCTCTCTGATAATTGTATCACAGCGCCTTTGGCAAACTACAACTCCCAGGGTTCTGTGGGGGAAGCCACGGCCGTTCAGAGGGGTATCAAGGCACTTTAAATGTACGGCTGTGAATGTGTGTGTGTGTAGTTTTTTAAATATCCACAAATGTTTTACCGTATTTTTCGCTCCATAAGACGCACCTAGTTTTTAGAGGAGGAAAACAAGAAAAAATATATATTCTGAACGAAACAGTAGATGTATGATTTTTGCGGTTCATTCTGTGGCCACAGACATGTGATCTGATGGTGAATTTGGGGTGACCCAATGCAAAAATCCTGAGGATCCACGTGGATCTGTTCTTATTTTTTATATATGCAGTTGTTAAAAAAGGTAAAGGGACCCCTGACCGTTAGGTCCAGTCGTGGACGACTCTGGGGTTGCAGCACTCATCTTGCTTTACTGGCCGAGGGAGCTGGCATACAGCTTCCGGGTCATGTGGCCAGCAGGACTAAGCCGCTTCTGGCGAACCAGAGCAGCGCACGGAAATGCCGTTTACCTTCCCGCTGGAGTGGTACCTCTTGATCTATTTGCACTTTGACGTGCCTTTGAGCTGCTAGGTTGGCAGGAGCAGGGACCGAGCAACAGGAGCTCAGGAGCTCACCCCATCGCGGGGATTCGAACCGCCGACCTTCTGATTGGCAAGTCCTAGGCTCTGTGGTTTAACCCACAGCGCCACCCATGTCCCTATATGCAGTTGTTACATACATACATATACACGTGTGTGTGTGTGTGTATGGCACCATTCACATAACAAAAGCTACTGTAGATATTTTATCAAAATTTTCAAAATCAGGACCCCGCTGGGTAATCTAACCGGGGTAGCGAGGCAAAGGGGGGCAATTTGGAGAGATGCTTTGCCAGCCACAAACTCCTCAACCGTTTCCTTCTCCCCCCACCCTTCCCCATAGATGCTGACGGGACCATCCGCGGGTGGGTGGAAGCTAAACTCAACACGACCAGCCCCCTCCGTTACGACAGCAGCCGGGGCGAATTCAGAGTGGCCAAGAGGGGCCTATATTACCTGTACTGCCAGGTGAGGGCGTGAAAGGTAATCTGGGGCCACAGAGGGCCCAGGTGGTTTTGGGGTTCTCAGGGGGGAGGAAGCGGAGACTTGTGGGTAAAAAGAGCAAGGCATCCTGGGAAATGATGAACTTTGGTTCTTGGGGGGCGGGGGGAAGAGGGAGAAAGAACATTTCCCAAAGTTGTCAGTATTGATCTCCCCGGGGTTGATGGGCTGCGTAGGGGCAAATAAAGGTCTAGAGGTCAAAAGGGGGTTTACAGGTCTCAGCAATAAAGGGCACGAGCATGTACAGAGTGCCCCTGTCTGGCCAACAAGGACCCTCCGTATCCCATCTCTTTAGGTGAGATTAAAAAAAAAAAACAGCGTCGTCATTCTTTTGACCTTCTTTTTTAAATACAGTGGTGCCTCGCAAGACGAAATTAATCCGTTCCGCGAGAGTCTTCGTCTAGCGGTTTTTTCATCTTGTGAAGCAAGCCCATTGACAGATTAGCGCTATTAGCGCTATCAGCTGTTTAGCGGCTATTAAAGGCTTAAAGGCTTAGGGGATTAGCTGCTAAAAGGCTATTAAAGGCTATTAAAGGCTTAGCAGATTAGATAAAGGGGGGGGGAAAGCGAAAAAAAAATCTCAAGACTCGCAAGACATTTTCGTCTTGCGAAGCAAGCCCATAGGGGAATTCGTCCTGCGAAGCAACTTCAAAACGGAAAACCCTTTCGTCTAGCGGTTTTTCCGTCTTGCGAGGCATTCGTCTTGCGGGGCACCACTGTACACATTTTATTATTGCTAGCTAACGGCGACGGGTGATTAATGTGAATTGTAAATACAGTGGTACCTCGGGTTACAGACGCTTCAGGTTACAGACTCCGCTAACCCAGAAATAGTACCTCGGGTTAAGAACTTTGCTTCAGGATGAGAACAGAAATCGTGCAGCGGCAGCAGGAGGCCCCATTAGCTAAAGTGGTGCTTCAGGTTAAGAACAGTTTCAGGTTAAGAACGGACCTCCGGAATGAATTAAGTACTTAACTCGAGGTACCACTGTACTGACATTTCTTGACTTCTTTCTTGTTGCGAGTTCGCGAGGATTTGGGTTGGGCCGGTGAAAGGTGTAGGTTAAGCCGATCGAGGGGTCAGCTGAACTCAGAGGTTTGGGAAATAACAACAACAACAACGACAACAATTTATTATTTATATCCTGCCTATTTGGCCGAGTTTCCCCAGCCACTCTGGGTGGCTCCCAATTGAGTGTTAAAAACAATACAGCATTAAATTAAAAAAACTTCCCTAAACAGGGCTGCCTTCAGATGTCTTTTAAAGACAAGATAGCTGCTTATTTCCTTGACATCTGCTGGGAGGGTGTTCCACAGGGCGGGTGCCACCACCGAGAAGGCCCACTGCCTGGTTCCCTGTAACCTCACTTCTCGCAGGGAGGGAACCCTCAGAGGGCCCTCAGAGCTGGACCTCAGTGTCCAGGCTGAACGATGGGGGTGGAGACGCTCCTTCAGGTCTACTGGGTCTTTGAGGCCGTTTAGGGCTTTCAAGGTCAGCACCAACACTTTGAATTGTGCTCAGAAACGTACTGGGAGCCAATGTAGGTCTTTCAAGACCGATGTTATGTGGTCTCGGCAGCCGCTCCCAGTCAGCAGTCTAGCTGCCGCATTCTGGATTAGTTGTAGTTTCCGGGTCACCTTCAAAGGTAGCCCCACGTAGAGTGCATTGCAGTAGTCCAAGCGGGAGATAACCAGAGCATGCGCCACTCTGGCAAGGCAGTCCGCGGGCAGGTGGGGTCTCATCCTGCGTACCAGATGGAGCTGGTAAACAGCTGCCCTGGACACAGAACTGACCTGCGCCTCCATGGACAGCAGTGAGTCCAGAATGACTCCCAGGCTGCGCACCTGGTCCTTCAGGGACACAGTTATCCCATTCAGGAGTCCCCCACACCCGCCTCCTGTCCCCCAAGAACAGTACTTCTGTCTTGTCAGGATTCCACCTCAATTTTATCTCCAAGGAGGAGATAACCAGAGCATGCGCCACTCTGGCAAGAGTTCAGGCGGCTGCCTGCGAGGGATTCTTTAGCTGAGATTCCTGCATTGCAGGGGGGTTGGGCTGGATGGCCTTTGGGGTTCCCAGACATTTCTGCGATTCTGAGCTTATTCTCCGTGTCACCCCTTGCCAGGTCCATTTCAACGAAGGGAAGACCATCTACATGAAGCTGGACATCATGTTAGACGGTGAGCTGGCCCTGCGCTGCCTGGAGCAGTTCCCCACCACCAGCTCTGGGCCCCAGGACCCCGAACTTCGCGTCTGCCAGGTCTCCGGCCTGGTCCTGCTCCGGCCCGACGAGTCCATCCGGGTCCGCACCATTGCCAACGTCCGCCTCAAGGCTGACCGTTACCTCACCTACTTCGGTCTCTTCCAAGTCCACTGAGACGAAGGGCGCTGGGGATCCGTCGAGAGGGAGGAGCTGGATGGTGCGCCCTCGCCCTTCGGGGAGCTGGATGTGGGGGTTCAGTCAGGAAGGGGGCAGGAGCCGCTACGGACTCGATTCCTGCGTTGTACGGGGTTGGACTGGATGACCCTCAGGGTCCCTTTCACTTCTACGGTTGTAGGACTCCCTGCGTTCAGTCTTTCGGCCTTCCCGGCTCCCAGATCGGAGCAGCGCCGCCGATTCGTTCCCCCTCTGCTCCCGATCTGGAACTTCCTGTTAAAGACGCCTTGGTCCATTTTTGCGGCGCGGAAAAGCTGATCACCCCGCTGCGGCCAGAAGCCGCCTTGCCACCCGTCCCAGGCTTGGCATCCCGTTGTTGCGAACAGGTGGGCCTCAGCCGTTGCGATTTGTGATTCCTGCGTCACATTGCCGGGGTTGGTCTGGATGACCCTTGGGGTCCCTTCCAACTCGATGAAAACAGAAGCCACAAACCAAAAAGTGAGAAAGGAAAGAGGAACTGGGTCATTTGCATGGGCTCCCTAGACGATTGCTGCCTTTCCTTCTGGGAATTGTATTTTTCGCTGCTACACTTCTGCCTTTGCCGGGATCTGTGCCTTCCTAAATTTACGATGCCTCGTGTTTCCGACGTTATTCTGCTTTGTTTTCTGTTTTGTTTTCCGATTTTGTTTCTTGGAAGCTGCTGGACATTTGCCGTGGGTTGGGCTAGATGACGCCCCCAAAAAACTCTGCAATTCTACGATTGTTTCAAAAGCCGTCCTGCTAGCACGGAGAGAAATAGACGCTGCTGAGGACCCTGCCAGCTTCAGCCCTTCTGACATATATACTGCTTCATGCCATGCGCAGTATATAACGCAAAGTTTAGAGGCACATTTTGTACATAGAGACTGCAGTTCGGGTAGCGGCCAGCAGGAGGCGACATAGACACACACAGGAACAGGAAGCGGCCTGCTTTGGTGGGTCCCGCCCATTCCAGCCAGTCGAGGGCCAATGGGATTCAAAGAAGCTTCCCATTGGCCGCGGAGAGCAAAAGGGGATTTTTCAAAGGACAACACATAGGCTGACGTCTCTGTCCCTGCAGATAGATAGATACACAGTATAATCTCTGCTAGCCAGTGCCGGACTTGGAGGGGGGGGGGGAGGAGGGCCTGATCCTGCTGAATGGAAAGAGATGCTGCTGTTACATTACCTGTTCATACCTGGGGCAGTGGGAGGGGCTGGGGTTTTAATGACCTGTTAATAACAGAAGAAAAGCCTTCTTAAAAAAAATAATAACATGAACATGTTTATTTCCTTTTCAGTCGCAAAGTGGGGCACACAAACACACATAGCTTAGTTCTCAGACCTCACCCCCCCAGGCCAAAGTCCGTTTTGGGGGCCTAATCCGGCCCCTGTGGCTGTTTATTTCCTGGGGTAAAACCCTAAAAAAAGTTCAACAACTCCAATCCTAAAAAAAAAGGCCAACAACTTTGGTTGGCCCTTTGGTCGGCCTTCGCGGGCCCTTCACTTCATCAAATCTGGCCCTCTTTGAAAAAAGTTTGGACACCACTCAGATAGGATGAGCTTGTTCCAAATGCCTCAGACCCACACGATTTGGAGCTTCCGAGTGCTATGGAGCATGGGCAGAGGGCATTGCAGGGGGTTGGACTAGGTGGCTCTCTGGGGCCCTTCCAAATGCCGCAATTCCATGTCGCCACCTCATTACAGAGCCCCACGTTTCAGGGGGCAACAGGGAGGATTGATGGTTGTCTCCAGTCGTCCCCAAGGGATTCCCACGCAGCGGGGCTGATGTTTCCGGCCTTGGTTGTCCCATTTGCATCTTTGGTTTTTTTTATTTTTTAATGATATTTATTGAGAATTTAAAATTACAGAAAAAGAAAGAAAAAAAACAAGAAGAAAAGAAAAAAAGATAGACAAAAAGAAATATTAAACAATATAAGTCAATAAAAACAAAAGTCAAAAAATAAAAAAACACACAATACATCAGAATCAAAAAACAAAAATACAGTGGTGCCCCGCAAGACGAATGCCTCGCAAGACGAAAAACTCGCTAGACGAAAGGGTTTTCCGTTTTTGCGTTGTTTCGCTAGACGAATTTCCCTATGGGCTTGCTTCGCAAGACGAAAACGTCTTGCGCTTTTTTTTTAAAGCCGCTTGAAGAGGCGCAGTTGCGACGGACCGTGCTTCGCAAGACGAAAAACATCGCAAGACGAAAAGACTCGCGGAACGAATTCTTTTCGTCTTGCGAGGCACCACTGTAAACAAAAAATTTAAAAGCAAATCCAATATTCCCAAATCTTTATCTTTCATTAACTTGTTTCATCGACTGCCTCACGCCTCCCTTTTTTGTATTCTAGTTATTAATTATCTCAGCAAATCCTTTCCATCTTTCACAATATTCTGTCATTGAATTGCCTTAATCTATTTTAACCTTATTTTACCATAAAAAACCCTAAAGCTTAAAACTTAAATCTTATTTATACTTAATTCTTTTTAACAAAACATATTTATACATAATTCTTTATAACATTTCTACTAAAGCCAAATAGTTTCATTCCAACAATTTTCTAATACTCATTAATTTTACAATGATTTTCTAGATGAATTTTTAAAACTTTCTTCCAATCTTCATCCATTGTCTCTTCTTCCTGGTCTCGGGTTTTGTCAGTCCTTTCTGTCCCATCCATCTAGTCCATCAACCTGGTGAGCTTCTATCCGAGGCTCTTAAGTCTTTTCCATGTCCCTTCTGCAGGTCTTCATGTTTATACCTGTACTTTACTTTATCTTCTGCTGATCTTATTCTTAATTTCCTTCCTTTCTCTCGGGGGCACTCCAACTTGGCAGTATCTTTATCCCTTCTCAACAAGTCAGCCCATTCTCCATAGTCAACACTGAGATCCAAAAGATATTTGAAGGCATGTTTCAAAGTCCCTCCAAGGTTAAGGGCCCCCACAACTCCAAACTCCCCCTGGCCCAAAGCCAGATCCGAAAAGTCAAAACATCCCTGCATAGGGGGATCTATCCAACTTCCCATCTCCAGACCAAACAGTACTCCATCTCTCCAAATCTGACTTTCTCCAGATTCAGTCATCGAAAACAGCAACTTATGTTCCTGCAAGGCCGCAGCTCTCTCCATTTCTGGTACTTGAGGTTCAGCAATTACCTCCTCCTTTATCTTCTTCACCACTTGCTCTGTCGAAGCATATTCCTGGATTAATTCCGGAGTGGTTTCTATATAATTATTCACTGTTTGTCCAAAATTTCCAACTGCAACAGTCATCAAATCCATCTTCTCATGTAGCTGTTCCAGTAAAGCACTTGTCTTGCAAAGAGCAAGCACTAAAGCTTCTTCTGGGCACATTCTTGTTCAAGGTCGGTGTCTAGTTCCCACGATCTTTTATCTCTACAGCTGTAAAATTCCCCAGATCGACTCCAGCAACAGTTTCACAGGCTCCCTCTAGAGGAGACAATTTCTATTTGTATCCGTCTTTTTAAAAGCAGATCTAGCAACAAAGTTCCTTTCGTTTTCCAGATATTTTGTTCCTTTTAAGTGCAAAAGGGAACATTGGAATCAATATGTTTCTCGTTTTTAACCATCTGTTAAAAACGTTTTATCCACAGTCAATGAACTTCCCCAAAGTGTCTGTCTCTGACACCCCGCTCCCAGGATCAAGACGGTGGAAATTTATCTTTCTTTACTCTCTCTCCTGCAGGTTTAAACAGTCTAAAAAGATTTCCCCCTCTTCTCCTGCTTCCAAGGGGGGTTTAGTAATTTTAGCTGATGGAAATTTAGTCCTTTACAAACGACTTTCCAGGCTCTAGCTTGCAATGTCTTTGCTTCAATCTATTTACAAAAGCGGAAGGCGGACTTCCTGTTTAGACCTTCCTGCTTCGATGCCAAATTAAAAAGTTTCTTAATCCAATTTTCCGTTCTACTCAAGGGCAGCTGTTTAAAATCCAATTGTCCACAGGAAAAAGTCAGCGCTCTCCGGCAACAGCAATGCGGCTTCACTCCGTGAAGGAAGCAGTCGATTCGAAGCACCGCGCCATTCACCCCACGTCGCTCCGGATCCCCGAAATCGGGTTTCCCCGCGAGTACGGGAGGCGCAAAAGGTGCCAGCCGAATCCCACGTCCACAGGCTTCTCCCGCCTGTGGTTTTTGGTGGGTCTCCGCCTCGCCGCGGCGGGCCAGACCCTAGTTCTCACGAAGCGGATTCCTCCTAGTCAGAGGAAATCCGCCATTGCCGGAGGCGCTAACCCGGAAGTCTCCCCATTTGCCTCTTCGGAATGCGGAGTTGATCTGCCAACAGGTCTGGCGTCTGAAGCCAGCTCTCCATAGAGCGCCTTGGTGGGGATCTTGCCATCTTCCATTCTGTAGGAACATGCTGAGAACATGGGCTCGGGAGAACACACTGAAATAAAAAAATTAAGGTTATATATAAACCACATGTCTGAAGCAGCACAGGAAAACAGCCCGGAAACCATTTTGACTCCCAAACTGACCAAATGTTTTCTCTGCAAGGTCAGGGGAAATTGAAAAGCCTCCCCATTGTCTTTTCCTTCACAAATCCTGTCTTAAGGGTATGTCTGCCTATGAATAGGGTGAGCCTGTGACCTGGCTCAGGAACTATTTGTCATTACAAAAGATTGGCCAGGCTCCCCAGGGTATCTAATCAAGTGAGCATTAACAGGTAACCTGCCAGACAGGAGGTAAACAATGCACTCAGATTTCTGTTGTAGACCACCCTTTCTGTGATGTATGTATGATGTTTCAGGGGGTGGTCTTGGACTCCAGGGTGGGCAATTTAAAATGTCTATATAAGGGCAGGAACACCTTTGTTCGGGATCCTCCTCCTTCTCCTGCGTGTGAAGGGGGCACCCTGTTGCAACAGATCAATAAAGATCAGGCTTACGAGTTGCTTTGCTTCTCAATATTCTCTGGTTGGCCTCTATTCTTTTCTCTGACCGCTGGAGAACCTGCAAAGGACTCTATAAGGGCTCTTGTGTCCCCCATAAGGGAATAAGGGCAGATTTACCGGTATGTTTATTACAACACCTTTCTTTGTGACTCTTCTTTTGAGACTCTGTCCTGCCAGATGACGCCTCTTTGCTTTGTTGTTAAACTGCCCTGATGGTGATGGCAGTTTGGAGGATGGCGAAGGGGTGGAATACCCTATCTTTGTTCCACAAGTGGGGGGAAAGGAACTCTTCCGGATAAACCTGAGTGCGTTATTTACTCTTGTTAAAAGAAAAAACTGCCCCTTTCCCTTGTGGGGTATTCCGGAGCCCATATAGAGTCCTTAAGTGGGTTACCTATCAGTAGGAGAAAATAACAGACGCCAACCAGAGTATATTGAGAAGCAAAGCGGCTCGTAAGCCTGATCTTTATTCAAGGAACTGTTGCAACAGGGTCCTCACTCGGGAGGAGAACCCAGAACAATGGTGCACAAGCCTTTATATAGACTCTAGAAATTGCCCACCCTGTAGCCCAAAACATCATTGCATACATCACAGAAGGAGGCGGTCTACAGCAGAAATCTTGTCTGCCAGGAGACCTGATAATGGTCACTGACTGCATTACCAGGGCAGCCTGGCCATTCTTTTGTGGTGGTTAATACTTTAGTTCCTGAGTCCAGGTCACAGGCTCACCCTATTCACACACAAATACGCCCTTAAGACAGTATTTGAAAGCGAAAAGACAACGGGAAGGCTTTCCCCATTTGCCTCTCTTACTGCAGAGGAATGTCTGAGGTCATTGGGAGAGTCCAAATGGCTTCAGGATTGCTCCCCCGTACCATTTCAGACACATGGTTCATATATTTAGATATGTGCGCATTTATGAATATTTATTCTATATTTGAGACCTTATAATTCTTGTAACACTCCACAGCCAGCTCAGCCGTCTTGTTGTTTGTTGTTCTTTAGTCATTTAGTCGTGTCCGACTCTTCGTGACCCCATGGACCAAAACACGCCAGGCCCCCTGAGATCCTCAAAGGCTGAGGATCTCAGGGGTCAAAGGCCAAGATGGAAAGAGGGGCGCCTTCAGCCTTTGCCAAATCCTGAGCAGCGATGGTGCTAGGCGCACCTCTGAGGGGAGAGAGTTCCGAAGCTTAGGGGCCACCACTGAGAAGGCCCTGTCTTGGCATGCCATACACTTAAGGAGAATGTTATGAAAATGGCGTACAGGTGGTATTTAACACCAGTTAAATTGGCCAAAATGTACAGAACAAAAAATGACTGTTGGAAATGTAAGGAAAAGGAAGATACTTTTGTGGTGGACACATAAAGAGGTAAAAGCTTTCTGGGAAATATATATAATATAATGAGCTAAAGAAAACACTTTTGTTAAAAAAAAGAAGCAGCTTTTTTACTGGGGATAATGGGTAGAGAGGTACTGGCGAACTGGCGAAACTGACGGGAAGAATTCGCAACCAGCAAGACCAAGCATTCCAAAAGGACTGGAACAAATTTATATTATATATTTTTTCTTTTTTTATTAAAGATTTTCTTTCTTTATTTATATTATATGTGAAAGACAACTGTCAGCAATTACCATCACTAGCAGGGTTATCTAAAGATTTGTAAGATGAAATTGCTACCTATCCAGGGTTGAGTAATACAATATTTTCGGTAGCGATATAACAAGGATAGGAAACAAAGCGAAATGTAAAGATGCCAAGTTTAATTTTGTAAACCATCAGACGGGAGGGAGGGAGGGAGGGAAGCCGCCAGGCTCAGTTGAGCCAAAAAGATAAAATAAGAGGAGATGGTGTTACATAATGTGATTACAGTATATGTAAAACCAATAATATATATATTTTTAAAGAGAAGGCCCTGTTCTGAGCTGCATCTACAAGAGAGCCTCTTCTGCTGATCTTTGCACCCGGTGGGTCTGTAGGTCTTGCCGCCCCGGAGGCTACCTTTCCTTTCCCTTTCCTCTTTCATTGCCACAGGATTTTCTGCCCGCCTACTAATAGGCGTTTATTAATTGCGTCTGTGCCCAGCCCTTCACGGGGCAACGTTCACCCTGCCCCTCCCAACCCACCTCATCCCTTACATTGAGCCTCTCACTCTCTCGTAGTCCGCATTCAAACCCCACATTCGGTGCCTTTAAACGCCACAAAGAATCGTGGGAGTTGTAGTTTAAGGAGGGCGCTGAGAATTGGGAGAAAACCCTTTCCCCTCCCCTCACAGCTCCTAGAGTTCCCTGGGAATGGACTGTTAAAACAGCCATGGCTTCCCCCACCCCCCAGGTGTTAAGTTGTGGGCGAACATGTCAGACGACACAGCGATTCTTTAAACAGCTCTTCTTTATTCAGATGCCAGAACAGAACTAGGCGGAGGAGCTCAGTCAGCCTGGTTATATAGAGCTCCAGAACAATGCAACTGTTGCCATTTTCTAAAACTATCCAATCACTGAACGTCACTTTTCGATCCTTCATTTGCATACAAAACTGTCCTATCACTGAACGTCACTTTTCGATCCTTCATTTGCATAACTATCTACAGTATCCCCCTGCTGGCTCAGGGTGAGAACTTCAGTACATAACACAAGGAATCCTGGGAGTCGTAGTTTTGCTGAGGGCGCTGGAGTTTTTCGGAGACCCCCGTCGTTCCCCCTCACAGTTCCTGGAGAAGAGGGACTTGTTGTCAAACCACTCTGGGAATTGTAGATCTGTGAGGGGAAGCTGGGGGTGCCCATGTAGCCTTATGAGGCTTTGCCCTCAGGTGGGAAAAATATTGCGCCCGGGAAAGGGAAGTGGGAGTCAACAGACACTCAAGGAATAGTTTCGGAGAAAAAGCTTTTATTTCTACCATCCATGAACTGGTAGAAGGAGCAAGTGTGATAACTCACAAAAAGCATGCATGAGTTCACAGTCATGTGCACAAGCATATACCCATATTTTTCGCTCTATAACACGCACCAGACCATAACACGCACGTAGTTTTTAGAGGAGGAAAACAAGAAAAAAAATATTCTAAACGAAATAGTGGATATATGATTTTTGTGGTTCATGCTGTGGCCACAGACATGTGATCTGACAGTGAGTGTGGAGTAGCCCAATGCAAAAATCCTGAGGATCCATGTGGATCCATGCTTTGTAACCACGGAGGAGGGAAGGAAGGGGAACCATGGATCCTCTGCTCACGGCTGCAGCAGATCCCCCCCGCCACCCGCAGGCATTCGCTCCATAACACGCACAGACATTTCCCCTTACTTTCTAGGAGGAAAAAAGTGAGTGTTATGGTGCAAAAAATACGGTATACGCTTCCAGTTCCCTCCCCCTTTCTCCTCCTTCTTCCAGAGTCCTGCCTCGAATTCCTCTGAGCATGAACAGAAAGCTCCTGTCTTGGGACTCTTGGACTCTTGGCGGCCTTCCCAGGGAGGGGGAATAAAAGTGGTTCAGCATGTCCAGAGATGTTGCAACTAGAATGAGATAAGATTCGTTTCTCAGACCTGAGTATTCTTGGCATTGACAGAGGCTATTCATTAGCCTTTAAAAGTAACATTCTGCCTATGCACAGCATCTTGTGATAGAGCAGAGAAAAGCTGTTTTGGATTTTTAGAAGACAAAAGGAATTCTGGACAGTTTTGAGGCCTGGTGTGATTATTGAAGCCTGGGGTGATTTCACAGACAAGATTTGGGTATCCTGTCCCTTCACCCTCTAACTTCAGGAAACTACAGTTCCCAGAACCAGCCGTGACGGCTTCAGGTGGCACCACAGCGCTTTAAAGGCAAGGTGCCAATGTGGCCTTCCTTGCAGGTTTGCCGTGAGGCTCCTTGCAAAGAAAAGGAGTCCCTTTGAGAAACTGGCATGAGAGGGTGCCAAGCCGTGCCAACACGCTACCCTACTCTGAGATCTGGGTGCCGGACGACCGAGAGAGAGCTGCCTCTTGGCCTCTCTCCACGCTGGGCGCCGAAGGCAACAGTCTGTGAGCCTGCTTCCTCAAAATCTTGCACAACCCTCTCGGCTGCTCTTGGCACAGATTCAGATCCCGCCCGGCGGAACAAGAGGCAGAGACGGCCAAAGCCAGATGCATGCCAGCACTGCCGGAGGTAGGAAGACTGGGTGTGGAGGATTGGCACCCCGTCGCCTTGAGCACCCAGTGGACGCCGGGCACAGGGAGGGCTGGCTTTTGAGGGTGCCCAGAATTGGGGTATCAGATGGGCAGAGGCTGAGTTTCAGCTGAACTGGCAGCAGGTGTCCTTTGGGGACGAAGAACCTAGGGCAGACCAGGGGGGTATATTGCGTTTGGAGGGCATGCAATGGGGATGTTTTCGTGCCCAGGGGACCCTGGCAGGCAAAAATGGTCTCCTTAAGAGGAGGGGTGGTTTTTGTGTGTGTGTTTTTTCCCCAAAGGCCAGCCCAGGTTTTCCAAGGAAAGGAGCAGTAGAGGGTGCAGATTTCCTGGGTCCTGGCCCTGAGAATCTGGGCGCAGGAACCCTGCGGCTCTGGGGTGCCTGAAGTCAAGGGGGTCACCAATTTTGGACCTGCCAGGCCATTTTTGGAGAGCAGGGACAGTCCGGCTGTATTTCCAGGCCCCCCATATGGCAAAGACAAGGTCACAGCGAGGGTCCTCTGAACAGCACCCCTCTCTGCCCGCCGTGGTCTGGGTGGGTGGGTGTTTCCTGGGGGTGGGCTTCCTGGCCTGCCTGCTCGCTTTGATCTGCACCCAATGGCGCCTGGAAACTCTGCGCGGAGAGCTGTCACAGCTGCGAGGGGAGGTGCGATCCGCCATTCACGGGACGGTGGGGGGCCAGGACGCCCCCAGGCCATGCCAGGTAAGCAGGAGTCGAGACGGGCGCAGGGGGGAGCCGGAAAGGGGCACAGCAAGAAGGGAGGTGGTGGGTGGGTACTGGCCACGAGGGGAAATGGATTCTGATGGAAGGGACCCTGGGAGTCATCTAGTCCAACCCCCTTGCAATGCAGGAATCTTTTTGCCCAATGCAAGATTCGAACCCACAACCTGTCCTGTGCTCCACCGAGCGAGCTCTCCCCAGGATCTGCTCATATTTTCAGCTTGAGGAGCAAACTTCTCAGTGCCTGGGGAACCGCCAAGGAGCAAAGAGTTCTTCTGAGCATGGGCAGAGTGCCTTCCACACACCATGGTTTGGTTTTGTCTGTTTGTTTTTGACCTAAATGTCTGGGCGAGAGGCAAGGCCCACGGAAGGCCAGAAGCGATGTGATCTTTGAATTCTGGAGAGCTCTGTTGTTTTGAGCGTGTTGCCAAGGTTGTGGGTTCGATTCCTGCATATTCCTGCCTCGCAGTGGGTTGGTCTAGATGACCACCATGGTCCCCTTCCAATTCTACAATTCGGTGATTTCTGCAGGAATCTGTCAAGGCAGAGTATCTTAACAGGATGAGGGCAAGAGGGATTTCTGCTTGAGGGCAGGAGGAAGGAGAATGAAAGAGCTTGGCAAATGTTTATTGAATATATGGGGGGAAATTGTGTACACCGGAAAACGTTGTCAGCATTAAGATAAATCCAACCGTGTAAATAAGTTTAGGTGACTCTAATAATGGAATACTGAATGGTTTAGTTTTTGTAAAATATGCAGGGCTTTATGATATGCAAAACGAACCACGGAAAGAGAAGAAGGGAAGTCGTTGATATTATCAGGATGTTAAAATGAGTGTTTTAAATTTAATAACATTTTAATATAATGAAAGAGAGAATGGAAAAGCTCTGTGTTACAATGGCCTTGTGAAATTTTGGGAACTTCGGAGTTCCCCGGCTTCGAAGAACCAACTTTCCAACCCAACCCTGCAAAATGGTGTGGATTTATTGAATTGGGGTTTTAAAAATGGAAACCTTCCCCAAAACATTCCTTTCCCTCCTGTCCCCCCCCCCCCCCGCAAACCAGATTTCTTTCTTTTTCAAAGCAAAAGCTTACATTTTATTCTGGTGGGGTTTTCCTCAAATCCCAACTGGGCGCAAATCCAGTCTGGGCAGAAATGAAGGCACAGATTCCCAGAAACTGCTCTGTGGTGTCCAAAATTTTTTCAAAGAGGGCCAGATTTGATGAATTGATGGGCCGTTGTTAACCTTTTTTTAGGATTGAAGTTGTTCTTGAGCTTTTTTAAGGCTTTCACCCCAAAGCTGTTAAGTTTTTATTAGGACTGAAGTTGTTCTTGAGCTTTTTTTAGGCTTTCACCCCAAAGTTCTTAAGCTTTTTTTAGGACTGAAGCTGTTCTTGAGGTTTTTTAGGATTTTGCCCCAAAGTTGTTTAAGTTTTTTTAGGATTTTAACCCAGGAAACAAACTGCTGCAATGGCCGGATTAAATCGACCGGCATGCCGATTTAAGCCCCCGAAACGGACTTTGGACATGCCTGATTCTGGGGAAAGGGAGAGAGAAGATAGAATAATCCTCCAGGAATATGTCAGTTATAGGAACAGCTCTTGCCGTCAGAAGTAAATAAAAGAGGGAAAGATCCCTCTGAGCATGTGCAGAGTGAGGCCTTCAGTTCTTTCTTCCAAGCTGCTTTCCTCACAAGCTGTAGGTGGCCTGCCTCCTAATATGTGTGCGTGGGTGAGGAGAATGCCCTCTGCACATGCTCAAGGGCACTGTTGTTGTTCTGCCACATATTTTAAGATTGGGTTTGGGGCTTGGCCTCCATGTCTGACACTGACTGCAAACTTGCGGAGAGGACCCAGGAGTCCGGTCTTCCAGTCACCTCCCCCCTCCACTAGATTCTCCTCTGGGGGGGGAGCAGAGATGAGGAATTTTATCCATTCTGTTTCTCTCAGTTTTTCACGTTTCAAGTCTTAAGTTCCATTCCCTCATCTGTCTGCGGTTTATTTATTTTAGTCCTCGTGGAGATTCATCAAGAATTACAACTATGCTGTTGTTATTATTATCGTTATTCCTATCATTTATTCCTATTATTAACCAGCTGCCCTTCACCTTAAGGTCCCAGGGCAGCTCACAACATTAGAAACAGTTTAAATAATCGCACAAATAAGGTGGGTCGTAAAAATATACGCCTCAAGTGCCAAGAGAAGTCAGGACAAAGGGGTGTAAATTTCTCCCGATATTCTTCCATGCATTTTTGCATGTGATTCTCACCAAATTATACCTGTTTTTACGCACCCTTTACCCCAGTAGATGCATTTTTGCAAAGATTCCAAACAGCTCTGAAAAATTTGGAGAGGCCCGAATTTCAGAGAGCATGCATATTGTTGCAGAAAGTACAGATGGGGTAGGCCTGCCTTCTCACCCCATCCCTTATCGCATCTTACCTCCTTTCCTTTTGAACTTCCTGTTCCGTAGTTCGCTGGAAAAAGGGGGAATAAACACACACACACAGAAAACATTGTCTGTGTGAAGACGGAAGCAGGTGTTCCCGTAACCTGAAGGCTACAAGTCCCCGGTTGCCTCTCCCTCCATCCTGAGACCAGGAAACTGCTCTTAGGTGTGCCTCCTCTAAAGCAGGTTGCCAACTTCCCCCGACTGGTCCTGCTGCTACGCTCTTATCCAAACCCCGACACGCAGAAATTAAGCCGATTCACCTGCCTTTCCATCATCTTCACGCCTGGGAAAATTGCACAAGCCATTTTCCTTTGCATGTCAGAGAACTGTGCTGCTAAAAGCATAGGAGCATAGCCGGTGAAGCGAGGCAGAAAGCTGGCAACCATTCTCTCAAGCGAGCCTGCAGACTTAGGATTGCCAATGTCCTCTTTTTCACGGCGAGAGCCGTCGTCGCGATCCATAGCTAAAAGTAGAAGTCGGCAAATGTGTCCTCTTTTTTGCTCTTCGAAACATGGCGGCCGCTTTTTAAAATGTGCTTTTAAAAGCCTTGTTTTGCTGCTGTGGGGAAGGAAGAAAGAAAGGGCGCAGACAGACAGAGGCTTATTGTGGGATCAGCATTGCTCATGCACAGAGTTTTTCTTTCGTTTTGCCTTTGTCGCCCTCAAGATGCCAGCCTGTGCTTTTTATTTACCATCATCCGGATTTCCTCTTGCTGCGGGAAAACCCTTTATGAATAAAACAATACGTTACACATCCACAGTCACCGCTGATGTGGAAGCCGTGGTGCTATTGTGGTGGGAACGGGTTGGGGCAGTTTGTCGTGTGCGTGGAGTAGGGTTGCCAGTTCAGGAGCATTGCAAGACCTTGAGATGTCAGGTCCCTAAACTGCCCCAAGTGATGTCATGGGGGGGCAGCCTTTGGAGACGGAGGTTAATTGGGAGAGGACCCCCGCAGAGTGTCTTTGTAAAAACTGGCATACTACAGAAGAAAAGACACAATCCAGCTGGGGTGTTATGTACTGAGTTGAATAGGATCCAAACTGCAGCAGTCTGATTGGTCCTAGAACAATAGGATTCAGAATGCAGCAGTCTGATTGGTCCTAGAACAATGCAGCAGTATGATTGGTTGGCAGGAACCACCCAATCATGCTCCAGATAGAAGTGAATCCACAACCTGATTGGCTTACAGTAGAATTCCGGAATTAGCCAATCATGTGCAGCCCATTGTGTAAATAATGTATATAAAGCAGATACTGTGAGGGGACTTCCATTCATTCCTCCTCACCACTATGAGCTGAATAAAGAGCATGAAATCACTTTGCGACTCTGAGTATATTTCACTGGCGACGAAGGTGGGATCCCGCTGAGCTGACTGCCACACACAGCACCGCAGCACTGCCACCTGCCGCACCACTGCCTCTCACCGTGTATCCAGGCTTCAGCTCCGGGACACAAGGAACTCAGAATGGCAGCCAACAGCAGCTTCTCGCCGTTCAACCCAGCATCTGGAGACTGGGAAGCGTACGCCTCCCGTTTCACCTTCCTCCTAGAAGCCAAAGGGGTCACCGACGAAGAAGACGCCAAGAAGAGGGCGATATTCTTCAGCGTCTGCGGAGAGGAGACGTTTGAAATCGCCCGGGCTCTCCTTGCGCCTGAAGACGTCGCTACTGTTCCATACAAAACAATAATGGAACAGCTGAAGGGGCACTTTCGCCGCAGCCCTCAGTGGTGGCTCGTCGAAATGCCTTCTACGCAAAGCGGCAAGCCCCTGGGGAAACCATAACTGGGTTTGTGACCTCTCTCCGCCAAGCCGCCCGGTTCTGCAACTTCTCAGAGCTGGAGAACATGCTTCGTGACCGCCTCGTCGGTGGCCTGAAGGATGAGAAGCTGCAACGATGCCTCTACGCTAAGAAGGACCTAACGTTCCAGGTTGCTCTGGAGGAGGCCCTGGCAACGGAAGCTGCCGAGAGGTCGACCCAAGAGGCACGGCCGAGCCTGCCGTCCCAACCGAGGGTCCACCACGAAGACCTCACCGACGATTCAGGATCCGACAGGGAGGAGGTGCACCGAGTACATCAGCGCACTCAAGCAGCCCACATACCACAGCTGCCTCGACGAGAAGGAGGGAACTGCGCAAGCTGCGGGGAAAGTCACGAGAGGAGGACCTGCCGTTTCCGCAACGCAGAGTGCAGGCAGTGCAGAAAATCGGGACACATCGCCCGGGTGTGTCGAACTTGGCCCACCCGACGCCAGGCATCAGATGACCAATCCAAGAGCCCCAGGTCCTGGGGCCCAACGCACAAAGACAACTCGACGGAGCTCACGGACTTCCAGGTATACCAGTTGCCCCACCCCAACGTAGAGAAAATTTATGTAGAGGTACAGATAGAGGGGCCCCATGCCGCATGGAGCTTGACACGGGTTCAACTCTATCCATAATCTCGGCAAGGACCTTAAGGAAACTGTGTCCTACTGGGGGTCCCAAACTCAGGCCGGCCCCATTCACCCTCCGTGACTTCCAGAAACGTAAGGTCCCCACAATGGGGGTGGGGACCTTCAGGGTGCAATACCGAGGGCGGACGCGGCAACTGGACTTGCCGTGGTCAAGGGCCCCTACATTAGCTTACGTGGTGCCCCGCAAGACGAACGCCTCGCAAGACGAAAAACTGGCTAGATGAAAGGGTTTTCCGTTTTTTGAGCTGCTTCGCAAGACGAATTTCCCTATGGGCTTGCTTCGCAAGACGAAAAACGAAAACGTCTTGCATGTTTGTTTCCTTTTTCTTAACACCGTTAATACAGTTGCGACTTGACTTCGAGGAGCAACTCATAGAACGCGGTGTGGTAGCCCTTTTTGAGGTTTTTGAAGACTTTGGTGATTTCTGAAGCTTTTCCAAAACTTCTTTTAAACTTTTAAAACTTTTTTGGGGGGTTTTGGGTTGGGGTGTTTGGAATTCAAGGACTTGGTGTTGGGGAGGGGTTTGCAAGAATCTGGAAGCTTGTTTTTTTTTTCTTACATTTTTATGATTTTCTGTGACCATTGGGCCACTCTGCTGTTTTTTTAAAAAAATTCTGGATTTGAATTTCTGTGTGGTGGGTGGCTGGGGGAACAGTTGAGGAGGGGGTTCTTCAGCAAGAAGCAAAGAGTGGAAGAGGAACCTTCTTCGAGTTGTCCCCCAGAGTCTTAGAAAATTTACTGTACACTTTGTTGATTTTTAAATGTTTTTCTGTCATGTTTAGAAACTTAATTTATTGTTCCTTCAATTTTTGAAATGCTCTTTACAGTATGTGTGACTTTAAAGAGCACTTATTAAACTCTTGTTGTACCAAATTTGGCTTTGTTTGGACTTTTTTTGACCATAGGAATGCATTAATTGAATTTCAATCCATTCCTATGGGATTTCGTGCTTCGCAAGACGAAAAATTCGCTAGACGAAAAAACTCGTGGAACGAATTAATTTCATCTTGCGAGGCACCACTGTATTGGGATTGGCATGGTTTGGACCACTGGGGCTAGCCGTCACCGGGGTGAACCACACTAGCTTACAAGTGGACGTGGACGCCATATGCAAGGAATTTCTGGGGGTTTTCGATGGGAATCGAAAACCCAGTGGTGGCCGGGGATCGACGGAGAGATAGAGGCCTGGATCAAACACTGCCAGGCCTGCCAAGAATCCCGCCCAGATCCCCCAAGGGCCACAGTCCAGACCTGGGAGTCTACCCGAGCACCATGGTCACGCCTGCATGTGAACTTCGCTGGCCCCTTTCAGGGGAAAACATTCTTCATAGTGGTGGACTCCTACACCAAATGGCTGGAAGTCGCACTGGTACCGTCCACTTCTACGTCCACAGCCATCCGGGTACTACGCAGGCTGTTTGCAACCCACGGGCTCCCTGACACTCTCGTCTCAGACAACGGGACTGCATTTACGTCAGGAGAATTCCAAACCTTCGCAGCGCAGAACGCCATCCGCCACATCCGTTCGGTGCCATTCCACCCTGCCACCAATGGCCAAGCAGAACGCATGGTGCGGACCACCAAGGACACCCTTCGCCGCATGACGCAAGGGGATTGGGAGTACCGCCTTGCCACATTCCTTCTAGCACAGCACAGCACCCCCAGCTCAACGACTGGCTGGAGCCCCGCTGAACTACTAATGGGTCGGCGCCTAGCAATCAGATTGGACCGCCTTCACCCCGATAGAGCTCAGGATGAGGTAGTAGTTGGGGGAAGGCAGGAACCCCCGGACCTTCGAGGCCCAGGACCCAGTGTACGCAAAGAATTTTGGGGCAGGCCCAGCATGGGTACCCGCCACAGTCACCAGGGTCACTGGCCCCGTGTCGTACGAGGTGCTAACGGATGGGGGCAATGCTGGCGCCGCCACTGCGACCAGATACGGCGACGATTCCCGGGAGAAAACCAGGAGGAGGAAAGGTCAGAGGAGTCCCAAGGGAACAGAGGGGCAATGAGGCCCATAGAGCAGGAGGGGCCAGCAGGAGAGGCAGAATCAGTAAATACAGAGAGGACCCGCGAGGCTGAAAGGACACCGGAACCAGAACCACGACTGAGCGAGCCGGTTGCGCCAGACCAAACAGCCCCATCACAGCCAGCATCCTTGGAACATGAGCCAGAACCTGAACCCCGGACCAGGGAACACCACAGGCCGCAACGCACACGTAGGCCGCCGGCGTACCTCGAGGACTATGAATACGACCTCCTGGGCAGGACTGGAACTTAGAGGGGAGGGGTGTTATGTACTGAGTTGAATAGGATCCAAACTGCAGCAGTCTGATTGGTCCTAGAACAATAGGATTCAGAATGCAGCAGTCTGATTGGTTGGCAGGAACCACCCAATCATGCTCCAGATAGAAGTGAATCCACAACCTGATTGGCTTACAGTAGAATTCCAGAATTAGCCAATCATGTGCAGCCCATTGTGTAAATAATGTATATAAAGCAGATACTTTGAGGGGACATTCATTCATTCCTCCTCACCACTATGAGCTGAATAAAGAGCATGAAATCACTTTGCTACTCTGAGTATATTTCATGGGGGAAAGACAACAACCACTTTGCAAAACTTAATTAGCTCCCAAAGGCTACGGTTTGGGTTTTTTAAAGCCAGATTTTAAGACCTGTTTTAAAATTAGAAAGGGTTTGCCTTCTCTCGCCTGGATATTTTATTTTATTTTTGTGTGGGGGAACGGATAGATGGCTGAAAAAAGCCAATAGGATCGCCAAGTCAGGATGGAGCATCCCAGACCCTGAAATTTCAGGGCCCAAAACTAGGGTAGGTCCTGGAGATGGAAGTTAATTGGGAAAGAGGGCAGACCTGCCCAGAATGTCTGTACAGTGGTACCTCATTTTAAGAACAGCCCTGTTTACGCACTATTCGGTTTACGAACTCCGCAAAACCGGAAGTAGTGTCTCGGTTTGTGAACTTTACCTCGGTCTCAGAATGGAAGCTGAATGACAGATGGGCACCGGCGGCGGGAGGCCTCATTAGGGAAAGCACGCCTCGGTTTAAGAACGGTTTCGCTTTAAGAACGGACTTCCGGAACGGATTAAGTTTGTAGACCTCTGGTTGCGAACGGGATCCGTCCTGGAGGCCCATTCGCAACATGAAAAGAACGCAACTCACAGTCTGTGCATGCGCTCGTTGTGATTCACTGCTTCTGCGCATGCGCGTGACGTCATTTTGCGCGTCTGTGCATGTGCGAGCGGCGAAACCCGGAAGAAACCCTTTCCGGTACTTCCGGGTTGCCGCAGGACGTATCCTGAAAGAACATAACATGAAGTGGGTGTAACATGAGGTATGACTGAGGTATAATTTCATGCCTGGCTGAAACTTGCAATATGCGTGCATGTTGTTGTCGTTTAGTCGTGTCCGACTCTTCGTGACCACCTGGACCAGAGCACGCCAGGCTCTCCTGTCTTCCACTGCCTCCCGCAGTTTGGTCAAACTCATGCTGGTCCCTTCGAGGACACTGTCCCACCATCTCGTCCTCTGTCTTCCCCTTCTCCTTGTGCCCTCCATCTTTCCCAACATCAGGGTCTTTTCCAGGGAGTCTTCTCTTCTCATGAGGTGGCCAAAGTCTTGGAGCCTCAGCTTCAGGATCTGTCCTTCCAGTGAGCACTCAGGGCTGATTTCCTTCAGAATGGAGAGGTTTGGTCTTCTTGCAGTCCATGGGACTCTCCAGAGTCTCCTCCAGCACCAGAATTCAAAAGCATCCATTCTTCGGCCATCAGCCTTCTTTATGGTCCAGCTCTCACTTCCATACATCACTACTGGGAAAACCATGGCTTTAACTATACAGTGGTACCTCTGGTTGTCTTTGTCCATGGGGATGACAGAGGACAAGATGGTTGGACAGTGTTCTCGAAGCCTCGAATATGAGTTTGACCAAACTGCAGGAGGCAGTGGAAGACAGGAGTGCCTGGCATGCTCTGGTCCTTGGGGTCACGAAGAGTCGGACACGACTAAACGACTAAACAAAAACAACCTCTGGTTACATACGCAATTCGTTCCAGAGGTCTGTTCTTAACCTGAAACTGTTCTTAACCTGAAGCACCACTTTAGCTAATGGGGCCTCCTGCTGCTGCCGCGCCGCCAGAGCACGATTTCTGTTCTCATCCTGAAGCAAAGTTCTTAACCTGAGGTACTATTTCTGGGTTAGTGGAATCTGTAACCTGAAGCGTATGTAACCTGAAGCGTATGTAACACAAGGTACTGGGAACTGGGAACTGACTCGGCCCCAGACACACTGACCAGATGTTTGGAAGCTGTGGCTGGATGGTTACGTGGGAGCCGGTTGAAGCTAAATCCTTCGAAGACAGAGGTCCTGTGGCTGGGACGGGGCGATATGGGATTGGGGGGGCAACTCCCATCTCTTGCGGGGGGCGCAATTAGTGCCAGCACCGTCCGTTAAGAGTTTGGGTGTAATCTTCGACACCTCCCTTTCCATGGAGGTGCAGATTGCAGCTATAACAAAGGCGGCATTTTTCCATCTCCGCCAAGCTAAGCAGTTGGCTCCTTACCTCTCTCGCCCTGACCTAGCCACTGTGATCCACGTGACGGTCACCTCCAGACTGGATTATTGTAACTCGCTCTACGTGGGGCTGCCCTTGAGACTGACCCAGAAACTCCAGCGGGTGCAGAATGCTGCAGCGAGACTCCTTACGGGGTCCTCGCTGCGAGATCACATTCACCCGGTGCTATACCAGCTGCACTGGCTCCCGGTGGAGTACAGGATCAGGTTTAAGGTGCTGGTTTTAACCTTTAAAGCCCTATACGGCCTAGGACCCTCGTAGCTACGGGACCGCCTCTCCCGGTATGCCCCACAGAGGAACTTACGGTCTTCAAATAAAAACATCTTGAAGGTCCCAGGCCACAGAGAGGTTAGTCTGGTCTCAACCAGAGCCAGGGCTTTTTCGGACGTGGCCCCGATCTGGTGGAACGCTCTGTCCCAAGAGACTAGGGCCCTGCGGGACTTGACATCTTTCCGCAGGGCCTGCAAGACAGAGCTGTTCCACCAGGCCTTTGGCCAGGGCACAGCCTGACTCCCTCCCTCGGCAATCTTCGCGGAGCTCTGGCCCAATGGCTTCCAGTGGCTTGAATTAATTAATTTTATAATGAATGATTTTAGAGTGTTGTTTGTGCTGTACTTTTGTATTGTTTTATTGTTGTTAGCCGCCCTGAGCCCGGCTTCAGCTGGGGAGGGCGGGATATTGTGATTGAATAAAATTTATTTTTATTTTTATTATTATTATTACCACTGTACGGACCTTTGTTGGCAAGGTGATATCTCTGCTTACTATTACTATTATTATTATTATTACCACCACCACCACACCTGGAGATTGACGCCTGCCCCCTGGAGGCAGCCAGGCAAACCTGGCGATGTCATATCAGACCTGGAGGACCCTAGTGTAGTGACATTTTGGTGGGTGGCATCCATTGCTACTCCCCTCTTTCCACTTGCTCCTCACCTGAACACAACCACACCCTTTGCTTCCAAAGGCCGAAAAGGACACGGCCGTGGGAACTGACGGGATGGTTGAAGGCAAAACAGCACTCTTTTTAAGCCAAACACCCAAGTTAACGCCATTCCTCTCTGGTCTGGTTTCAGAGTCCTGGAAATCTTCCGGAGAAGTCTCCCACACATCTGGAAAGGAGGAGGAGGAGGAGAAGGGATGCTGGAAGAACCCCCCAGGACTCACCATGTCCCCGCAGTAAGTAGGCCATTCTGAGATTTGCCTCCTCTGAAACCACGCCCTATGGAGGAAAGCAGAATAAGCCAGAACTCGTGTGCCGTTCTGGTGCATATCGCTCAAAATAAAGCTTTGGGATGGCAATTTCTCTGGGCGCAGGAACAGTCACTCCCTCTTCCCTCCCCACAAAAAAATAAAAACCTTTGGGGAGAGGGGAGCATAACCTGTCTGTGCACTGCGTCAGTTGGATGCCTGCCTCTTGCGCTGCTATTAAAATCCCAGGAGCTCCCCCAAGGGGGAAAAGGTGGCAATCAAAAGCCTTATGATGACATAAAGGTAAAGGGTAAAGGGACCCCTGACCATAAGGTCCAGTCGCAGACGACTCTGGGGTTGTGGCGCTAATCTCGCTTTATTGGCCGAGGGAGCTGGCGTCCAGCTTCTGGGTCATGTGGCCAGCATGACTAAGCCGCTTCTGGCGAACCAGAGCAGTGCACAGAAATGCCGTTTACCTTCCTGCCGGAGCGGTACCTATTTATCTACTTGCACTTTGATGTGCTTTTGAACTGCTAGGTTGACAGGAGCAGGGACTGAGCAACGGGAGCTCACCCCGTCGCGGGGATTCGAACCACCGACCTTCTGATCGGCAAGTCCTAGGCTCTGTGGTTTAGATCACAGCGCCACCCGCGTCCCTAATGATAGGGGTTTATAAATTTGGTCCACTTTGTAGGGCTATCTGTAAGGATTGCTGAGCGACGGTGCAAAGCCAGGCTGCTATTATTATTGTATTTCTTTATTCCGTAAAACGATGGTGCCGCTTGACCGTGGAGAAATAGCCGCGAAGCTCTTTGGGAAAAGGATAAAGCGATAATAGAAGAATGATCGCAATCTTTTAAGACTTTCGAAAAGTTGCAACAGACTAAAACTCTAAACACCTGGGTGGGCTTGTATAGGACTTGATTGTGAAAAAACAACAACACAACAGCAACCTCATAGTCGTTTGCAAAAAGAACAAAACATTGCTATAAGGTTATAGCAGAACAGAAAGTCGGCGGTTCGAATCCCCGCGACGGGGTGAGCTCCCGTTGCTCGGTCCCTGCTCCTGCCAACCTAGCAGTTCAAAAGCACACCAGTGCTAGTAGATAAATAGGTACCGCTCCAGCGGGAAGGTAAACGGTGTTTCCGTGTGCTCTGGTTTCTGTCATGGTGTTCCGTTGCGTCAGAAGCGGTTTAGTTATGCTGGCCGCATGACCCAGAAAGCTGTCTGTGGACAAACGCTGGCTCCCTCGGCCTGAAAGCAAGATGAGCGTCGCAACCCCATAATCGCCTTTGACTGGACTTGACCGTCCAGGGGTCCTTTCCTTTTTTTTTAACTTCTACAACCACAGAAGACAGTGTTACCATCCAACAATTTGACCTAACCCCCCCCCCTCCAAGGCACATTCCTCTGTTGTCTCCCAACCAAGTAAAAGCATTCAATGAGTTAAAACCAGTAAGCTAAAAAGGCTAAAAATCAACTTTCTAAGTATCTAGGTAAAAAGGTAAAGGGACCCCTGACCATAAGGTCCAGTCATGGCTGACTCTGGGGTTGCGGTGCTCATCTCGCTTTATTGGCCGAGGGAGCCGGTGTACAGCTTCCGGGTCATGTGGCCAGCATGACTAAGCCGCTTCTGGCGAACCAGAGCAGCGCACAGAAATGCCGTTTACCTTCCCGCCGGAGTGGTACCTACTTATCTACTTGCACTTTGACGTGTTTTCGAACTGCTAGGTGGGCAGGAGCAGGGACTGAGCAACGGGAGCTCACCCCGTCGCAGGGATTCGAACCGCCGACCATCTGATCGGCAAGTCCTAGGCTCTGTGGTTTAACCCACAGTGCCATCTGGGTAGGTTTGTGCAAATGAAAATGTTCTTGACAGGCTCTGAAAAGGGTATGGTGAAGGTGCCTTTCAAGGGGCAGGGAGTTCCAAAGTCCTGCCGCGCTGGGAGTTTGAGTTCTTACGAACACAGCAGTGGTGCAATAATTAACTGTGAAGGGTGAATATTCTTGCTGTTGCAACTACTACGTTCGCATTGGAAAGGGAAATGATAAGAGGGACGTGATGGGGAAGACGGGAAGAGGCCTTAAGTTGCGTCAGGCCCTCTAGCAGTTCTCCAGAATGTTAGATTAGGGGACATGGCCAGCAGTTATTCTGTTGGTGAGCTATGACCCTACTGTTATAAGGGGAAGAAACCGCTCCCTTTCCCTTATGGGGTATTCCGGAGCCCGTATAGAGTCCTTAAGTGGGTTCCCTATCGGTAGGAGAAAATAGCAGAGGCCAACCAGAGTATATTGAGAAGCAAAGCGGCTAGTAAGCCTGATCTTTATTCAAGGAACTGTTGCAACAGGGTCCCTACTCACCACACGCAGGAAGGAGGAGAACCCTAAACAGTGGTGTGCATGTCCTTATATAGACACTTGAAATTGCCCACCCTGTAGCCCAAGACCACCCCCCAAAACATCATGCATACATCACAGAAGGAGGCAGTCTACAGCAGAAATCCTGTCTGCCAGAATACCTGATAGTGGTCACTGATTGCATTACCTAGGCAGTCTGGCCGTTGTTTTGTGATGGTTAATACTTTGGTTCCTGAGTCCAGGTCACAGGCTCACCCTATTCATACACAAATGCGCCCTTCAGACAGGGTTTGCAAGCAAAAAGACAATGGGAAGGCTTTCCCCATTTGCCTCCCTTACTGCAAAGGATTATTTGAGGTCACTTTGGGAGAGTCCAAATGGCTCCAGGATTGCTCCCCTGTACTATTTCAGACTAATAATAATAATAATAAAATTTATTTATACCCCGCCCTCCCCAGCCAAGACCGGGCTCAGGGTGGCTGACACCAGATATTAAAAACAATTGATTGAAATACAACTTAATAACTTGATTCCAAGCCAAAGGCCAGGCGGAACAACTCTGTCTTACAGGGCCTGTGGAAAGAAATCAGATCCTGCAGGGCCCTGGTCTCATGAGACAGAGCGTTCCACCAGGCCGGGGCCAGTGTTGAAAAGGCCCTGGCTCTGGTTGAGGCTAATCTGACTTCCTTAGAGCCCGGGACCTCTAGGGTGTTGCTATTTATGGACCTTAAGGTCCTCCGTGGGAGATACCGGGAGAGGCGGTTCCATAGGTACAAGGTTCGTATATTTAGATATGTGTGCATTTATGAATATTTACTCTCTATCTGAGACTTTAAAATTTTTATAATACTTCCTTCGGGCGCACGGCGCACTCTCCCAGCTTTTACAGACACCTGTGTGCAGGAACACAGTGAGGGTCACAGCTGGCTAGACGGGTGGGCAAGCCGGGTCTCCCCCTTCCTGTTTCTTGCTCTCGGCCCCACAGAGCGAGGAGAGGAAGGCTGGAGAGGAAGTTGGAGGGGAAGTGAAAGTGATATTTAAATAAAACAGCGGAGTATGCAAAGCCAGCTCCTTTGTCCAGAGCCCCCTCCTGAGGATACGTGGCCATAGCTGTCAGCTTTTCCCTTTTCTTGTGAGGAATCCTATTCGGAATAAGGGAATTTCCCTTTAAAAAAGGGAAACATTGACAGCTATGTACATGGCTAAGCAGAGAGAGGGCCTTCCTGGCTACAGGGCCCTGGAGTGTAGAGATTTTCGCCTGATGCCAAATTTGGTGTATTTTTGGCCCCGGCTACGATAGCATGGCAGTGTTCGCACTTTGGAACTCCCTGCTACTTGAAATCAAGCGCTCTGTTCGGCGCCTGCTAAAAACATTCTCATCTAGACAAGCTTGCCCAGATGCTTAGAAGGCGGAGGTGATTTTAGTCTGTTTTAGCATTATGGCTTTTGTGTCCTTTAAAGCACGGTTGCAATCTTTTCGTAAACTGCTTCGACGTATGTGGTTATTTTTCCTTACAATCAAGCGGTGTGTACATTTTGCCCTGTATACCTGAAAGAGCGTGTGGCGCTGTGGGTTAAACCACAGAGCCTAGGGCTTGCCGTCGGCGATTCGAATCCCCGCAACGGGGTGAGCTCCCGTTGCTCAGTCCCTGCTCCTGCCAACCTAGCAGTTCAAAAGCACGTCAAAGTGCAAGTAGATAAAGAGGTACCGCCCCAGCGGGAAGGTAAACGGCGTTTCCGTGCACTGCTCTGGTTCCCCAGAAGCAGCTTAGTCATGCTGGCCACATGACCCAGAAGCTGTACGCCGGATCCCTCGGCCAATAAAGCGAGATGAGCGCCGCAACCCCAGAGTCGGCCACAACTGGACCTAATGGTCAGGGGTCCTTTTACCTTTACCTTTTACCTGAAAGAGCACCTCTGCCTCCATCGTTCAGCCTGGACACTGAGGTCCAGCTCCGAGGGCCTTCTGGCGGTTCCCTCCCTGTGAGAAGGGAGCTTACATGGGAACCAGGCAGTGGGCCTTCTCGGTGGTGGCGCCCTCCCGTCAGATATCAAGGAGATAAACAGACCTTCTGTAGACATTTGAAGGCAGCCTTGTACGGAGAAGATTTTAATTTTTGATGCTTTATTGTGTTTTTAAAGTTTGCTAGAAGCTGCCCGGAATGGCGGGGGAAACCCAGTCAGATGGGCGGCATATAAATAGTAAAAATGTTTATTATTATTATTATTATTATTATTATTATTATTATCACCTGCCAGGAAAGCAGTCTGTCCTGCATTTGGCTCCCCTCCGACAGTCCAACAGTGGTGAGTTTTGGTCTCTTTCTTCCATGGAGCTGTGTGGCTTTGTCATTCAGTCTTCCGACTGTTGTTAAGATCTGTGTGGAATGTGTGTCTTCCAGTTGTTCTGCCCCTGTGTACTGTTCTAAACAAAATCAATCTGCCCTTTTTCCCTTATGGGAAACCTGCCCTTTTTCCCAAGAGCCCGTATAGAGTCCTTACGTGGGTTCCCTATTGGTAGGAGAAAATAACAGAGGCCAGCCAGAGAATATTGAGAAGCAAAGCAGCTCATAAGCCTGATCTTTATTAAACTGTTGCAACAGGGTGCTCCCCTCACACGCAGGAAAGTAGGAGGACCTCGAACAATGATGCGCAAGGCCTTATATAGACATTTTAAATTGCCCGCCCTGGAGCTCCAGACCACCCCTCCATACATCATACGTACATCAGTGCGCAGCCTGGGAGTCATTTTGGACTCACAGCTGTCCATGGAGGCGCAGGTTAACTCTGTGTCCAGGGCAGCTGTCTACCATCTCCACCTGGTACGCAGGCTAAGACCCTACCTGCCCGCGAACTGTCTTGCCAGAGTGGTGCATGCTCTAGTTATCTCACGCTTGGACTACTGCAACGCGCTCTACGTGGGGCTACCTTTGAAGGTGACCCGGAAACTGCAATTAATCCAGAATGCAGCAGCTAGACTGGTGACTGGGAGTGGCCGCCGGGACCACATAACACCAGTTCTGAGAGATCTGCATTGGCTCCCAGTACGTTTCCGAGCACGATTCAAAGTGTTGGTGCTGACCTTTAAAGCCCTAAACGGCCTCAAAGGCCCAGTATACCTGAAGGAGCGTCTCCACCCCCGTCATCCAGCCCGGACACTGAGTCCAGCGCTGAGGGCCTTCTGGCGGTTCCCTCATTGCGAGAAGTGAGGCTACAGGGAACCAGACAGAGGGCATTCTCGGTAGTGGCGCCCACCCTGTGGAACGCCCTCCCATCAGATGTCAAAGAGATAAATAATTACCTGACATTCAGAAGACATCTGAAGGCAGCCCTGTTCAGGGAAGTTTTTAATATGTAACGCTGTACTGTTTTTAACACTGATTGGGAGCCGCCCAGAGTGGCTGGGGAAACTCAGCCAGATGGGCAGGGTATAAATAATAAATTCTTCTTCTTCTTCTTCTTCTTCTTCTTCTTCTTCTTCTTCTTCTTCTTATTATTATTATTATCACAGAAGAGGTGGTCTACAGCAGAAATCTGAGTGCGTTGTTTATCTCGTCTGACAGATTACCTATTAATGCTCACTTGATTGGATACCCTGGGGAGCCTGGCCAGTCTTTTGTAATGATAAATACTTAGTTCCTGAGCCAGGTCACAGGCTCACCCTATTCAAACACAGACAGACATACCCTTAAGACAGGATTTGTGAAGGAAAAGGCAATGGGGAGGCTTTTCCAGTTTGACCTTGCAGAGAAAACATTTGGTCAGTTTGGGAATCAAAAATGGTTTCAGGTTGGTCTTCCTGTGCTATGTACGTGCTTGGTTGGTACATTTATGAACATTTATTATATATCTAAGGCTTTAAAATTCTTATCACAGTATAAAAATGTGCAGTCCTCTCCAATTCCTTCCTCTCTCGTTTTCTTTTAACGACACGAGACTGCAGAAATCCGCCATCATTAACTTTTAAAATCCCCCGAAAATGCATTCTCTATCGCCATCACCCTCACAGTTCAAAAACACTGATCCGTTGTTTATAATTATTTGCTGGCTCAGCTGCTGCAATTCTCTTTCCAGGTTTCTTATTTGTTGCAATCGTGATCGTTTTGTGCTTGTGCACTGTTCCGCTTCCAAGACTCTTTGAACCTGCAAAAGATTTGGGGTGGACTGGCTGCTTCATTTACGACCAGCACATGCTGAAATTCCTTTAACTTTTCATGCCGTTTTTGTTTGAGCATCGCACAAGAGTTGCTCTCTAAATGGCATTCACGTGGCATCACAGAACAATTAATAAATTTGAATAATGGATGGATGGTCCTGCATAAATTCACCACAGATGCATGGAGAAACTGCAGAAGATAGTGTTGGCAAGAGATGAAGTTCTAGGTGGAACAGACAAAATAAAAACTGTCAAATCATTGGGCTTGGGTGGCAATAACGCTCAAAGACCTCAAACGTGAAATTGATGGTCTTCTAACGAAAAATATGTAATGTCTCCCTCTGATTAGCCTGGAAGTAGCTAATGTAACACCAATTAATAATAATAATAATAATAATAATTTATACCCCACCCATCTGGCTGGGTTTCCCCAGCCACTCTGGGAAGATTCCAACAAAATATTAAAATACAATAGTCCATCAGATATTAAAAGCTTCCCTAAAAAAAGATCGAGGGGCAAATTACAGGCATGTTAGCGTAACATGGTGGAAAGTATTGTTAAATATCTTACCGATCAGCTGCTTCCTTTCAACACTCCCTTCCCTCTTGTTTGCCTTAGTGTCTGTTCCTTAGCTGGAGCAGTTTTTTGCTCCTCCTTTTCTTCCAATTTCTCTCCTTGTTGCTTTAGTCTTCCTGTCTCCTCTCCTTGCAAGTTCGCCCCCTCCCAGGCAGCCTCCTTTATTGCTAGCGTCCCTTATCTCGCTCCCGATCGCTTGCCGATCAGCGGCTTCCTTTCAACACCCCCTTCCCTCTTTCTAAAAAAAAACAAAAACATGATCTGCTTTTCGCCCCTGGGCAATTCGGCTCCAGGGACCACACATTTGCTCCATAAGACGTACAGACATTTCCCCTTACTTTTTAGGAAGAAAAATGTGTATCTTATGGAGCGAAAAATACGGTATTTTGTGTGGAGGGGGAAGCTTTCCCAATAGTCCTTTTCACTTGCAAAACCCTTCAGATCCTGTGTAAATAGATGAATGGGGTAGGTCTGTCGAGAAATACTTATTTACCTTTTCAAAAGAATGGCCAGGATAAAGCAATCGGCACTCATGATCAAGTATCTCTCAAATTTATTGTTGTAGACAGTGTCTTTTCTGTGACTCTAGTATGATGCTTCTTCTGTTATCTTTGGCTAAGGGGTTGGGGCAATTTCTGAAGCTTTTAAAGGTGGTTACACAGCTTTTGTTCTGTGTTAAGTTGTGGGCGAACATATCAGACGACACAGCGATTCTTCAAACAGCTCTTGTTTATTCAAAGGCCAGAACAGAACAACGTAACTGTAGCAACTTTCTAAAACTATCCAATCACTGAACGTCACTTTCGATCCTTCATTTGCATACAAACTATCCAATCACTGAACGTCACTTTCGATCCTTCATTTCCATAACTATCTACAGTATCCCCCTGCTGGCCCAGGGTGAGAACTTCAGTACATAACATTCTGGGTCCTCACCTCCTTGCAAAGAGGGGGGGACTCTGTTGCAACAGAAAACAAAAAATACGCCTCATATTTTACTAGTTCCTGCCTCCAGCTATTCTTCTCTGATTACAGGGGATCTCCTTGATGGAGAGATGGGCTATAAAAACCAACCCCATTCCCCCCCCACCTAATTTCAGAGGATGGGGCAAGGGAACGACCAGACAGGGGTAATGCCCCACTTGGAAAAGAAGGGGTGGCGCGCTTGTGTTAACTCAAAGATTTAGTTTATGGGGACAGCTTCACCCTTTGAATGTCTGCCTGGCTTGGGAAGCGACCCAGGAGTCGTGCGTAAAGGAAAACAAAAGGTTGGCAACTCATGGGGGGGGGGGGATGGACTGCCACAGGTGAGTTTTAAATGGGACGGCAGTGTAATAATCTTTTTCCTGTCGCCCGCATTTTAGAAGATGGATTTGCCACAGAAATATGGTGGGAGCCTTTCCTCCAGCAAGGCCGAGCCCTGGAGCTCAGCGGACGGGATGTGGTGGTGAGGCACATGGGGCTTTACTTCGTTTACAGCCAGGTAAGAGGGCAGGGCAGGATCCTGACCCTAGTTTGCCAGTGGTGGGGGCCACCCGGATTAGGTAGGGCTGGGAAGGAGGAGGCCTCATCACAACACACAAATGCACCCTCTTCTACTGGGCTGTGGTACGTAGCTCAGTGACCGAACCATCATTTCAAGCCCCGGTGGCATTTCATAGAATCGTAGACTTGCAACATTGGAAAGGACCACGAGGATCATCCAGTCCAACCCCCTGCCATGCAGGAATATTTTGCCCAATGTGGGATTCAAACCCACGACCTTGAGATTCAGAGTCTCAAACTCTAAGGACTGAGCAATCTACTGACTGAGCAGCAACCCTGGAGAGTCGCTGCCATCCAGTCAGTTTAGACCAGGAGCAGGGTTCGGATCCCTGCATAGCCATGAAACTTCCTGGGTGGTCTTGGGCCAGTTGCCAATTCTTTGATGTTGTTGAGTCGTTTAGTCGTGTCCGCCTCTTCGTGACCCCCTGGACCAGAGCAGGCCAGGCTCTCCTGTCTTCCACTGCCTCCCGCAGTTTGGTCAGACTCATGCTAGTAGCTTCGAGAACACTGTCCCACCATCTCGTCCTCTGTCGTCCCCTTCTCCTTGTGCCCTCCATCTTTCCCACCTTCAGGGTCTTTTCCAGGGAGTCTTCTCTTCTCAGGAGGTGGCCAAAGCCTTGGAGCCTCAGCTTCAGGATCTGTCCTTCCAGTGAGCACTCAGGGCTGATTTCCTTCAGAATGGAGAGGTTGGATCTTCTTGCAGTCCATGGGACTCTCAAGAGTCTCCTCCAGCACCAGAATTCAAAAGCACCCATTCTTCGGCAATCAGCCTTCTTGATGGTCCAGCTCTCACTTTTGTACATCACTACTGGGAAAACCATAGCTTTAACTATACGGACCTTTGTTGCCAGAGCTTTCCAAACTTTTCATGCTAGTGGCACACTTTTTAGACATGCATCATTTTGCAACATAGTAATTCAGTTTCACTAGCAAACCAGAGGGTAGACCAGGGGTCTGCAACCTGCGGGCGCTGTACTGGCTGTGACGTCGCATGGGGGCTGTGCGTGCGTTAGTCACGCACCGTCCCGACGTCACCTTCCCGCCCGCCCGCTACATTGTAAGGGGCATGTACGCTGGTCACTGCATTGAAAGGGGGCATGTACCCTGGTCACTCTTTTGAAGGGGAGTGAAGAGCACACACCAAAAAAAAAGGTAACTTGTTAATTTAACGTTTATTTCTATGAGGAGGAGTAATTCTGAGGGGTCAAACAAAGAAATAATAAAAAAGTGACAAAAAAGTTATTTTTATAATGACGAGTTTTGCGGCTCCCAGGTTTTTTTTTTCCTTCGGAAACGGGTCCAAGTGGCTCTTTTTGTCTTAAAGGTTGCAGACCCCTGGGTTAGACAAACCCCTTTCCAGCCCCGGGAGGAATGCAGGGAAAGTTGGTGCGACAGGTCCACACCCTGCAGCCGACACAATCGCGTGTTGTGACACACAGATTTGGAAAGCACTGTGTTAGCCCAACCTTCCTCGCAAGGTTGTTGTGAGGGGGAACTGGCGGGGGGGGAGAACCAGATACCCCACCTTGGAAGATAAAGGTGTTCTATAAATGAAATCAATAAGGAAATCGATAAAATTTGTCTTCTTCTCCTTCTTTGGCGATCACTCGTAGCCGAGTAAGATTGTCTTCCATAAACACGGTTTTCACAATGACATGATATTCACCACTCGACAGCTTCAAGAAAAATGCAGAGAGCAAAACCAACCCCTGTGTATGGCGTTAATTGACCTGACGAAGGCTTTCGACACTGTATATCGTAATGCCCTTCTGTCCTTCTGAAAATTGGATAAACATTGTACACATGTGTTGGGAAGACATTTTTTAAAAAATCATTTTTATTGATTTTCCAGTAAAAACAGCCAATCAACATATCCACATCATAATCCAATTAAAAACAAGAAACTAAAATTTAAAAAGACCAAATTGTAATTATTAATTTTTCTGGGCTCCTGATAGTCTGGACCTCTGAAGCATATCTCCAAATCTTCAGTCCTGCCTCTTCTCGTTGTTTTCGTATTTTCCGCCTTCTGGTCTTAACACTTTAAAGTTCTCCTTCGCTGGCTATGCGATTCTCAATCGTGTCAAAAATCATATGTCCTTTGAAATTTAAAGTTTATTTACAGAAACATTGTAAAATTAAGGAATGTTAGAAGGATGTTGGAATGAAGTAATGTGGTTTTAGCAGAGATGTCGTAAAGGATTAAGAAAAAAAAACAGATTGTTAAATGGTGAAAAGAGGGAAAGTAAAGTTACATTATATTAAGATAAAATAGAGGACAAAAACTGGAAAAGATGGAAAGGACTTGCTGAAATAGCTAATTGCACTAGAATACAAAAAAGGGAGGTGTGAGGAGGTCAAGGAAATAAGTAAATGAAAGATAAGTTATGGGAAGATTCATTGTATTTTTTTTCTTTCTTTTTTCTTTTTTATTTTTTCTTTCTTTTTTTATTGTGATGAGATGTTCTGCTCTTGCTTAGGATGCTGTTTTTTTATTTTTTTATTTTTGTAGCTTTTCAAATCTTAATAAATATTACTTAAAGGCAAAAAAAAATAAATAATCATATGTCCTTTCATCCACCGAACACAGCTTTATTTGTAAATATATGTGTGTTGGGAAGAAATTTGGCCCAGCCTTTTAAGGCTGACGGCACCACACAGACACTGCGGGAAATATTTGTGTGTGGGGAGAGCGATGTTGAGCACCCTTCAGGAAGTGTCCGGATTACACCCCGCTGCCTTTTGCCCTTCTTCGCCGCTGGGCCAGCGAAACCGACCCACACACCCCTTTTCTTCCCCCTAGGTGCTGTTCCATGACCCCACCTTTACTATGGGGCAGGTGCTGTGGCGGCAAGCTCCCGGGAAGCCCGGCCAAATCCTGTTCCGCTGCGTCCAGAGCATGCCCCCAAACCCAGAAAAGGCCTTCAACAGCTGCTATAGTGGAGGTGAGAGGAGAATCAGACCTGGCTGGCGGGAGGGAGAGATGCTATCCAGGACTCCTGGGTTCCCTTGAAAGGGGAGCGGGATTTGGGTTGGGGTGTTGGCGTCAAATGGTCTTGGGTTGCCACCTCTCTCCTGGGCAGAAATCCACCCCCCCGGCATTTTCTGGGGCTTCACCTGTTGAACCACGGCAAGTCAGTCAGCTGTCAAAGACTGGGGACAGGGGGGCAACCTTTGTGTATTCCACAGGGCTTTATGGTACTCAAGAACATTGTTATAGGGGGAAAACTGCTCCCTTTCATTTATGGGGTATTTCGGAGCCCTCCTATTGGTAGGAGGAAATAACAGAGGCCAACCAGAGTACCGTATTTTACGCTCTATAAGACGCACCAGACCACAAGACGCACCTAGTTTTTGGAGGAGGAAAACAAGAAAAAAATATTCTGAATCTCAGAAGCCAGAACAGCAAGAGGGATCGCTGCGCAGTGAAAGCAGCAATCCCTCTTGCTGTTCTGGCTTCTGGGATAGCTGTGCAGCCTGCATTCGCTCCATAAGACGCACACACATTTCCCCTTACTTTTTAGGAGGGAAAAAGTGAGTCTTACAGAGCAAAAAATACGGTATATTGGGAAGCAAAGCGGCTAGTAAGCCTGATCTTTTTTAACTGTTGCAAAGGGGTCCCCACTCACCACACGCAGGAGGGAGGAGGGACCCCAAACAATGGTGTGCAAGCACTTATATAGACTCTAGAAATTGCCCACCCTGTAGCCCAAGACCACCCCACAAAACATCATATATGCATCACAGAAGGAGGCGGTCTTCAGCAGAAATCCTGTCTGACAGGGTACCTGATAATGGGCCCTGATTGCTTTACCTGGGCAGCCTGGCCATTCTTTTGTGAGGGTTAAAACTTTAGCTCCTGAGTCCAGGTCACAGGCTCACCCTATTCACACACAAATATGCCCTTAAGACAGGATTTGTGAGCCAAAAAGACAATGGGAAGGCTTTCCCCATTTGCCTCCCTTACTGCAGAGGAATATTTGAGGTCGTTGGGAGAGTCAAAATGGCTTCAGGATTGCTCTCTGATACTATTTCAGACACATGGTTTATATACTTATGTACATTTATGAACATTTATGAACATTTATGTACATTTATGAACGTTTAATTTATATTTGAGACCTTAGAGTTCTTATAACAAAGGGGAGTGGGATTTGGTGAGGACACATGGGGTGTTGGCGTTGAACGGTTTCAAGTTGCCCCCTCTCTCCTGGGCAGAAACCCCACCCGGCATCTTCTTGCTGGGCCGGAGCTTCACCTGTTGAACCTCGGCAAGTTAGCTGTCAAAGGCCAGACAGGGGATGGGGTGGGGGGTGGGATGCAGGGCCAACCTTTGTATATTCCAGGGAATTAATGACACTCAATAACACCTACTGCCCGCGGACTGCCTCGCCAGAGTGGCGCATGCTCTGGTTATCTCCCGCTTGGACTACTGCCATGTGCTCTACGTGGGGCTACCTTTGAAGGTGACCCGGAAACTACAACTAATCCAGAATGCGGCAGCTAGACTGGTGACTGGGAGTGGCTGCCGAGACCATATAACACCAGTCCTGAAAGACCTACATTGGCTCCCAGTACGTTTCCAAGCACAATTCAAAGTGTTGGTGCTGACATTTAAAGCCCTTAAGCGGCCCAGTAGACCTGAAAGAGCGTCACCACCCCCATCGTTCTGCCCGGACATTGAGGTCCAGCTCCGAGGGCCTTCTGGCGGTTCCCTCGCTGCGAGAAGCAAAGCTACAGGGAACCAGGCAGAGGGCCTTCTTGGTGGTGGCCCCTGCCCTGTGGAACGCCCTCCCATCGGATGTCAAAGAGATAAACAACTACCTGACATTTAGAAGACATCTGAAGGCAGCCCTGTTCAGGGAAGTTTTTAATGTGTGACATTTTAATGTATTTCTAATCTTTGTTGGAAGCCGCCCAGAGTGGCTGGGGAAACCCAGCCAGATGGGCGGGGTACAAATAATAAATTATTATTATTATTATTATTATTATTATTATTATTATTATTATCATCATTATCACTGAAATTGAAATACTCCAAAGCCCCTATTCCTACCAATCCTGCAAGACAATTTGCTAGCGTCAAATTCAGCAGGATGAGACCCTGTCAGGATGAGGCCGCTGCCAGGGGAACGAGAGGCCTTTGAGAGGAAGGGGTTTCCGCCCCGCTGTGTCTCTGCCTGACCCTTCTCTTCCTCCTCCTCTTAGGGGTTTTCCACCTGCAGTCTGGAGATCGGCTCAACCTCCGCATCCCTCGTTTCAACGCATCCTTTGACCTGACCGCCCACGGGACCTTCCTGGGGTTTCTCCGTCTATAGTGGTCTTCTCGGGGGTTCCCACCGTGAGAGACTTCGGGGCCAGAGTGTCAGTCAGCCAGAGTCAAAGACTTCTCCGTTCTGCTCCGAACTTTGAGGGTCTGATGGGGGAGACGCTCTGGGGACCAGGGGGATGAGCTGGTATTTGTCGTAGGAAGCGAGGTAAAGAGCTTAGGCCAAGCTGAGCTGCTTGATTACGTCCTTTTTCCAAGATGGCAGAGCCTTTCCTGGCCCGCAGTGAGAGCACACAAGGCCCCCGGGATTATAAGAGCAACAGCATGTTCTTTCGTGGCCGGGAAGGGTTTGCCATCCAGGCGTCCGCCAAGGACAAAAATGGATTTTCCCAAGCCCTTATGGTCGCTACTTCAAGCTTGGGAGGATAAAATACCCAGTACAGTGGTACCTCGGGTTACATACGCTTCAAGTTACATACGCTTCAGGTTACAGACTCTGCTTACCCAGAAATAGTACCTCGGATTAAGAACTTTGCTTCAGGATGAGAACAGAAATCGTGCTCTGGCGGCGCGGCGGCAGCAGGAGGCCCCATTAGCTAAAGTGGTGCTTCAGGTTATGAACAGTTTCAGGTTAAAAACGGACCTCCGGAACGAATTATGTACTTAACCAGAGGTACCACTGTATCTATTACGCATCAGCATAAAGACCTTAACGCCTTGGCACCACTGGAACGCACTTTCTATAAACACCGTTTTCATTGGGACACCTTTTCAGACATTTGGACGGCGTATACTGTCTTGTAAACTAAGATGGATATGCAGTCATACCTCGGGTTACAGACGCTTCGGGTTGCGCGATTTCAGGTTGCGCGCCATGCCGAACCCGGAAGTACTGGAATGGGTTACTTCTGGGTTTTGGCGCTTGTGCAGAAGTGCCGAACGGCAACCTGCGCGTGTGCAGACGTGGCGCTGCGGGTTGCGGACGCTGCGGGTTGCGAACACGCTTCCCACACAGATCATGTTCGCAACCTGAGCGTCCACTGTGCTGCAATGTTGGTTATTGTTCTGTTAAAAGTAAACTTACAGAGGGTTGCTTTTCCCCTCCCTGCCCCCTCTTTCTCCCGCCAAATAATTTTTTCAATTAAAGTATGATTTCAAAGCACATGCAAACGGCGTCCACCACGTTTTGGACTACAATTCCCATCATCCTGAGCGAGTGCAGTCCAACTCCCTGGCTCTGATGGGTTTTGTAGTCCAAAACATGGCAGGCACCAGTTTGGTGAAGGCTGATTTAAGAACATAAGAGCCTGCTGGATCAGTCCAGTGCAGGACACTGAACACAGGAGCCGCTCTCCCTTCCTGTGGCTTCCAGCTGATTCCAGCGCATGTCTTCTTCACCCCTTCCGCCGGTCACCAGAGGGTCCGAGACGATGACCTCAAGGGCACCCAGCCCTACATGGACCCCTCAGCTCCCACACTGTTACACCAGCACCACATTTAACCCCAAGCCCCTTCCCTACGCCCATTCGCTACATTGTTTCCATTGGTAAACCATGTATACTAATGTTTTGTATCTCTTGAATGGGAACGTTCTACCCAATCAGAACCATGCGCTCGCCCCTGCAGAGGACTAAAATCTATAAAAATCCATAGAAAATCAACCGTAGCACCAATTTTCTTGCTTTTGGTGCCAATCTGCTTAATTTCCCTAGGACTCCATGACACCTTCACTGTCCACCATAATCCCTCAAGCGAGGTGTCACGTACACACAGGAAGACCCTAATCCCGTCAAATCACTCTGCCAAGCCTTTCCTCCGGGCAGTGCCCGGTGGCAGACTATGCATACATGGACCATTGTCCTTTCATCACAGGTACTCAGGATGTACTTATCTGCGCATATCTCCAGCTCTGCATATTCCCCCCTCCCTCCTCCATATGTTAATCCTGTGTAACCCAACCTCTCCTTAATGTATTCATGATGTAACCGTGATGTATTTTGCACTGTATCCTGGGACATGGAGGGAAGTTTTAAAAGTTCATGTCACCCCTTCCTCGGGGTTCAATCTCGCCTTGAGCCTGTTGCGCAATAAACTTGGATCTTCTGCATCTTGCTCCTGTCTCCGGCTGAGCTCATTTTCCTCCGCAGGGACCCGCGGACTTAGTCCGATGAGCTGGGTGGCAGAGTAGCCTGGCACCCAGATTTTACCGTAACACAGCAATTGATATTCAGAAGCGACTGCAGAGAACATAGGCATGTTGGCTAGTTGCCAGCCATAGCTCTCTCCTCCTCCAGGAATTTGTCCCATCCTCTTTCAAAGCTGCAGCAGGGAGTTCCACAATTCTGCTACGCACTGCATTTAAGGCCAAAGCACTGTCCTTTTAAGACCTACACTCGTTGGCCAAAGTTGTGGAAACCCTTTTGGAGAAAGTGTATTTCCGACGTTTGCTGGCTCATAACGCCACTTTCTTTTGGAGTAATACCATCAAATGATATATCAGTGGAAAGATAATTTAATGAAGAGTGTAATGCAACAAAGTTTGTTCAGTTATCTGTATTCTATCAAACGTTATAGCCAAATAACCAGAAAAAGGAGAGTTTAGAGAGCCAATCAGGTGTAATCTTGTTTGGGCAATCATAGCTCATAACACCACTTTTTTTGGAGCAATACCATAAAATTATATATCAACGGAAAGATAATTTAATGAAGAATGTAATGCAGTATCTTTTATGATAGATTATTTATTACAACAGGTTTGCTACTCTGTCCTCCCCCCTAGCAGTTCCTTCTATTTGGAACAGCAATGAGGAGTTGAAGATTTCCCAACGCTTTGTTTTCTGTTTCGCAAGTACACTGGTAACCACAAACAGCTGCCAACTGCAAATAGGCAAAAACTTGGCAGTTTCAGCATTTTTTTTTTGGCTTTGTTTACTAAATACAACGCTAGATTAAGCCGCTCTCTAGGGCACCAGACAATTTTTGTGATTTGCATAGGAACATTTTATGGGGGGAATACAATTCAGAGTTTTCAAGAAAGCCCACATCACTGATAATGAGCTAGTGGTGCAGCCCTTTCTCCTTGCACAGAAATAGAAAGGGCCGTAACAGGTGAGTTTTACCTGCCACACACCGGGGGGGGGGGGGGAGGAAGGCAGGGATTGCGACTTTGCCTCTGCTTCCTGTAATGCAATTGCCCTTGCAGAAAAATGCTGTCGAGTTGCTCCTTCTCCCCAGTTTGGAATATTCTTCTGCAGGAAACAACAGTCTTGTAAGCTGAGAAGGTGTCCGTGTAATTGTACTATTGTGAAATAGCATTTTATAAGGCCGTTTTTCGCCAGAATCCAATTTTGGAGGGAGCTGTTTCCAGTCTGTTGTGGTTTAAACTATTGTAATATTCTATTTTATTAAATCTTTTATTGTAGGCCTCCTTGGGAACATATTTGTGGGACGGGGGGCAACTTTTAAAATATAAGAAATGCTAGATGAAGCGGAGGGGTACGGTCTTGAACCCAGACTCTGTGGCTTTACAGCAGGAAGCTCTGAGTAAGAGGTGCAAGCTCAGATATGCTCTCGCTTTGTTGCTCCAGTGGAGGAAAGTCTATAATGATGATGATGATTTATTTATACCCTGTCCATCTGGCTGGGTTCCCCCAGCCACTCTGGGCGGCTTACAGCAAAATATTAAAATACTTTCGTTCTCTAAATGCTAAATGTCATCCAAAGAAACGGACAGGCTGTAGACTCAGGGCAAACAAAGGGAACATTATTCGAGGCACAATTGACTCAATGAATCCGTTGTCCTAAGATGCGGTTATGGCTTTCAGGGCAAATCAGCTTCAGGCAAAGGCTTCACAGTCATGGGTGGCTATTAGCTATGACAGATTAAGGCTCTTCATCGGGGTTAACGTTCCCACTTGGCAGAGACCTTGCTGACCCCAGAAAAGCATGAAGAGGATTGATCTGCAGAGGAGAACCCCACGCCCCTTCTGAATAGCGGAGCCTATTCTGCTTGTGGGTATGCAGCCTTAAAAAGAAAAGTCGAACGTGGTGGATCTGGCCCATCTAGTCCAGGATCCTGTCCTTGCAGGATACCCCAAAAGGGAAACCCGCAAGCAGTTGCTGGATTTCTGTATAGGCTAAGTAGGCTGAAGGGACGCGGGTGGCGCTGTGGGTTAAACCACAGAGTCTAGGACTTGCTGATCAGAAGGTCGGCGGTTCAAATCCCCGTGACGGGCTGAGCTCCCGTTGCTCGGTCCCTGCTCCTGCCAACCTAGCAGTTCGAAAGCACGTCAAAGTGCAAGTAGATAAATAGGTACCACTCCGGCAAGAAGGTAAATGGCATTTCCGTGTGCTGCTCTGATTCGCCAGAAGCGACTTAGTTATGCTGGCCACATGACCCGGAAGCTGTACGCTTTCCAAAATGGTTGCAAAGCAAGGTACCACTGTACAGTGAAAGTGACAAACTTAAGACAAACAAATTTTGATGAAGTTGTCCGATGTCCTTTAGAGGAGAAATTGGGAATTGCAGAATTTTAAATATCTGTTGTCATCCTTGGCTTCACTCAATTTTGTTTATAACTGTAAAGTTGTGGGTGAACATATCAGATGACACAGCGAGTCTCCAAACAGCTCTTGTTTATTCACAGGTCAGAACAGAACTGAACTGAAGGGTTCAGCCAGCCTGCTTATACAGAGCTCCAGTACAACGTAACTGTAACAACTTTCTGTAACTATCCAATCACTGAATGTCACTTTCGATCTCTTATTTGCATATGTGGACCTGAGTGAAAACTATCTACAGTATCCCCCTGCTGGCCCAGGGTGAGAACTTCAGTACATAACAATAACACTCTTCCATTTTCTTCTAGTCGTGAGGGTGGGGGGTTGGGAGGGGCCTCACAAGTGGAGTAGCCAAGGGCCTCTCTTCATCAAAATCCGGCCCTGCCCCGAGCACAAGAGTCCTCTGCCCTCCTGTGGTTGCCAGCAATTGGTGTTCAGATGGTGCCAAAGCATAGCCATTGCGGCTGGAAACCGTTTTCCTCCACAAATTCCTCCACTGCTCTTTTAAAGCCACCCAAGTTGGTGGCCATCACTCCGTTCTCTCCTGAGGCGGGGAGTTCCGTAGTTCTAACCACGCGCTGCTCAAATAAGCACATCCTTCCGTTTATCTGCCCTGAACCTTCCAACATTCAGCTTCGCCGGCTGTCTGCATGTTCTGGTGTTGCGAGAGACGGAGGAGAAACTTTTCTCTAAACACTTCCTCTGTGTCGGGTATAATTTTATGAACTACTTTCTAGAATAAAAGGAGCTCAGGGATTTTAAATATATATATATAGTTTTCCCAGTAGTGATGTATGGAAGTGAGAGCTGGACCATAAAGAAGGCTGATCGCCGAAGAATGGATGCTTTTGAATTCTGGTGCTGGAGGAGACTCTGGAGAGTCTCATGGACTGCAAGAAGATCAAACCTCTCCATTCTGAAGGAAATCAGCCCTGAGTGCTAACTGGAAGGACAGATCCTGAAGCTGAGGCTCCAAGACTTTGGCCACCTCATGAGAAGAGAAGACTCCCTGGAAAAGACCCTGATGTTGGTGTGATAGGGTTTTTATTTACAACATTGGGAAAGATGGAGGGCGCAAGGAGAAGGGGATGACAGAGGATGAGATGGTTGGACAGTGTTCTCGAAGCTACCAGCATGAGTTTGACCAAACTGCGGGAGGCAGTGGAAGACAGGAGTGCCTGGCGTGCTCTGGTCCAGGGGGTCACAAAGAGGCGGACACGACTAAACAACAACAACAACAACAAATATATATATGCGTGTGTGTGTGTGTGTCTTTTGTTTCTCAATTTGATCCTTTTTACCGGCTTGTTTTAATGTGCTGCAAACCGCTTTGAGATTTTATTTTCTGGGAAATATAAAGCGGTAAAGAAATGAATTGAACCGCAGAAACTTCACTAATTATTTGCACCCCATTTCTCGTTGCCAGCGCCAACCTGGTGCAATGTTTAGGGAAGCTTTTAATGTTTGATGTATTACGGTTTTTTAATATTTTGTTGGAAGCCACCCAGAGTGGCTGAGGAAACCCAGCCAGATGGGCGGGGTATAAATTATTATTATTATTATTATTAATGTACTAAGCAGTATTTAAAGCAAAGGGCTGTAAACAAAACACAAAACCAATTTGAACACAAAATACCCCCAAAGCAGAAAGAAAATAGAGTCCAATTTAAAAAATAACCCCTTTCCAGCAAAGGGGTGAGGAACCACAATGGCTGACCCCTGTTGGAGACAGAATACTGGGCTGCGCATGAATCTTTACCCTAGGTCTGCAAAGGAGGCGTCTGAAACAGGATCTCGCGGGACTTGAGGCTATAATATCGCGCGACTGGAGGCAGGCGTGAAGCGTTCGGCGAGATCGGACGTCGCGCTCTCGCGAGATCCGAGCAGAAACAAGCGGAGAGGTCGCGCAACCCGCCGCCGCGGGATAAGAACATAGAGTTACCAAAAGGGTAGAGCAGCGTGCTTCCCTTTTTTTAATCGGAGCTTCCGGGTTCCTTTCGACCCTGTTTTGATTTTGTGTTAAAAAAGAAACCTTGGAAGAAGAAACATACAAGAAGAGTTTGGAAAACAGGACTGGACGGGATTCAGACGTTTATTTGGGTCGTTCCAGAAGTAGAAGGGGGGAGGGCGCACCCCAACAAAATCATGATTGTGTCAAAGTTGAACTGCAAAGATCAACACAAATTTTGTGGGCATCAGTGAACAGAATAATTGGGAATAAGGTTTCAGATTTACGCCCTGCGAATGCCTTGCTTTGACAGGGCAAGGAGAACTGTAGTTTTATGAAAGATATCCTGGCAACTCTCAGCACCCTTAGCAAACTAGAGTTCCCAGGATCCTTTAGGGGGAGCTGCGACTCTCAAAGTGGGGCAGGAGTGCTTCGAATGCATGGTGCAGATGGGACTGTAAAGGTAAAGGTAAAGGGACCAGTTGTAAAGGTAAAGGTCCAGTTGTGGCCGACTCTGGGGTTGCGGCGCTCATCTCGCTTTATTGGCCAAGGGAGCCGGCGTACAGCTTCCGGGGCATGTGGCCAGCAGGACTAAGCCGCTTCTGGCGAACCAGAGCAGCGCACGGAAACGCCGTTTACCTTCCCGCCGGAGTGGTACCTATTTATCTACTTGCACTTTGACGTGCTTTCGAACTGCTAGGTGGGCAGGAGCAGGGACCGAGGAACGGGAGCTCACCCGTCGCGGGGATTCGAACCGCCGACCTTCTGATCGGCAAGTCCTAGGCTCTGTGGTTTAACCCACAGCGCCACCCGCGTCCCCAGATGGGACCTTAGGGCTCAGGAAATACATTTGGTTCCTCTAAGATGGCGGGGAGGAATGCCATTTGAAGTAACAGAGGGGACTTCCTTTCACATGTGGTGGGATTGTAAAATTATAAAGAAATATTGGGAAATGATTTACAGTGAAATGAAGATGATGTTTAAAGTAGCCTTTGTTAAAAAAAACTCAGAAGCTTTCCTATTAGGTATTACAGGAACGGACATACCAAGATCACGAAAGAACTTATTTATGTGTGCAACTACGGCCGCACGGACACTGTTAGCACAACATTGGAAAGAAGAAGGCGTCCCATTCAAAGAAGATTGGTAAGTTAAATTAATGGAATATGCTGAACTGGCAAAACTGACAATGAAACTAAGAGGAAGAGCCGACAACGAATTTAAAGAATAATGGGAGATGTTTATTGCATATACGATACGATAATCTTTTATTGTCATTGTCCCATACAGAACAACGAAATTGAAAAAATCTACACCAAACATTCAAAAACCAACAAGACTGCTATCCCAGCCTGGTTAACCCCCTAAAAACTCTGATACCCCATAATTAAATACAGTATACTCCCATAGAGACTACCTTACACTGCGTTTAAAACCAAAATCGCATTTGGATAGAAACTTTTTCTCAGGCGGCTAGTCCTAGTCTTTATAACCCTGTCCCTTCTTCCAGAAGGCAGAAGCTGAAAGAGATCATTTCCGGGGTGCGCACTATCCTGCGCTATCTCTGCAGCTTTCTTACGGCACCTGGAAGCATAGATTTGATCCAAGGTGGGAAGAGTGCACCCAATTATCTCTCTCTCTCTCTCTCTATATATATATCTACATATCTATATATCTATACACAGAAGCATTGTACCAGGTTAATACATTAGCACGGTGTTAGGACTAATTGTAATTTGGATATGAATGGACAACAGGTACGTAATTTATATGGTTCTTAAATCTAGCAATGAACATGCGATATGTTGAGTAATAATGGAACCAAGGAAGGGACTAGGGGGAAGCCAGCTTGATTTGTTTTGGATTTGTATTGTTGTTGTTTTTATAAATGTTATTTTTGGAAAATCAATAAAATATTATCAAGAAAAGCAGGATTTGCGGGGACAGAAGAAAGCCTAAGGATCCAGGACTCCGGGGTTCCTGGGAGAGACAGACAGGGGTTCGGGGTATAGCGCAACCTTCATCCACCAGGCACCCTCCAGATGCTTTGGACTACAACTCCCATTATCCTGAGTGTTATGTACTGAGTTGAATAGGATCCAAAATGCAGCAGTCTGATTGGTCCCAGAACAATAGGATTCAGAATGCAGCAGTCTGATTGGTCCCAGAACGATAGGATTCAGAATGCAGCAGTCTGATTGGTCCTAGAACAATAAGATCCAAAATGCAGCAGTCTGATTGGTCCTAGAACAATAGGATTCAGAATGCAGCAGTCTGATTGGTCCCAGAACAATAGGATCCAGAATGCAGCAGTCTGATTGGTCCCAGAACAATAGGATCCAAAATGCAGCAGTCTGATTGGTCCTAGAACAATAGGATCCAAAATGCAGCAGTCTGATTGGTCCCAGAACAATAGGATCCAAAATGCAGCAGTCTGATTGGTCCTAGAACAATAGGATTCAGAATGCAGCAGTCTGATTGGTCCTAGAATGCAGCAGTATGATTGGTCTGCAGGAGCCACCCAATCCAGCTCCAGATGGAAGTGAATCCACAACCTGATTGGCCTACAGGAGAATTCCAGAATTAGCCAATCACGTGCAGCCCATTGTGTAAATAATGTATATAAAGCAGATACTTTGGGGGAACTTTCATTCCTCCGCCCACCATGAGCTGAATAAAGAGCATGAAATCCACTCTCGACTCTGAGTATATTTCACTGAGCAAGCACAGCCAAGCTCCCGGGGTCTGATGGGAGTTGTAGTCCAAAATTCCCAGAGGGCGCCTGGCTTGGTGAAGGTCCGTCCAGCAGGAATGGGCCTAAACCTTTGCCAAAATGGCCTCTAGGGCTTGGAGCCAGGGGCATGAAAAGGAATCCTGAATAATTTTCTGGGCCAAACAACTACTGCCATTATATCTCGGCTGCTATTTCCTCGCTTGCTGCGCTAGCTTCTGGACATGCGCTCCTTCGATGTGGCAGAGGTGCCAGTGGTCCTGAATTGTGACGTTCACGGCTCCCAACTTGGCGTAGAAATCCATCGCCGGCTGGTTCCACCGGGCACAGATGAAGCGGAACTCAGAGCAGCCTTTCTCCAATGCGATCTGAGGGGGTGGAGGCGGAATTGGAGGCCGTTATTTATTAATTTTATTTCATAAAAATTTTCCATACCTCTTCATTGTGTGTGGAGGGGGGGGCTGAAAGCAGTTTACAAAAAAAAAGGATAAAAGCAAGAAAATCAAGTGAAATCTGCAACTCAACTTTAAAAGACACGGCAGTTAAAATCCTAAAAGCAGATTAGCATCATCTCAGCCTTCTAAGCATCTGGGTGGGTGGGTCTAAACAGGAATAAAACTGCCCTTTATCAAAATATCTTAGGCAACGTACAACCTTAAGAACATCTGCCTCAAAGAATTTTGGGTACCGTACTTACAATCCCTGGGAACCTTTACGATAAGATAATCTTTATTGTCATTGTCCCATACAGAACAACGAAATTGAAAAAATCTACGCCAGACATTCAAAAACCAACAAGCCTGCTATCCCAGCCTGTTTAACCCCCTAAAAACTCTGATAGCCCATAATTAAATACAATACAGTGGTGCCCCGCAAGACGAATGCCTCGCAAGACGAAAAACTCGCTAGACGTAAGAGTTTTCCGTTTTTTGAGTCGTTCCGCAAGACGAATTTCCCTATGGGCTTGCTTCGCAAGATGAAATGTCTTGCGAGTTCTTGCAAGTTTGTTTCCTTTTTCTTAAAGCCGCTAAGCCGTTAATAGCCGCTAAGCCGTTAAGCCGTTAATAGCCGCTAAACCGCTAATAGCCGCTAAGCCGCTAATAGCCGTGCTTCGCAAGACGAAAAAACCGCAAGACGAAGAGACTCGCGGAACGGATTAATTTCGTCTTGCGAGGCACCACTGTATACTCCCACAGAGACTACCTTACACTGCGTTTAAAACCAAAATCGCATTTGGATAGAAACTCTTTCTCAGGCGGCTAGTCCTAGTCTTTATAACCCTGTTCCTTCTTCCAGAAGGCAGAAGCTGAAAGAGATCATTTCTGGGTTGCGCACTATCCTGCTTTCTGCAGCTTTCTTATGGCACCTGGAAGCATAGATTTGATCCAAGGTGGGAAGAACAATGGTAAAATGCCATCAAACGACAGCGGCTAAATAATTCTTTCCGCAGAGAAATGGGCTTTGAATAATAATAATAATAATAATACTACTAATAATAATAATTTATTTATACCCCGGCTGGGTTTCCCCAGCCACTCTGGGCAGCTTCCAATAAAACACTAAAATACAATAACCTATTAAACATTAAAAGCTTCCCTAAACAGGGCTGCCTTCAGATGTCTTCTAAAATTTTGGTAGTTATTTTTCTCTTTGACATCTGGAGGGAGGGCGCTCCACAGGGCGGGCGCCACCACCGAGAAGGCCCTCTGCCTGGTTCCCTGTGACTTGGCTTCTCATAGTGAGGGAACCGCCAGAAGGCCTTTGGAGCTGGACCTCAGTGTCCGGGCTGAAGATGGGGGTGGAGACGCTCCTTCAGGTCTACTGGGCCTTTGAGGGCTTTAAAGGTCAACACCAACACTTTGAATTGTGCTCGGAAACGTCCTGGGACGGTCTCAGCCTGACCTACTTCGCAGGGTTGTTGCAAGGATATGATGAAGAGGGGGGGGAACTATGTACACCACCTGGAGCTCCTTGGACGAGGAGGTGTGGTATAAATGTAAGAAACGGATAAATAGTCCGTTCACACTCTGGCCTGGTTCAGTCAGGGGTGGCTAGCCAGGCTCCTTCACAACAACAACAGCACACACGCAAACACACACACCCGTTCAGCCTCACCTTTGCCACTTTATTCATTAAACTCGTGCCAATGCCTTTGCCTGGTTGGGAAAACGGGGGAAAACGAATGAACAAGTTAATCACACTTCATTTTTAGCTGTGGACATTCTGAACTAGGCTTTGAGCGTTTTCTTGGTTTAAAAAGATCTGCTTGTGTGATGGCCTGGGACTCGGGCTCGGACGCGGAGCCAGAGGCGTCTCAGTCTGCACCGGATCCTTTGCCTCAGGCATCATCTGAACCAAGTCTGGGGCCTGATTCTGAAGAGCCCCAGTCTGCCCAGGTTCCCCTGCAACAAGCACCAGCTGGGCTGAGTCAGGGGCCTGATCCTGCCCTGGCTCCAGATGCGGGGACGACCTCGTTGCCTTCAGCTGGGCCATCACTTACAGCTGCTCCACTACCGCTTGGGTCAGGGGAGGCTGAGGCGGCCTCTGGGTCTAGTAACCCACCGACGTCTCCTGAGCTGCAGAGACTGAGGTCTGAGAGAAGGAGAGTCCTGAGTACTCGCAGGAGGAGTGCTCGCCTTTGGGCGAGACAGGGAGGCGAGTCACCGGGGGATCAGGACCGGCCGTTACCCCGGCAAAGATAAAAGGCTGCTGGACCCTGCTCCAGGTTGTGGAAGCAACATTGCTGTATGCCAGATCCTGCCTGAGATCCTGTACCTGTCCTTGCCTGGTTTCCTGCCTCAGCCCTGTCAGACTGACTCCATGCAGAACCCTTGGATTTGGGACTGGGACTGGATTGCATTTTACGGGTTACCCCTGGGCCCAGCACAGCTTGGTTCAGTTAATATTGCCAAATTTTATATATATATATAGAGAGAGAGAGAGGTAAAGGTAAAGGGACCCCTGACCATTAGGTCCAGTCGTGAGCGACTCTGGGGTTGTGGCGCTCATCTTGCTTTACTGGTCGAGGGAGCCGGTGTACAGCTTCTGGGTCACGTGGCCAGCATGACTAAGCCGCTTCTGGCGAACCAGAGCAGCGCACGGAAACGCCGTTTACCTTCCCGCTGGAGTGGTACCTATTGATCTATTTGCACTTTGACGTGCTTTTGAGCTGCTAGGTTGGCAGGAGCAGGGACCGAGCAACAGGAGCTCACCCCGTCGCGGGGATTCGAACCGCCAACCTTCTGATTGGCAAGTCCTAGGCTCTGTGGTTTAACCCACAGCGTCTATATATATATATATACTCTGTACACACACAGAAGCACTGTACCCAGGTTAATACATTAGCAGGGTGTTAGGACTACAGTCATACCTCAGGGTAAATACACTTTGAGATGAATATTTTCGGGTTCCGCTCTGCGGTGACCCGGAAGTAACGGAGCGCGTTACTTCCAGGTTTCGCTGTGCACGCATGCGCAGACGCTCAAAATGACATCACGCGCATGCGTGGAAGTGCCAGAACGCAACCTGCACACGTGCAGACGTGCGGACACAGGTTGCATTCGCTTCAGGACTTTTTTAAAAAAAGCTGTTGCAGTGTGAACCCTTTTTTTAGTCTGAGGGCCAGATTCCCATGCGCACAACCTTCTGGGGGCCACTTACCAGAGATGGGCAGGGCCAGAGGCGAAACTGGGTGAAAGAACTGTTGTGGGAATTTATGTATGAGGACCCTGTTGCAACAGCTTTAATAAAGATCAGGCTTACTAGCCGCTTTGCTTCTCAATATTCTCTGTTTGGCCTCTGTTATTTTCTCCTACCGATAGGGAACCCACTTAAGGACTCTATACGGGCTCTTGCAGACCCCATAAGGGAAGAAGGGCAGATTTTGTTTACAACAGAACTGACTCTTATCAGCAGGCAACTATCCAGACACTTTATTGCAACTGCAACAACCACTTCCCCAACAGTCAGACCATAGCTGTCAACTTACAGATTTGAAAATAAGGGACCAGCAGCCTCAAAAATAAGGGATCAGCAGCCAAAATAAGGGATTTTCCAAGCACAGCTATGTTCAACTTCTGAGCCCCTCCGAGCCAAAGGCAGAAAGCCCAGCCAGCAGCCAAACGAAGCCTCACGCGGTGGTTCCCACAGCGCAGCAACCCGGCAAAGGGGATGCAGCAAGGAAAACCACCGTCACCTCTCCGCTGGGAAGCGCTGAGCAAAGGCGAGTCCCCAGGCAACGCGGCCGATTTGATTGGCACAAGGCATGCAAGCTCCACCCCCCAGTCGTTCTCAGACTCCTTATTGGGTGAGCAACGCAGCCAAGCCACACAGTTGGAGCCTCCCTCCTCCCTGGCCGGCAGGGAGGGAGGGAGAGGAGCTGCTTCCTTTGAAACCCGGGAAATTAACATCATCAATAAGGGACAGCAGCGGGACACAGCGCTGGGATAAGGGACTTTCCCGCCAAATAAGGGACGGTTGACAGCTATGAGTCAGACCCATCCAGCAAACCCATAAAATGGACCCAAAAAAGGCTATGAAGTTTTTCCCACTTATCTGCCCTCCGATCCTTCACTATTCCTCATCCTAGTTTACTGATTATGGTCTGTGCGCTCAGTGAGAAGAGAGAGGAGTGCACTCTGCACATGTTCAGAGGCACCCAACTTCCCGAGTACCTCGGAATTCCGGCACAACGTAGAGATCTTCGCCGAAGAGGATTCTGCCGTACCACGTGCAGTAGGAGAGGTAATGGAACTGGTACCCGACTATTGTGCGACCTGGAGAGCAGGGAGGAGGAGCAAAATTAAAAAGCATATTAAGAGGGAATGGGCTGGGCGATAATTCCCAACACCAGCAGAAGCCCAAATTCAGCATCAGTTCACCTCCAGTTTTATGATTACCATATTTTTCCGTCTATAAGACACCCCCTGTTTTTTGGGGGACCCTGATTTAAGAAAATGGGATGACCCTGTGTATAAGACGTCCCCAAATTTTGGACATTATTTTTTAGGGGGAAAACCTAGTCTTATACAGTGGACGCTCGGGTTGCGAACGTGATCCGATGCACGTTCGCAACCAGCAGCGCCCACAACCTGCAGTGGCGCATCTGTGCAAGTGCGGGTTGCGATTTGGCATTTCTGCGCATGTGCGAGCGCCGAAACCCAGAAGTAACCCGTTCCGGTACTTCCGGATTTCGGTGGTCCGCAACCTGATAAAACGCAACCTGAAGGGTCTGTAACCCGAGGTATGACTGTATACGGAAAAATACAGTAGTTTTTGTTTTTATTTTTATTTATTAATTAAATTTGTATATCACCCTTCATCTGTAGATCTCAGGGCATCAAAATACAAGATAAAAACACAAAATACATACATAAGAAAAACAAGAACAAACCAAACCAATAATCTAAACCTCCCACAAACCTATTTAAAAGGATATTATGGGATGTTAACCAGCCCAAGGCCAGGTTGACTTAAAAACAAGATCAAAATACAACATTAAAATGCAGCCTCATTTCAGTAGAAACTCAAATCAAAAACTTTTTGGGGATGAAAACGTCAAATCATCAACAATGGCCCTCTCTTCCTCCACGAATTTGCCTAATTCTCTTTTAAAGACATCCGGCTTAGCGGCCGTCTCCACCTCCCTTCACCCCGCAGCGTATCGCGTAATAAATCGACAACCCCGACAATCGTTCCTCATCTTGATAATCATCCCGGTTTTGTATTTCTGTCCCTTACCTGCTGAGCTATATATATAGCCAGTTTCCTTGGCTTTCCCCGCCCACTAGGCAACGCTGCTCCACTTTCCCGCCCATGCCAAAAAGAAGTTTAGCATTTTCCCTTGCAAGGCTCAGTCCGCCTCTTTTGCTTACCGTCTTTGCTCTTCTGTTCCGGGGGCAGCTCAGCTACGAGGCACCCAAAGGTGGAATCTTTCTCAAACCCATCTTTTCTGAGAACTAGGAAGAAAGGGACAGATTTATTTAAACCACTGTTATGATTCATTGGACTATAGATATTGGTCATAATATACAAAAAATTATGGAACGAGGGAATAAAATTTACTGCATGTAGTGCATTGAAAGAAAACATTATGAAAATGATGGTGGTATATAGAAGGATAGATAGTAAAGAAAAGGAAGGAACTTTTATCACATGTGGTGGGAATGTAAAAAAGTGAAAAGCTTCTGGGAAATGATATATAATGAGATGAAAAAGATGTTGAAATATACATTTATTAAGAAATGGAGGATGAAGTTGATGGACTATGCAGAATTAGATAAATTAACAGGAAGGATTCGAAACCTGCGGGATCAGAGATTCTTAGAAGACTGGAGTAAATATATGAACTTTTTGAAAAGTAATTGTGATGAACAGACTACGCTAGTAGGACTGCAAGAAGTTTTGTAAGGTGGACTATTTGAAATACTGCAAGAATGACTATGAAAAGAATTATTAGTTAAGGACAATTAAATGTAATACAGGAATTAAGAAATGCAGAATAAGTGATAAAGAACGGAAAATCACCAGAGGTGTTGATGGAAGTCTAAAATATTGTATAAGATGAGAAGATATGTTGTATGACTGTTGGAACTGATATGTTTAAAAATGAATAAAAATAAAATAAAATAAAATGATGGTGGTATATACGTATAGAACACCAGCAAAATTAGCCAAAATGTATAAAATAGATAATAAATGTTGGAAATGTAAAGAAAAAGAAGGTACCTTTTATCATATGTGGTAGGAATGTAAGAAAGTGAAGGACTTCTGGGAAATGATTTATAATGAGAAGGAAAAAATGTTGAAATATACATTTGTTTAAAAAACCCCAGAAGGCCTTCTATTGGGTATTGTGGGTACAGAAATTCATAAGAATGATAAAAAAACCTGTTTTTATATGCGATAACTGCAGCAAGGACACTATTAGCCCAAAGATGGAAACAAGAAGAAATACCAACTAAAGAAGAATGGCAAGAGAAATTGATGAACTATGCCAAGATGGCGGGACTAACAGGGAAAACTCAAAACAAGCAGTAACAAACTTTCCTAAAGGGATGGAAGAAGTTTTCGACATATCTGGAAAGCAATTGTAATCAATTGACATCGCTTGTTGGGTTAAAAGAAGTTTTGTAAGGAGTAATTTATAAATTATTGTGAAGAGAATTAAGAATAGATGTATTGGAAATTTGAGTTTATAGCAATAACTATAGTAACAAAATGCATAATTTGTTGTTGTTGAGTCGTTTAGTCGTGTCCGCCTCTTCGTGACCCCCTGGACCAGAGCACGCCAGGCCCTCCTGTCTTCCACTGCCTCCCCCAGTTTGGTCAAACTTATTTTAGTAGCTTCGAGAACACTGTCCCACCATCTCGTCCTCTGTCATCCCCTTCTCCTTGTGCCCTCCATCTTTCCCAACATCAGGGTCTTTTCCAGGGAGTCTTCTCTTCTCCTGAGGTGGCCAAAGTCTTGGAGACTCAGCTTCACGATCTGTCCTTCCAGTGAGCACTCAGGTCTGATTTCCCTAAGAATGGAGAGGTTTGATCTTCTTGCAGTCCATGGGACTCTCAAGAGTCTCCTCCAGCACCAGAATTCAAAAGCATCCATTCTTCGGCCATCAGCCTTCTTTATGGTCCAGCTCTCACTTCCGTACATCACTACTGGGAAAATCATAGCTTTAACTTTTACCTCAGTCTAAGAACAGAATCTGAACGGTGGAAGGGCACCAGCGGTGGAAGGCATCATTAGGGAAAGCGTGCCTTGGTTTAAGAATGGTTTCGGTTTAAGAACGGACTTTCAGAACGGATTAAGTTCATAAACTGAGGTACCACTGTAGACAGACAGACAGACAATAGATAGATCAATAAATCGATAGATTGATGTTTGTTATGGAGATCGGGGTGAACCAAATCCCAGTTTGTGAGAGCCATTTTGCTTTCTACTAGTGTAGAATCCGAAGGTCTTGCAAAAGGCAGAATTCAGAAACCGGGAGGAAGGCTGAGAATACTCTTATCCTACAGGCATCCCATTTATAGAGCATTTATCTTGATTTGTTGACAGGTAGGTTAGACGGCGGTTCATCAAAGCGAATCTTATCTCATACAGTGGTACCTCGGGCTAAGTACTTAATTCGTTCTGGAGGTCCGTTCTTAACCTGAAACTGTTCTTAACCTGAAGCACCACTTTAGCTAATGGGGCCTCCTGCTGCTGCTGCCGCGCCGCCAGAGCATGATTTCTGTTCTTATCCTGAAGCAAAGTTCTTAACCCGAGGTAATATTTCTGGGTTAGTGGAGTCTGTAATCTGAAGCGTATGTCACCTGAAGTGTCTGTAACCCGAGATACCACTGTACTTTCCCATTGCATTTTCCCATCACTTTCCTTATTGCAAAAAAAACCACCCCTCTGATCTTTCGGGGGAATCCCCACCCCAAAACAGGTGACAGTCTGGAAGCACCTAGGGCTGCTGTCAAGGAGGGTGTGGGGAGAGATGCCATCCCTCAAGGTTACAGGGCAGTGTGCCAGCTGCAATCCATTTAAATATGAAATGCTGCCATCATCAGTTCCCATCATTCCTGACCACTGGTCCTCCTGTTAGCTAGGGATGAAGGGAGTTGTAGTCCAAAAGCGGCTGGAGAACCAATTTTGGAAAACCCTGGGCTAAATAATGACTCACTGCTGAAAACCCGAGTGGTCTCTTTTGGCAGAAAATGGAACCCGAGAACTCAGCGGAGCGATGTATTACTTGGTATCTTTGTAAGCTTTATTTTCAACTCTTTTAAGACTGTCCTGCAGTAAAGCTTTGAAACTCAAAATCAAAACAAACAAAAACAACCCCACGAAACGCTGCCATTGCTGCAGAATTTTCCTTACGTTCTGGGGTGGTTGTCAGCTGGTCCAAAGCTTTGTGGAAAGCTGCAGAGTCCTGGAAGAAGCAAAATGTTGTGTATGAGTCATGCAAGGCCCTTGGATTACAAGGCCAGCCGCATCGTAGGGACATAGGAAACTGACTTCTACCGACTCTGACCATTGGTGCATCCAGCCCAGCATTGCCTACACTGAATGGCAACAGCATCTCTCCAGGATTTCAGACCCAAGGAGCCATGCCTGCCCATCCGAGTGTGGCATAGTGGTCACTGCATCGGCCTAGGACCCGGGAGAGCAGGGTTCAAATCCTCCACTCAGCCAGTCGCTGTCTCCTTAGCCTAGCCCAGGCATAGGCAAACTCCGGCCCGCCAGAGGTTTTGGGACTACAACTCCCATCAGCCCTAGCTAACAGGACCAGTGGTCAGGGATGATGGGAGTTGTAGTCCCAAAACATCTGGAGGGCTGAGTTTGCCTGTGCCTGGCCTAGCCTACCTCACAAGGTTGTTGTGAGCATGAAATGGGGGCGGGGAGAGAGCTATCTACAATGCCTTGAGATCCTGGGAAGATCAAAGCGGTCAGTAAATGTGATACATGAATAAATAACAAATGTTCACCACCTTGAGCGGGTGGAATGCAAAGTTAATAAACGAATGGTTTGTTTATTGATACGGAAGGGGGGGGCATGTCTTCTTCACCTTCTTCTTCGCTACAATATATCCATTTATTTCCAATTGTCAATGTCAAAAGGGACTAGAATCTATAAAATTCATAGAAAATCAACGTGCCAATTTGCTCAATTTCTCTAGGACTCCATGACACCTCCCCTGTCCTCTATAATCCCTCAACCAAGGTGTCAAGACCCTAATCCTGTCAAATCACTCTACCAAGCCTTTCCTCAGGGGAATGCCAGGTGACAGAATATGCATACATGGACCACTAACTTCTCATCACCGGTACTCAGGAAGTGCTTATCTGCGCATATCTCCAGCTCTGCATATTCCCCCCTCCCTCCTCCGTATGTTAATCCTGTGTAACCCAACCTCTTCTTAATGTATTCATGATGTAACTAGGATGTATTTTGCAATGTATCCTGGGACATGGAGGGAAGTTTCAAAAGTTCATGTCACCCCTTTCTCGCTGTTCAATCTCGCCTTGAACCTGTTGCGCAATAAACTTGGATCTTCTGCAGTTTGCTCCTGTCTCCGGCTGAGCTCATTTTCTTCCGCAGGGACCCGCGGACCTAGTCCGACGAGCTGGGTGGCTCCAGGGGTTGCTGGAAGGAGGCGTACAAGGCCTTATCCAACCCTCTTAGGGACTCCGCTCCAGATTTGTGTAGGGTTTACTCCAGAGCCTTTTCCTCTCCTGTGTGCTGGCCTGAGGCTCGGCCTCGGAGCCAGAGGAGTCTCAGTCCGCACCGGATCCTTTGCCCCAGGCGGCAGCTGAACCTAATCTGGGTCCTGATTCTGAAGAGCCCCAGTCTGCCCAGGTTCCCCTGCAACAAGCACCAGCTGGGCCGAGTCAGGGGCCTGATCCTGCCCTGGCTCCAGATGCGGGGACGACCTCGTTGCCTCCAGCTGGGCCATCACTTACAGCTGCTCCACTACCGGTTGGGTCAGGAGGGGCTAAGGCGGCCTCTGGGTCTAGTAACCCACCGACGTCTCCCGAGCTGCAGAGACTGAGGTCGGAGAGAAGGAGAGACCTGAGTACTCGCAGGAGGAGTGCTCACCTTCGGGCGAAACGGAGGTGAGTCGCTGAGGGATCAGGACCGGCCGTTACCCCGACAGAGATAAAAGGCTGCTGGACCCTGCTCCAGGTTGTGGAAGCAACATTGCTGTATGCTAGATCCTGCCTGAGATCCTGTGCCTGTCCTTGCCTGGTTTCCTGCCTCAGCCCTGTCAGACTGACTCCTCGCAGAACCCTTGGATTTGGGACTGGGACTGGATTGCATTTCACGGGTTACCCCTGGGCCCAGCACATCCTGAAGATGTCCGGCAAGGCAGAGGAGGTCGAGGATCAGTTTTCCTTCCCCAAGATGGGCTCCCTTCCCAGGTGGACGAGCCCCATTTGCCCCTCATTCCCTCTTGACCATTAGACCCACTCCTGGTCTCGTCTGCTCCATCTTCTAGAGTCTGTCGTCACAGGCAGAGGATGTCCCTAACTCCCCGAGGCTTTCAGACCCACTGGCTCCCCTCGCCTGGTTCAGCCGGGGGTTGAAGCCGTTCCCGGTATGTGGCTGCTGTCACACGCCGACAGCTTCTCGGAGCCGCAGGTGAGAGCAGAGCGCAGGATGGGGTCCAGAGGTGGACAAACCACCCCAGAAGGAGCATGACGTGTCCCTCAACAGAGGTACTGTATTTTTTTCTCTATAAGACTCACTTTTCCCTCCTAAAAAGTAAGGGGAAATGTGTGGGCGTCTTATGGAGCAAATGCAGGCTGCGCAGCTATCCCAGAAGCCAGACCAGCAAGAGGGATTGCTGCTTTCTGGCTTCTGAGATTCAGAATATTTTGTTTCTTGTTTTCCTCCTCCAAAAACTAGGTGCGTCTTGTGGTCTGATGCGTCTTATAGAGCGAAAAATACGGTAATTTCTCTTTCCCGAATGCCCCGTACACCCCAACCATAAATGGGGTGGGGAGAAATCCAGCTCTGGGTCTAAGGCACTCCCTGTACCCAAATCTCCTGCTTTCTGGGTGCTCTCCTCGCCCTCCCACCCCCAAATCTCTTACCCTAATAAGTCGCATGATGGCCTTAAGGTCTCCTGTGGCCCAGGGGCGTATAATGTAACTCATGCTGAATCCTCCGAGATCCTTGCTCTCTGCTCTCCTGTCCTGGACTCTGATCTACTGAAGGGATGATCTCTCTTTTTTCCTGCTTCGCTGGATTTGACAATGGGAGGGGTCCCTCCCTCCCCCCCTCCCTCGGCTTTGGGTCACTAGGCCATCTCAATTTGCTGACGCTCAGCTGTTTTCTTGGGGAGTTGTGCCGGTTTGCAAACCCTGACCCATAAACAGGCGACAAGGTTCTTCCCCCCCCCGGTGAAAATTAACTTCTTTTGGCATGAGCTTGCATCACTTTCACCTCCTCCTTGAAGCAGTCTTGACCCAAGCAGGGGTGGGCTATGGGCAAGCAACCCAGGAGGTCACTTAGGGTGAGGGTTTGGGTCGAAGGGTGGCCCCTTTTAGATGGGAGGGGGGCGTCGCATACCAGCCACGGGCAGGGACAGATGGGAAAATGGGCAGAGGTTACATTCCGGACATGCAAAAGGCAGAGATTTCTGGACATCCTGTTAACGGGAAAATCCGAGGGCTCCCTTGGACAAAAAACAAAGACACCAACCAGGATTACTTGGAGCAAAACAGCAGCCTGTAGGCTTGGCCTTTATTGATCTGGGACCCAGAAAAATGGTGTGCAAGGCCTTATAAAGACTTTTGAAATTGCCACCCTGTAGATCAAGACCACCCCCAGAAACATCATACATACATCACAGAAGGGGTGTAACCTAAGACCACCCCCAGATACATCACAGAAAAGGCGGTCTAAAACAGAAATTTGAATATTGTTTTTCTCCTGTTGTTGTTTATCTCCTGTCTGGCAGGTTACTTGATTGGATTGCCTGGGGAGCCCGCCATTCTTTTGTAATGATAAATACTTAGTTCCTGGGCCAGGTCACAGGCTCACACCCTATTCAAACAGAGACATACCCTTAAGACAGGATTTGTGAAGGAAAAGACAATGGGGAGGCTTTTCCAGTTTGACCTTGCAGAGAAAACATTTGCTCAGTTTAGGAATCAAAATGGTTCCAGGTTGGCCTTCCTGTGCTGATCTATGTATGTGCTTGGTTGGTACACTTATGAACATTACCATATATCTAAGACCATAAAATTCCTGTCGGAATCCCACAACCCTCTCCTGCCATGCAAGCAAGTGGCGTTTTCTCAGCGTTCGAAAAGAGCAAGTTGTGTTGCTCTACGGATGGAAATGGCACTTCTGCCAGGAAACCCCTTTGGCAAGCCGGCAAAATGGGGCATCATAAAATCATCGAGTTTTAGAGTTGGAAGGGATAAAACATCAAATATTTAAAAATTCCCTAAATGGCTCGGTCCCATCTCCTAATCTGAAGTAGGAACAGCGTACTACTGTGTTGTAAACAAAAATTGCCCTTTTTCCCCTTATGGGGTATCCAAGAGCCCATATAGAGTCCTTACATAGGTTCCCTATTGGTAGGAGAGAATAACAGAGGCCAACCAGAGAATATTGAGAAGCAAAGCAGCTAGTAAGCTTGATCTTTATTGATCTGTTGCAACAGGGTGCTCCCCTCACCCTCAGGAGAGAGGAGGAACCCAGAACAATGGTGCACAAGGCCTTATAAAGACTTTTGAAATTGCCACCCTGTAGATCAAGACCACCCCCAGAAACATCATACATACATCACAGAAGGGGTGTAGCTCAAGACCACCACCCCAGATACATCATAGAATCATAGAATCATAGAATCCTAGAGTCGGAAGAGACCACAAGGGCCATCGAGTCCAACCCCCTGCCAAGCAGGAAACACCATCAGAGCACTCCTGACATATGGTTGTCAAGCCTCTGCTTAAAGACCTCCAAAGAAGGAGACTCCACCACACTCCTTGGCAGCAAATTCCACTGTCGAACAGCTCTTACTGTCAGGAAGTTCTTCCTAAAGTTTAGGTGGAATCTTCTTTCTTGTAGTTTGGATCCATTGCTCCGTGTCGCTTCTCTGGAGCAGCAGAAAACAACCTTTCTCCCTCCTCTATGTGACATCCTTTTATATATTTGAACATGGCTGTCATATCACCCCTTAACCTCCTCTTCTCCAGGCTAAACATGCCCAGCTCCCTTAGCCGTTCCTCATAAGGCATCGTTTCCAGGCCTTTGACCATTTTGGTTGCCCTCCTCTGGACACGTTCCAGTTTGTCAATGTCCTTCTTGAACTGTGGTGCCCAGAACTGGACACAGTACTCCAGGTGAGGTCTGACCAGAGCAGAATACAGTGGCACTATTACTTCCCTTGATCTAGATACTATACTCCTATTGATGCAGCCCAGAATTGCATTGGCTTTTTTTGATCATACCTATCACAGAAAAGGCGGTCTAAAACAGAAATTTGAATGTTGTTTTTCCTGTTTGCTAGGTTATCTGATTGCCTTTCCTGATAGTCTGTCACCCATTAAAATGTTGATTACTCAATTCCTGAGACAATGGGAAGGCTCTCTGACCCCCTCCCTCCTTGCAGGGAAAACATTTGGTCAGTTTGGGAATCAAAATGGTTTCAGGTCGGTCTTTCTGTTCTGATCTATGTATGTGCTTGGTTGGTACACTTATGAACATTGTTGTTGTTGTTTAGTCGTTTAGTCGTGTCCGACTCTTTGTGACCCCCTGGACCAGAGCACGCCAGGCCCTCCTGTCTTCCACTGCCTCCCGCAGTTTGGTCAAACTCATGCTGGCAGCTTCGAGAACACTGTCCCACCATCTCGTCCTCCGTCGTCCCCTTCTCCTTGTGCCCTCCATCTTTCCCAACATCAGGGTCTTTTCCGGAGTCTTCTCTTCTCATGAGGTGGCCAAAGTCTTGGAGCCTCAGCTTCAGGATCTGTCCTTCCAGTGAGCACTCAGGGCTGATTTCCTTAAGAATGGAGAGGTTTGATCTTCTTGCAGTCCATGGGACTCTCAAGAGTCTCCTCCAGCAGCATAGTTCAAAAGCATCCATTCTTCGGCCATCAGCCTTCTTTATGGTCCAGCTCTCACTTCCATACTTCACTACTGGGAAAACCAGAGCTTTAACTATACAGACCTTTGTTGGCAAGATGATGTCTCTGCTTTTTAAGATGCTGTCTAGGTTTGTCATTGCTTTTCTCCCAAGAAGCAGGCGTCTTTTAATTTCGTGGCTGCTGTCACCATCTGCAGTGATCATGGAGCCCAAGAAAGTAAAATCTCTCACTGCCTCCATTTCTTCCCCTTCTATTTGCCAGGAGGTGATGGGACCAGTGGCCATGATCTTAGTTATTTAGATGTTGAGCTTCAGACCATATTTTGCGCTCTCCTCTTTCACCCTCATTAAAAGGTTCTTTAATTCCTCCTCACTTTCTGCCATCAAGGTTATGTCATCTGCATTTCTGAGATTGTTGATGTTTCTTCCGGCAATCTCAATTTCGGCTAGGGATTCATCCAGCCCAGCCTTTCGCATGATAAATTCTGCATATATATATATATATATACACACACACACACACACACACACACATATATATATATATATATATATATATATATAATGAACATTACCATATATCTAAGACCTCAAAATTCCTATCACAACTGCAGGGTTTTTTGTAAGCGACCCTGTTAGCCGCAGACTTCCTTTTTTCTTTTTCCATTTTGCATTGCCCTTGGCCAACACCGGCACCCTCCTCCTCCTGCCACCTTTTTTGTTCGGGACGGGGAGAGCGGACACGCGACTGTCCATTCACACGCCTCTGGCAAAACTCGCGGGTTCCATTTCCCCACCCCGTTGCAAACCCGGAACCTCCCCTTCCAAACACCGAGGCGCCGCGCGCCGCTCTAACAGCTTTTCGTATCTCTATGGGTAGGGTGGGGGGGGAGCGTCTCGCGAGAGGGATCCCGAGCCTTCCAGCTCTCGCGAGACGCGAGTGGGCGGAGTCGGCGGGGTGTCATGGCCGCCTCCAGTGGCTGCCCATGAGTTGCTGTTGGGGAGCTGCTGGGAGGTAAAGGGGCGCTCCTGTTCTCTGGGCGGGGGAGACTGGGAGGGGGGCGCTTTTTCTGTGCTTGCACCCCCCACCCTCCAGCCCCTCCCCTTAAAATAGGTAATTTATTTACTTTTTTTTATTGCGCCTGCACTTTGTGTTTGGTTTTTTTAAAAATATAATTTTTATTAATTTTCCATTTAATAATATATAATCACATCATTATTCTCCACTTTCTGGCTCTCTAGAGCCTGTCGACTTCCTTCCCTCCCACCTCGTGGCTTCCAAAATTGACCTTTTTATCATAGCATTTAATACGTTTTAATTAAACTCTTAATTAATTTTAATTAAACTCGTTACAAGGTACCTCAAGATTTAAATAAACGTGAAAAGGAAGATGATTTCTCATTACAAGGCTTCAGGCAACCCTACTGGTGATGTTAATGGCTTACAATGTTTTTTCAAATACTGGATAAATTATTCCAATCTTTTTGGAATACTTGATCGTGCTGGTTTTGGATTTTTTCCCGTCAGCTTCACCACTTCTGCAAAGTCCATCATTTTCGTTGTCTTCTCTTCTATTGCACCTGTACTTTGGAACTCTCTGCCTGTTGACATCTAGAGTTCGCTGTTCTCTTTTTAAAAAAGCCCAAAACATTCTCGTTTACACAAGGCTGCTTGGAAAGTTGGCGTGAATCTTGATCTGCTTTAATGTTTTCACTTTCTTATGTTTTTAAGTACGTCTGATCTTTCCTCCCCACAATTTTATTGCTCTTTTCGTGAAGCAATTTGAGGTTTGTTCATTTCACTTTCTTGGATTTTATCACTTTTTGTAAATGGCTTTGAGGTTTGTTTTCTTTCATTACAATCTATACATCATTATTATTCGTTTCTTTTCGACACCACTTTCTCTTTTTGTGTGTGGGGGGAGAATCTCAAAGCGGTTTTCAAGCCTTTTATATATTAAATTTGTATACCACCTAAGGGTGGGTCAGAGAATAAAAAATGCAAAATAAAAATACAAAGCCCACATTAAAACATCCAAGTAAAACAACCCAGAATGAAACATCACAGAAGAAAGTCAAGTATAAAGTATGCGTTCGAAGCAACATAATTAGCAGAAAACTGAAATATTATCTTGAAAGATTTCAAAATAAAACATGCAGCATAGTTAACAAAAAAGGTTATCATAAAAACATTACAAAGGAGGTCAAGTACAGAAGGCGCATTTAATGCAGCAGTGTTAACAAAAAATTATAAATATTTCAAAAGAAAACATTACTAAAGGAAGTCTAATATAAAATGCACATTTAAAACAGCATATGTAGCAGAAGGATGAAAAATTAATATTATGAATCTTATGAAATGAATAATATTCCAGCTTTTCTGCTTGGAATATGGGGTTCTCCATGTCATTTAATCCCCTTACCTTGGGGTAAGTTAGGAGGAGAGAGGCAGTGATTCAGTGAGCTGCTTCATGTATTCGAGTGGAGGAATTTGAACCCTGGTCTCTCTCCTAGGTCCTAGTTCAGCACTCTTAACAACTTGCCCACCACTGGCTTTCTTTGCACTTATTATTTTCAGCACTCTCAGTAGGCCTGGGGAGCAACAGGAGTACAGGGAGGCTGGTCTCTCCCACCCCCAAGTAGCTTAAACACTAAAACCTAGCACACGGTGACTTAAAAAAACCTGCGGGAAACTATTCTGTTCCTTCAGTCTTACTCCGGCAATTAAGAGTACATCTTCCACAATACAGTTATCTGATTCCTGATTTTGACGTTTTTTGTTTGGCTTTATGTGTAAATCTTGTAACCCGCTCTGGTATTTTTTCTATGAATAGAGGTATATGCTAATTCACAGCTAATTCTCCCCTAGTCTCCTCGCTGGCCCAAATAGGACTAATTCAGCCAGCTAGCCCTGGTGATCATCTAATGTTTATTGGATGGATTTCCCCCCTAAATTGATTTTTGAATTCTGAATTTATTATTACGTTTTATACGGTATTTTATGCTGTTTTTTGTTGCATCAATTAAGTGTTTTAAATCTTTTGTTAGCCGCCCTGAGCCCGGTTTTCTGAACTGGGAAGGGCGGGGTATAAATAAAAATGTATTATTATATTTTATTATTTTTATACATAAAATAACAAAAAGGACCTTGAGCTTGGCCCAGCCGCAAATTGATTCCTGAGTGCTAGAAGTCTACTCTTGCCCCTTTCCGAAAAAGCTTTCCCCGCCCCCAGATTCATTCCCCTGAGGACGTGCTTGTGTTTCTCTTAGTCATGAGGTGGGTTAAAAAAAACTAAAATACCCGGCAGGGCACCTGTGCCAATGGGAAATCCTACTCAACAGTTCCCTTTCATGTGGACTAGCAACTTGATTTCGTTTTGTTACTTTTGAAAAAAGCTGAGACTGGCAGGCTACTGTATTCTGTGGTTGCTGCAGAATACGTTCAGTCCTAATGATGGCTGGAATATTTGGGTATCAGTCTGGGCCATAGCTGTCAACCGTCCCTTATTTGGCGGGAAAGTCCCTTTTCCCGGCGCCGTGTCCCGCTGCTGTCCCTTATTGATGACGTCCCTTAAATTTCCCGGGTTTCAAAGGAAGCAGCTCCTCTCCCTCCCTCCCTGCCGGCCAGGGAGGAGGGAGGCTCCAACTGCGTTGCTTGGCTGCGTTGCTCACCCAATAAGGAGTCTGAGAACGACTGGGGGGTGGAGCTTGCATGCCTTGTGCCGATCAAATCGGCCGCATTGCCTGGGGACTCGCCTTTGCTCAGCGCTTCCCAGCAGAGAGGTGACAGTAGTTTTCCTTGCTGCATCCCCTTTGCCAGGTTGCTGCGCTGTGGGAACCACCGCTTGAGGCTTCGTTTGGCTGCTGGTTGACTAAAATCCCTTATTTTGGCTGCTGATCCCTTATTTTCAAATCTGTAAGTTGACAGCTATGGTCTGGGCATTCTTATTTATTTTGCAACTTTTTCCTTCCCGTGCAGAATCCTTCCTCCCTCTCGGCAACCTCCACCTCCTTACGCTGGGATGAATGAAGCACCCGACGCTACAGTACACTCAAGCTTTCCCTGGTGGTCTGGCTTACATAAACACTGTCCTCTTAGTAGTAGTAGCGGTGGTGCCTCTTAGGAGCAGCTCTCGAGGGACCCTCTGAGGTTTGTGTGATGGATGCCGAGCCGCCCCTTGACCATCAGGTTATGCTGGAGCTGGGGCAGCCAGACGACAGCAAGGTGAACCCCGGGGCCATCTCTGGACCTGCGGCAAAGGTGCCAAGGCTAAATGGGGGCCAGGAAGACGAGGGGGCTGCTGCGGAGGCAGTTCCTGGGCCCAAGCCCCCGAAGGAAGAACCCGAGATTGGGGACACAGCGCATCACCTCAAGGAAGAAAAGGAGGAAGACGCGATTGATGGAGGAGAAATGTTGGCAGAGGAAGGAGAGTATTAGTGAGTGTCAGTTGTTGCCTTGCAGGCAGATGGGTGGAGGTCCAGCTCAGATGGGTCCTTTGCCCAGTTCAGGGAGGGGAAATAATAATAATAATAATAATAATAATAAATTTTATTTATATCCCGCCCTCCCCAGCCGAAGCCGGGCTCAGAGCGGCTAACATCAAATATATAACACATTAACATAAAATCAGACAATCAATTAAAATACATCCTCAAATCAGATCAGGATCAGAATAAAATCCAATCAGATGGCAACCCACAGGACCTTAAATGCTCACCAGGCCCAACTGTTTGTGCTGAACTTATATGGGCCTGTGAGAAAAATTGGGAGGCCACTTTCATGCAAGTTCTTAAGAAAGGGGAGAGGGAGTCAGACTGAACCCCGACCAAAGGCCTGGCAGAACAGCTTCGTCTTGCAGGCCCTGCGGAAAGATGTCAAGTCCCGCAGGGCCCTCGTCTCTTGGGACAGAGCGTTCCACCAGATCGGGGCCACGGCTGAAAAGGCCCTGGCTCTGGTTGAGGCCAGCCTAACCTCTCTGTGGCCTGGGACCTTCAGGATGTTTTTGTATGCAGACCGTAAGTTCCTCTGTGGGACATATCAGGAGAGGCGGTCCCGTAGGTACGAGGGTCCTAGGCCGTATAGGGCTTTAAAGGTTAAAACCAGCACCTTAAACCTGATCCTGTACTCCACCAGGAGCCAGTGCAGCTGGTATATAGCTGGTATAGAAAGATGATTTTTTAAATTATTGATTTAATATTTGTGCTCCGCTTTCCCAACAACAAATGTTTAGCTCAAAGCATCTCACAATAATCACAATAGCTTCTTCTTCTTTTTTAAAATGCAATTGCTATACTATTAAACACAGCATTGGCTAAATGCACTTAAAGGCATGAGCTGCCAGCGTGGCTTATCTCACCAAAATTGCTTAGAAAGGTGCCTACACATTTTGTTTCATAACTTTCTTTGTTTTACTTGAAAAAAGAAGTAAACTTAGCCTTTGCCCTCTTGCAGGCATGAGCCCTAGTGCATTTGCTCTTTTTGCACTGTTATAAATCTGGCCGTGCAAATAAAAGCAGGTTCAGTTGCATAATCCAAGATCACTTAAGGATTTACACAGTTAAGGCCTGCAGGCTCTCACTCCTTAACATTACAAACAGGATGCTTAACTTCAGTTTACTTGTACTCAGTTTGCCACACTAGTTGTGGTGTTTAACGCATAAGGCCAGAACAATAGCAGCTACTGGGAGACCACAGAAGCCAGCTTCACGGACCTTTAAGTTACGCACATTTAGGAATTCCATTGCCTTTACACATGCGTAGAAATTAAGCCGCATGGTAAGCAGAGTCGGAACGGCCTTGTCGGAAGAACAAAAGTAGCGTCGTAGGTACAGCCTTGAGTGAAAACAAGGCCATAGATTCATCTATCAGTGCTAGAAAAATCCCTCACTCACCTTCACAGGCAGCTTGAAAGCCTTACACCATCCTTTCATTCACTGTTCTCTTCAGACTTACTCTTACTTCTTATTCCACTGTGTTTATCGATACTTTGATCCACCACAAATTGCAGGGAGGCTGGATTTCAGAGTTCTCTTTCTGAGGGTGAGGCCCCAGCGTGTCTGAGCGAAGGGGGTGGTCTCCTGTAGCCTTTATTATTATTATTATTATTGTTATTGTTATTTATTAGAAATAGGGGTAGAGGTTTGAGATAGGGATTGGACTTAGGGTCAGGGATAGGGTTGTTGATGTTATTATTATTATTATTATTATTAGGGATTAGGGAGCTGCCCAGAGTGACAGGGGAAACCCTGCCAGATGGGCGGGGTATAAATAATAAATTATTATTATTATAGTATTCCTATAGAAGCTCCTGCCCTTCCTTTCGGGCTGGATCCTGGGAGGGGAATGGGATGTTAGCAAGCTTCACAAGGGGGTGGCTGGGTGTTCCTGGCTTAGCACAGCGTGACTTTCCTTTTCCTTCCCCTTCTAGCTTCCCGACCTACGATTTCTCGCAGGCCCCCAAACCTCTGACAGGCTCCTGGGTGGAGTACAGCCACGTACAGGAGAATTTCCTTAAAGGCTGCAAATGGTGAGTGGACTGGAATCGTAGAACTGTAGACTTGGGAGGGATCCCTAGGGTCATCTAGTCCAACCCCCTGAATCGCAGCTGAAGAACCCCTGACCGATGGCCGTCCAACCTCTGCTTAAAAACCTCCAAGTAAGGAGAGTCCACAACGTCCGGAGGGAGACCGTTTTCACTGTTGAACAGCTCTCACGGTCAGAAAGTTCTTTCTGGTGTTCGAGTCGGAATTTCCGTTTCTTGCCACCCAGTTCTTCTGATTTCCTGGCTTTTGTAAGGAGCAAAAACACGCACTGCTCCCTTCGCTCTCCGCCTTCGTCACTGGCAAATGTTGAAGCTGAACTATAGTTTTCCAGAATAGTTGGATTTTGGGACACTCCCACCACGTGTGGAGGTATGTGCCTGTGGAGGTGCACCCTCTCCAGCATTTTGGTGAGGTTCCTGGGCGTATTAGCGCTAGTTTTCTTGGTGTTAGGTACCACCTGTAGGTGATTTTCAGAGTGAGTTCTTTTCTTTTTGTTGATATGGATTTAAAGGGGGGTTTAGACCACATTCTGGTCCATTGAGTGGGGTTAATCTCATAACCTATGTCATCCTCCCATTGTATTTTGATTGTGTCTAGGGAGTTTGTGGGATTTTGTAGTACTATTTTGTATATTGTGGAAACCATCCCTTTACCATGTCCCTTTATTGTTAGGAGGTTTTCGAAGATTGTCAGGGGCCTAGCTGCTGCTGATTTTACTACTGGATTGTTTAAGAGGGCATGTAATTGGTGATGTGTTAACCAGGACATTTGGGTGTCTTCTAGTTTGTCTTGAATTTCTTGTGTTGACAAAGGTTTGTTATTTTTATAGAAGTCTATTGTAGAAGTCTAAGGTGATATAGACGTGGGTGGCGCTGTGGGTTAAACCACAGAGCCTAAGGCTTGCCGATCAGAAGGTCGGCGGTTCGAATCCCTGCAACTGGGTGAGCTCCCGTTGCTCGGTCCCAGCTCCTGCCAACCTAGCAGTTCGAAAGCACGTCAAAGTGCAAGTAAATAAATAGGTACCGCTCCGGCGGGAAGGTGAACGGCTTTTCTGTGTGCTGCTCTGGTTCGCCAGAAGCGGCTTAGTCCTGCTGGCCACATGACCTCCCGGAAGCTGTACGCCGGCTCCTTCGGCCAGTAAAGTGAGATGAGCGCCGCAACCCCAGAGTTGGCTACGACTGGACCTAATGGTCAGGGGTCCCTTTACCCTTTACCTATTAGATGATATAAGCCTTTGGTTTGCCAGGTTTTCAGCTGGAGGTTTTGTGCTGGGTGATGGAATAATGTGTGGTTCGCTAGGGGAATTAGTGGGGATGGGGTTGGGGAAGCTGAACTATAGTTGAACTGTGGAACTCCCTTCCACAGGAGGCTGCGACGGGCTTGAAAAGGTCTGGACAAATTCATGGAGGGGGAGAGGGCTATCGATGGCTCCTAGTCAGGATGGCTGTGTTCTGTCTCCCCAGTCAGAGGCAGCGATGCTCCTAGTTTCTGGAAACCACAGGAGGAGAGAGTTGCTCTTGTGCTCAGATCTCGTTAGAAGTTTTCCTGCAGGCATCCGGTTGCTCACTGTGAGAACAGGACACTGGACTAAATGGGCGATGGGCCTGATCCAGCAGTCTCTTCTTATGGTGTTTTCTTCAACCCTTTCACAGCTTATGAAAAGGCCCCTTCCTTCTAATAACTTGTTGTCTTGTTGGTCTCTGACTTCTCTTCTTGAGTAGAGTTTGAGAACTCTTTTTAAAAATAATTTTTATTAATTTTACAATTTAGAATACTCATTTAAACATCCTCAAAATATCAGTGATTTCCCCTCTTCACTTTCTGTGGTTCGTTTTGTATATCATAAATCCCTGCATGTTTTACATAAACTAAAGCATTTCTTAAGGAAATCAGCCCTGAGTGCTCACTGGAAGGACAGATCCTGAAGCTGAGGCTCCAAGACTTTGGCCACCTCATGAGAAGAGAAGACTCCCTGGAAAAGACCCTGATGTTGGGAAAGATGGAGGGCACAAGGAGAAGGGGACAAAGGAGGACGAGATGGTGGGATAGTGTTCTCAAAGCTACCAGCATGAGTCTGACCAAACTGTGGGAGGCAGTGGAAGACAGGAGTGCCTGGCGTGCTCTGGTCCATGGGGTCACAAAGAGTCGGACACGACGAAACGACTAAACAACAAAACAGCAACAAAGCATTCAGTATTCCATTATTACATCCATCAAAACTTATTTACATTGTTGATTTCATCTTAATGCTGCCAACGTTTTTCAAGTGTACACAATTTCTCCCCATAAATTCAACAAACATTTTCCAATCTTCTTTAAACATATGTTCTCCTTGATCTCTTATTCTATATGTTAGGTCCGCAAACACTGAATATTCCATCAGTTTAAGTTGCCGTTCTTCTTTGGTTGAGACCTCCATTTTTGGGCTAACAAAACACGGGCCGCAGTAGTGGCATACATAAATAACATTTTTTGACGCCTGGGAATTTCCATCTGAATTATCCCCAACAAAAAGGACTCTGGTTTGTTTGTTTGTTTTTTGGAAAGGTACTTTTAAACGGTTTTTTCCATTCATTATGAATTATTTTCCAATACCCTTTTACAGGTTCACCACATATGAAAGAATGTTCCCGAGTTTGGAAACCCTTGATGGACAGCAATGGGCCGTTCCTTTGGGGGGGGCAGGGAAAGATGGGGATGGGGTAATCATATTTGGGGAGACGGGTTGTGTGTTATCTCTTTCCCCTTTTGCTGTATAACTTGGCTTCCCTGAGCCTCAAAACGATTGCTTGGGCCCCGTGGCCTATCATAGTCTGGACCATGGGTAGGCAAACTAAGGCCCGGGGGCCAGATCCGGCCCAATCACCTTCTCAATCTGGCCCGCGAACGGTCCGGGAATCAGCGTGTTTTTACATGAGTAGAATGTGCGCTTTTATTTAAAATGCATCTCTGGGTTATTTGTGGGGCCTGCCTGGTGTTTTGACATGAGTAGAATGTGTCCTTTTATTTAAAATGCATCTCTGGGTTATTTGTGGGGCCTGCCTGATGTTTTTACATGAGCAGAATGTGTGCTTTTATTTAAAATGCATCTCTGGGTTATTTGTGGGGCCTGCCTGATGTTTTTACATGAGCAGAATGTGTGCTTTTATTTAAAATGCATCTCTGGGTTATTTGTGGGGCATAGGAATTCGTTCATTTCCCCCACCAAAAAAATATAGTCCGGCCCCCCACAAGGTCTGAGGGACAGTGGACCGGCCCCCTGCTGAAAAAGTTTGCTGACCCCTGGTCTGGACAGACAAGGGAACAAGTTGCCACTCTGCTCACCAACAGCGTGCCCCTTCCCACCTCTCTCCCCAGGGCTCCTGACGGGACTTGCCTGCTCACCAACAGTGCTGACAACACCCTGCGGATCTACAACCTCCCTGCTGAGCTGTACGCAGAGGAATGGGGGACCGTCTCTGAAATGGTTGGTAGCGGTATGAGTGCCGAGCGTGCGTCTTGCCTGCCTGCCAGCGCATGTTTGCGTGGGGAGGGGAAGAGGCAAATTCTCCTGTGGCAGGAATCAGGGGGCCTCTGGCCCTCCCAAAGTTGCTGGGCTCCCCCTCCCATCATCCCAAACCGTTGGCCATGCTGGGGGGCGGGGCGGTGGCGATGGGGAATTGCAGCCCCAGAAATACCTGGAGGAGCTGTAGGTGTCAGGAGCTCGTCCCTACACTCGAGTAGGACCCTGGCAGAGACACGTGCCCGGCTGGCATGTTCTCTCCCTCCTGGTCGATCGTTCGGGAGCTTCAAAAGCTTTCTTCAGCCCGAACATCACAGCGACCGGTGCCAACCGACACCGGCACACTTAGGGATCCACAGAGTCTTCGTATTTTGCGTGACAGACCTCAGCAACTCAGCATTTTGGCTAATCTAGTTTATTTACATATAAACACACACGGAGCACTGCAACATGGCTCCCTCTCTCTAGCAGCAGACAGCAAAGAGAAATAACTAATAATAATAATAATAATAATAATTTATTATTTATACCCCGCCCATCTGGCTGGGTTTCCCCAGCCACTCTGGGCAGCAAACAACAAAACACTAAAATACAATAACCTATTAAACATTAAAAGCCTCCCTAAACAGGGCTGCCTTTAGATGTCTTCTAAAAGTTTGGTAGTTATTTTTCTCTTTGACATCTGGTGGGAGGGTGTTCCACAGGGCGGGCGCCACTACCGAGAAGGCCCTCTGCCTGGTTCTCTGTAACTTGGCTTCTCGCAGGGAGGGAACCGCCAGAAGGCCCTCGGAGCTGGACCTCAGTGTCCGGGCAGAACACTTCCACTTCACAGTAACACAAACATCCTGTTTCCGTCACTTCCCACTTTGTGGAGCCAAAACATATACCGTCATGTGAAAGACAAAAATCCCATGGCTGCAATAATGGATCAGGAATTCTAAGAGTAGGTTCCACGTTGGGGGTGAGCGGTGAGATTCCAGAGTTTGCAGGCGATGCTAAATGGTTCAGGGTCCTCAAAACGAGATGGGGTTGAGCTCCGAAAGGACCTCTCCAAAGTTAGCAAATGGCGTGATAAAGGGACATAGGCAGTTCAGCGAGAGCAGGTGCAAAGCGGTGCGTGCAGGGGCAGGAATCTTCCTAACATCCACGGGTCTGAACTGGCATGATTGGCCGGGAATGAGGCCTCGGGCAGGTAGCAGATCACTCAATGAAGACATAGACCCAGAACGCAGCAGCGTGCAAGCTGTGAAAATAAGGCAGATTCTGTGACCATGAGGGAAGGAACTGGAAACAAAATTGCTGATAGCGTAAAGCTGTTACACAAATTATTATTATTATTATGGGGAAGTGTGTGGAACAGGTCTCGGTATTTCGATTTCTGGGAATGGAATTGAGAGATGCTCTAACCTGGGGAGAAAACAGTAAAGACCTGATGAAGAGAGCACAGCAGAGGCTATATTTTCTGATAATCCTCTGGAAAAACAATCTCTCAAAGGACCTTTTGATGGCATTTTACCATTTTACTGTGGAGAGTGTATTAACTTATGGTCTGTGTGTGTGGTTTTCTTGTGTGTGTGTTTCTTTGTGGCTGATTAGCTGCTCTCCCTGTGCAAAGGTCAGAGGGGGCAGGGTTTCTGTTGAGGCAGGTGATTAGCTGTGGGAGGAGCTTGCAGGGCAGCGGCGCGTGCCTAGTGGCGCGCGCAGTTTGATCCATCTTTTAGATTTAGGGGAGCTAGTCTCAAACGTTTGTTGGGGGAGACCTAGGTTTTTTGGGGGGAGTTATTTGTCCTGTCTTCACGCTTTTTATGATGGAGGACCGCTGTAGCCACCCCCAACGACTCGTTCTCAAGATGGAGGGGGAGGGAACAGCTGCAGTCGCCTGCGGTTCCTGCGCAATGTTTGCCATCTTGCCAAAGGTTGCAGGCAGCTTTACCTGCAGCAATTGCATGTTGATTGCCCTCTTAGAAGACAAAGTCCAGCAACTGGAGGAACGTGTAGCTACGCTCCAAAGAATTAGAGAGCTGGAGCTCTTCTTGGAAGCAACAGAGCACACCGTCTCCACCAAGGAGGAGACAGGGGACTCCCCTGAGAAGGAGGCTAGTTCACCAACACAGGAGCCAGATATATGGAGAAACGTGACTCAAAGAAGTAGGAGGCCCAGGGTTCGCTCTGATTGTTTAGAAATACACAATCGCTTTGAGGTCCTCTCCCCTAGCATGGAAGACGAAGAGCAGACTCCATTTGAGGATCTCTCCTTCATTACAGTCGATCAGGTATATGAAGACGAGCAGCAAAGTCAGTTCTCAGGGAATGTGCAGGCGACCTTGGAACGGACAGCTCATGGAAGAACCCCGACCAAACCTAAGAGGAGGCGTGTAGTGGTGATAGGGGATTCCCTACTGAGGGGAACAGAAGCAGTGATCTGTGGGCCTGACAAGATGTCTCGGGAAGTGTGCTGTCTCCCCGGGGCTAAGATCCAAGATGTAACTGAACGACTGCAAGGAATCATAAAACCCACTGACAAATAACCCTTCCTCTTGGTTCATGTGGGAACCAATGACACTGCAAGCAATAGCCTCCAGAAGATCAAAAGAGACTACGAGGCTCTGGGCAGGAAATTGAAGCAATTAAATGCTCAAATTGTCATCTCATCTGTCCTCCCAGTTGAACGACGTGGCCCAGGGAGAGAGGGAAAAATAGTGGAAGTGAACAGCTGGCTTCGCAAATGGTGTAAACAGGAACGGTTTGGATTCTTAGATCACGGACTGCAGTTTCTTGAAGATGGACTTCTGGCAAGCGATGGGCTGCACCTCACAACGGTTGGGAGGAATGTTTTTGCCAAAAATCTCAGAAACCTCATTAGGAGGGCTTTAAACTGACTAATGTGGGGGAGGGAGACAGTGCTCCTGAAGGTAGGAGTCTATCAATTGATGAAGATGATCATCCAAATGTCATAGACCAAATGGAGCAAACAGCACGCAGACCTAGTGGTGAGAGGAAAAAATCCTTAAATAAGAGACACGGGAGAATGATTAATGGACTTCAGTGTCTGTACACTAATGCGCAAAGCATGGGAAATAAACAAGATGAGCTTGAGCTCTTGGTACAGCAAACTAAATATGACATAATAGGCATCACTGAAACCTGGTGGGATAAGTCCCACGATTGGAATGTAATAATGGAGGGATACAATCTATTTCAGAGAAACAGACCAGACAAGAAAGGAGAAGGAGTGGCGTTATATGTCAGGGATGTGTATACCTGTGAAGAGATCCAAGATTTAGAACCTCAAAGCCAAAGTGAGAGCATTTGGGTCAAAATTAAGGGAGAGAAGAATAACAGTGACCTCATTGTGGGAGTTTACTATAGATCCCCAAGCCAAACGGAGGACATAGATGATGCCTTCCTGGAACAGATGGCCAAGCATGCAAAAGGAAGGGAGATAGTAGTAATGGGGGACTTCAATTACCCGGATATTTGTTGGATGTCAAACTCAGCCAAGAGCATAAGGTTAAACAGATTCCTCACTGGCCTTGCAGACAACTTCATTGTCCAGAAAGTGGGAGAAGCAACAAGAGGAACAGCCATTTTAGATCTGGTCCTAACCAATGTTGATGACCTGGTTAGTGGGGTAGAAGTGGAAGGATCATTAGGCGCGAGTGATCATGCTCTTCTGAAGTTTACTATACAGCGGAAAGGAGCAGCCAAGCATACTAGGACTCAATTTCTTGACTTTAAGAAAGCCGACTTCATAAAACTTAGGGAAGTGCTGGGTGAGATCCCATGGACAGTAATACTAAAAGGAAAGGGAGTTCATGATGGCTGGGAGTTTGTTAAGAGGGGATAGTAAAAGCACAACTTCAGGCAATACCAATGAGACGGAAACATGGAAGGTGCCTAAAGAAGCCAGGGTGGCTATCTAAAGAACTTTTAACTGAGTTAAGATTAAAAAAGGATGTGTACAAAAAAATGGAAAAGGGGGGAACCACCAAAGAGGAATTCAAACAAATAGCCAGCACATGTAGACACAAAGTCAGAAAAGCTAAAGCACAGAATGAACTCAGGCTTGCTAGAGAGGTTAAAAGCAACAAAAAGGCTTTTATGGGTATGTTCGTAGCAAAAGGAAGAACAAAGAAACAGTGGGGTCACTCAGAGGAGAAGATGGTGAAATGCAAACAGGGGACACAGAAAGGGCTGAACTCCTCAATGCCTTCTTTGCCTCAGTCTTCTCCGATAAAGAAAACAATGCCCGACCTGAAGAATTTGGAGCAAATGATTCAGCAGAGGAAACACAGCCCAGAATAACTAAGGAGATAGTACAAGAATACTTGGCTAGTCTAGATGTATTCAAGTCTCCAGGGCCAGATGAACTGCATCCAAGAGTATTAAAAGAACTGTCAGATGTGATCTCAGAACCACTGGCAGTCATCTTTGAGAATTCCTGGAGAACAGGCGAAGTCCCGGCAGACTGGCAAATGTTGTCCCTATTTTCAAAAAGGGGAAAAGAGGGAACCCAAATAATTACCGCCCAGTCAGTCTGACATCAATACCAGGGAAGATTCTGGAGCAGATCATTAAGCAAACAGTCTGTGAGCACCTAGAAAGGAATGCTGTGATCACCAATAGTCAGCATGGATTTCTGAAAAATAAGTCATGTCAGACTAACCTGATCTCGTTTTTTTGACAGAATTACAAGCCTGGTAGATGAAGGGAATGCAGTGGATGTAGCCTACCTTGATTTCAGCAAGGCATTTGACAAGGTGCCCCACGATATTCTTGTAAAGAAGCTGGTAAAATGTGGTCTTGACTATGCTACCACTCAGTGGATTTGTAACTGGCTGACTGACCGAACCCAAAGGGTGCTCATCAATGGTTCCTCTTCATCCTGGAGAAGAGTGACTAGTGGGGTGCCACAGGGTTCTGTCTTGGGCCCGGTCTTATTCAACATCTTTATCAACGACTTGGATGATGGACTCAAGGGCATCCTGATCAAATTTGCAGATGACACCAAACTGGGAGGGGTGGCTAACACCCCAGAGGACAGGATCACACTTCAAAACGACCTTGACAGATTAGAGAACTGGGCCAAAACAAACAAGATGAATTTTAACAGGGAGAAATGTAAAGTATTGCACTTGGGCAAAAAAATGAGAGGCACAAATACAAGATGGGTGACACCTGGCTTGAGAGCAGTACATGTGAAAAGGATCTAGGAGTCTTGGTTGACCACTAACTTGACATGAGCCAACAGTGTGACGCGGCAGCTAAAAAAGCCAATGCAATTCTGGGCTGCATCAATAGGAGTATAGCATCTAGATCAAGGGAAGTAATAGTGCCACTGTATTCTGCTCTGGTCAGACCTCACCTGGAGTACAGTGGTGCCTCACAAGACGAAATTAATCCGTTCTGCGAGTCTCTTCATCTTGCAGTTTTTTCGTCTTGCGAAGCACGGCTATTAGCGGCTTAACTGCTATTAACGGCTTAGCGGCTTTAAGAAAAAGGAAACAAACTCGCAAGAACTCGCAAGACATTTCGTCTTGCGAAGCAAGCCCATAGGGAAATTCGTCTTGCGGAACGACTCAAAAAACGCAAAACCCTTTCGTCTAGCGAGTTTTTCGTCTTGCGAGGCATTCGTCTTGCGGGGCACCACTGTACTGTGTCCAGTTCTGGGCACCACAGTTCAAGAAGGACACTGACAAACTGGAACGTGTCCAGAGCAGGGCAACCAAAATGGTCAAAGGCCTGGAAACGATGCCTTATGAGGAACGGCTAAGGGAGCTGGGCATGTTTAGCCTGGAGAAGAGGAGGTTAAGGGGTGATATGATAGCCATGTTCAACTATATAAAAGGATGTCACATAGAGGAGGGAGAAAGGTTGTTTTCTGCTGCTCCAGAGAAGCGGACACGGAGCAATGGATCCAAACTACAAGAAAGAAGATTCCACCTAAACATTAGGAAGAACTTCCTGACAGTAAGAGCTGTTCGACAGTGGAATTTGCTGCCAAGGAGTGTGGTGGAGTCTCCTTCTTTGGAGGTCTTGAAGCAGAGGCTTGACAACCATATGTCAGGAGTGCTCTGATGGTGTTTCCTGCTTGGCAGGGGGTTGGACTCGATGGCCCTTGTGGTCTCTTCCAACTCTATGATTCTATGATTCTATGGTTTGGGACTTGCACGGTCAGGGGAAAAAACAACGCTGTCCAGGGTTGTAAAGACTGTGGAGAGAATAACTGGGTGCACTCCTCCCACCTTGGATCAAATCTACGCTTCCAGGTACCGTACGAAAGCTGCAGAGATAGCGCAGGACAGTGCGTACCTTGGAAATGATCTCTTTCAGCTTCTGCCTTCTGGAAGAAGGTACAGGGTTATAAAGACTAGGACTAGCCGCCTGAGAAACAGTTTCTATCCAAATGTGGTTTTGCTTTTAAACACAGTGTAAGGTAGTCTCTGTGGGCGTATATTGTATTTAATTGTGGGGTATCAGAGTTTTTAGGGGGCTAACCGGGTTGGGATAGCTGGGATAGCAGGCTTGTTGGCTTTTGAATGTCTGATATAGATTTTTTCAATTTCGTTGTTCTACATGGGACAATGACAATAAAGATTATCGTATTATTATTATTATTATTATTATTATTATTATTATTAAGATTTATATACCACCCTTCATCTGAAGATCTCGGGGCGGTTCACAGGATAAAATCTCAGGATAAAAGCACAAGATAAATAGTTAAAACAAAACAAGGTGTTTGGAACATGGTTCTGGTCGCCTTGCCTCAAAAAAGGATTTTGTGGAGCTGCGAAAGGTCTCACTGACCTTGCTCTTCCCTAGAGCGCAGAACAGAGGAGGATTCTGGGAAAGACCTTGCGTCGCTTTCCCAGGCGCGAATCTTCCTTTGTAGGGGATGTCAAAGAGTGGGGGGGGAGCAAAGGCTGGATGGGGGCCAGTCTTCCAGACTAACGCAGGAAATATTCCTGCGAAGGTGGCAACTTTGGTCGCGATCTCTGCTCCAGACAGGGTGCTCATTTCTCTCTCTCTCTCTCTCTCTCTCTCCAGAGTCCCGTCTTGCGCATGGCAGAAGGAGACACCGTCTACGATTACTGCTGGTTCCCGCTGATGAACTCCTCCGACCCGCAGACTTGTTTGTAAATCCATCTTTCCCCTCTTTTCCCCCCTGCCTTCCTCTTCTTCCCCAGTTGCTGGTGGGAATAAAAAAGAAAGAAAACATTTTGCCAAGTAGCCGGAAGAGGCTCGAGCTTTGAACAGCCCCAGGAGAGGAGTCCGGAAAAGCCAATTGCCGAAATAATTGAACGCTGCCTTAATTAAATTAACTGAATTGAAATTAACCACCGCCTAATTAGAAAGGTGGGGCTTTGGAAAGGGAGCTGGAATCTGTACGTCCCCTGCCCTGCCCTTGTGGTTTGACAGGTGGGCGGGTAATAATTAGACAGTTTGCACTTATCAGTTACAATAAATAATTACTCATCTATAATCTATTAAAATAGCAGCAAATCACAATGCATAAAATACCGCAAATCATACAAAAGGATGTAAAAGGATTAAATTTAAGAAACAAACACACACAACTTATAAAATTATTTTCAAAACAAAACAAAACAAAAAAACTATCCTTGAATTCTCCTCTCAACTGCCTCTGCTGTTCTCAAAGTCACGGTCTGGGAATGGCTCCCAGGGTGGGGGGTGGGGGGCAGGCAAGGCAGGTGGAAGCCATTGCCTGCAGACAGTGGCCCACTCCTCGTCCTGTTCTTGCAGCTGCCAACCACATGCCCCAGTGGGAGACCTCTCTATTAGCTGCGGCCAGCAAAATTCTTGCAAGGATCTTAGCAAACCGTCTCTTAACAATATCTGAGTTGACCCTTCCTGAATCCCAAAATGGTTTTCGGCCTTCTAGGGGGACAGTGGACGTGATTTTCACCGCTCGACAGCTCCAAGAAACATGCAGAGAGCAAAACCAACCTCTGTATATGGCGCTTATTGATTTGACTAAGGCTTTCGACACTGTAATAATACTAATAATTTATTATTTGTTCCCCAGCCACTCTGGGTGACTTCCAACAAAGATTAAAAATACATTAAAATGTCACACATTAAAAACTTCCCTGAACAGGGCTGCCTTCAGATGTCTTCTAAATGTCAGGTAGTTGTTTATCTCTTTGACATCTGGTGGGAGGGCGTTCCACATGGAGGGCGCCACCACCGAGAAGGCCCTCTGCCTGGTTCCCTGTAACTTGGCTTCTCGCAGTAAGGGAACCGCCAGAAGGCCCTCGGAGCTGGACCTCAGTGTCCGGGCTGAATGATGGGGGTGGAGACGCTCCTTCAGGTCTACTGGGCCTTTGAGGCCATTTAGGGCTTTAAAGGTCAGCACCAACACTTTGAATTATGCTCGGAAACGTACTGGGAGCCAATATAGGTCTTTCAAGACTGGTGTTATGTGGTCTCAGCGGCCACCCCCAATCACCAGTCTAGCTGCCGCTTTCTGGATTAGTTGTAGTTTCTCAGTCACCTTCCAAGGTAGCCCCACATAGAGCGCATTGCAGTAGTCCAAGCGGGAGATAGCTACAGCATGCACCACTCTGGCGAGACAGTCTGCGGACAGGGAGGGTCTCATCCTGCGTACCAGATGGAGCTGGCAGACAGCTGCCCTGGACACAGAATTGACCTGCGCCTCCATGGACAGCTGTGAGTCCAAAATGACTCCCAGGCTGCGCACCTGGTCCTTCAGGGGCACAGTTGCCCCATTCAGGACCAGGGAGTCCTCCACACCAGCTCCCCCTGTCCCCCCAAAACAGTACTTCTGTCTTGTACTGTAGATCGCAATGCCCTGTGGACTGTTCTCCTGAAAATTGACTGCCCAAATAAATTTGTGAACGTCATTCGGCTCCCCTATGATAATACGGCAGCAGCCATCGCAGATAACAATGGCTCTCAAAGCGAACCATTCACAGTGGGATCAGGTGTTAAACCTCCAAGCAGGACCCCCCAGCGCAAGAGCACACTCCCCTCACTATTAATTCATCGCTCCCTCCAGTTGCAGACGCAGGGCACAGCCGCCATCACTAGCCCTCTCCTCCGCGAATTTGCCCGGGCTCATCCAGGGTTTGTCTTCGGCATTTATGCCCAAGTGCAAGGTGGCACTGGGAAGTGAGTGAGCACTGCCCACCCTTTTGCCTGCCCCTTCCTTTCCAGCTCACCCGGCCCCCCGGCTGCCCCTCACTGGCCCTCCTTCTGCTTCTCTGCCCCTTGCAGTGTTGCCAGCAGCAGCCGTGACAACCCCATCCACATATGGGATGCTTTCTACGGAGACCTGCGCGCCACCTTTCGACCCTACAATCACCTGGTGAGCATGTGCCCGGGGGGTGGGTGTGTGTCGCCGGCTTTGCCCGGCAGACGTGGTGTGGGCAATAGCAACACCCTAGAGGTCCCGGGCCCTAAAGAAGTCAGATTAGCATCAGCCAGAGCCAGGGCCTTTTCAACACTGGCCCCCGCGGCCTGGTGGAATGCTCTGTCTCATGAGACCAGGGCCCTGCAGGATCTGATTTCTTTCCACAGGGCCTGTAAGACAGAGTTGTTCTGCCTGGCCTTTGGCTTGGAATCAACTTGATCTCCTTCCCCTCTTTCCTTTTTCCTTTCTCCTTCTGTGATGGAACTCCTATTTGGGGACTTCCCTGGCTTTTTTCTGGCCCAAGTAGGACCAGTCTGAATAGTTGGCCTTGATGATGAGTTGATGTTTTTATCCCCAAAAAGGGTTTTGATTGAGTTCTACTGAAAGGAGGCTGCATTTTAATGTTGTATTTTAATCTTGTTTTTTAAAATTGTTTTTATATTTGGTGTTAGCCGCCCTGAGCCCGCTCTTGGCTGGGGAGGGCGGAGTATAAATAAAAATTATTATTATTACTATTCTCCTGGAGTTGGTTCCCGCTGACCCTCCCATTTTCTCGCCAGGATGAGCTGACGGCTGCCCACTCCTTGTGCTTCACCCCGGACGGCTCGCAGCTCTTCTGCGGCTTCGACAAGATCGTGAGGGTGTTTGACACGTCGCGGCCCGGGCGCATGTGCGAAAACAGGCCCACCCTCGGTGAGTCGGCCTCAGATCCATCCGGGGAGTTTCTGGGCAAAGCAACATCTCCCCTTCTCGGGTGCTTTGGGGCTGAGGGACCCGTTGGCGTGTCTCGATGGGGCCAGGAGCAAAATGGCGGAGGCAGGAATCTGGTCGGAGTGTGGTGTCCTGGTCGAAGTGTTTGGACTATGACCCATGAGACCAGAGTTCAAATCCCCCTCAACCCATAAAGATCAATGGGTGATGACTTTGGGAGCCAATCCCTGCTTCTCTCAGCCTTGCCTACCTCACTGGGCTGTCATTGGGATTAAATGAGGAGAGGGTGTACCGTGAGCACCTTTGAAGAAAGAAGCTGGGATACTAATAAGTCCCGGTGCCAACAGCAGCCAGTCATAACCTTAGAAAGGTCAAGGTAAAGGGACCCCTGACCATTAGGTCCAGTCGTGGCCGACTCTGGGGTTGTGGCGCTCATCTCGCTTTACTGGCCGAGGGAGCCGGCGTACAGCTTCCGGGTCATGTGGCCAGCAGGACTAAGCCGCTTCTGGCGAACCAGAGCAGCGCACGGAAATGCCGTTTACCTTCCCGCCGGAGCGGTACCTATTTATCTACTTGCACTTTGACGTGCTTTTGAACTGCTAAGTTGGCAGGAGCAGGGACCGAGCAACGGGAGCTCACTCCGTTGTGGGGATTTGAACCACCGACCTTCTGATCGGCAAGTCCTAGGCTCTGTGGTTGAACCCACAGCGCCACCCGCGTCCCCCGTAACCTTAGAAACCTTGGCTAAAATCAGATGTGTGTCTTTTTAAATGAGGTAATTGGCTGTTGCGCTGCTCTGGGAAGCCTAAGAGATGTGTGTCGGTGTCGTTATAAGAAAAAAACTGCTCCATTTCCCTTATGGGGTACTTTGGAGCCCATACAGAGCCCTTAAGTGGGTTCCCTATCGGCTGGAGAAAATAACAGACGCCAACCAGAGTATATTGAGAAGCAAAGCAGCTAGTAAGCCTGATCTTTATTGATCTGTTGTAACAGGGTCCCCCACTCACCACATGCAGGAGGGAGGAGAGAACCCAGAACAAGCCTTTATATAGACTTTTGAAATTGCCCACCCTGTAGCCCAAGACCACCCCCCAAAGCATTATACATACATAACAGAAGGAGGCGGTCTACAGCGGAAATCCTGTCTGCCAGGATACCTGATAATGGTCCCTGATTGCAGTGTTGATGCGCCTCCTCTGGAAAGTTGTCCCATAACCTTGGGGGCAGTTGCAGAAAAGGCCCTGCTGCGTCCTGCATCTGTCCCTGCTCTCCTGAGCATAAAAGCAGCCTGTTCACCTAGTCCCGGCATCCTGTTCTCGCAGTGCGACCAGCCTGTGGGAAACCCAATGAGCAGGATCCGAGCGCAAGAGCCCCTTCCCGCCCCAGCAACCAGGATCCAGAAGCATCTCTGCCTTCGACCATGAAGCCTAGCAGCCCTCGATAGTCCTCTTTGAATTTGTCCAGTCCTCTTTTGAAACCATCCAAGCCGGTGGCCACCGCTGTCTCCTGTGGGAGGGAGTTCCGCAGGTTAACGCTGCACAAAGAAGCCCTTTCTCTCCTCTAACCTCTCCCCTCTCCGGTCCCCCAGTGAAGAAGCAGGGCCAGAGCGGGATTATTTCCTGCATTGCCTTCAGCCCGACGCAGCCCATCTACGCCTGCACCTCGTACTCCAAGACGGTGGGCCTCTACTCCCAGGCGGAGGGCGACCCCCTCACCATGCTACATGGGCACCAGGGGGGCGTCACCCACGCCCTCTTCTCCCCGGACGGCTTCCACCTCTTCACCGGGGGGCGCAAGGTGAGAGCTTACCTGTGGGGGGGGGAAGCTGAGGGCTGGGCACAGGCGAGAGGGGCATTGTGGGCCGGGCCCTTAAGAACCCATTGAGTCCAGCATCCTGTTCTCACAGTGACTAATGGTAATAATAATAAATAATAATAATCATAATAATCATAATTTATTACTTGTAACCCTGTCCATCTGGCCGGGCCTCCCCAGCCACTCTGAGCTGCTCCCAACAGGATATTAAAAACACAATACAGTGGTACCTCGGGTTAAGAACGTAGGTAATTCGTTCTGGAGGTCTGTTCTTAACCTGCGGTACCACTTTAGCTGATGGGGCCTCCTGCCGCCGCCGCGCGATTTCTGTTCTCATCCTGAAGCAAAGTTCTTAACCTGAGGTACTATTTCTGGGTTAGCGGAGTCTGTAACCTGAAGCGTCAGTAACCCGAGGTATCACTGTAAAACATCAAACATTAAAAACTTCCCTGAACAGGGCTGCCTTCAGATCTCTTCTAAAGATAAGATAGCTGCTTATTTCCTTCACATCTGACGGGAGGGCGTTCCACAGGGCAGGCGCCACCACCAAGAAGGCCCTCTGTCTGGTTCCCTGTGACCTCACTTCTTGCAGTGCGGGAACCGCCAGAAGGCCCTTGGAGCTGGACCTCAGTGTCCGGGCAGAACGATGGGGGTGGAGACGCTCCTTCAGGTCTACTGGGCCTTTGAGGCCGTTTAGGGCTTTCAAGGTCAGCACCAACACTTTGAATTGTGCTCGGAAACGTACTGGGAGCCAGTGTAGGTCTTTCAAGACCGTTGTTATGTGGTCTCGGCGACCGCTCCCAGTCACCAGTCTAGCTGCTGCAATTTTATTTATACCCCGCCCTCCCCGGCCAGAGCCGGGCTCAGGGCGGCTAACACCAGTAATATTACAATAAAAACATAATAGGAAAAAAAAACACAATTTAAAATACAGGTTAAAATGCAATTTAAAATGCAGCCTCATTTTAAAAGTAGCCCATAAATCAGTCCTCTACTCTATGAATTTGCCTAATCCTCTTAAAGCCATCCGGGTTGGCTGTCCTGTGGGAGTGAGTTCCACAGTTTTAATACCCACGCAAAATGCTTCATTCGCCCAGCCTTCAGTTATTTCTGGCAAGTGTGGACTTTATCCTCTCTTTCCTGGGAATACGTGGGGGAACAGGAGTGAGACTTCAGGTTCTCCCATCTCCCTCGAAGTCTGGGGCAGCATTCCCCAACCCGGTGCTCCCAAGCTGTTTTTGTCTATCGATCCCATCAGCCCCAACCAGCACAGACCAAAACCAGCTGGAGGGGGCGCCACCTTGGGGAAGGCCGGCCTGGGGGAAGCGGCCTGTGATGGGGGCTTGCTGTTGCCTTTATTTTCCAGGACACTGAGATCCTCTGCTGGGACCTTCGACAGCCAGGCGAGGTCCTGTTTTCTGTGTCCCGGACAGTTGCCACCAACCAGAGGCTCTATTTCGACTTAGATCCGTGAGTCCACCCTTCTCCCCCTACAAGATGATATCCTTTTCTTTGTTTATTTATTTTTGTTTAAATAATACAGGAAAACAACAACAACAACAACAACGAAAGAAAGGGCCTGTAAGACAGAGCTATTCTGCCTGACTTTCAAATTGAACTTAGCCTGATCTTTTATTCCCCTTCCTTCCCTCCCCCTCCCCTTTTTTTGAAGATCACCCGCTCTGGGATCCCACAGCTAATTCTCCCCTGGTCTCCTCGCTGGCCCAAATAGGACTAATTTAGCCAGCCAGCCCTGGTGATCATCTAATGTTTATTGGATGGATTTCCCCCCTAAATTGATTTTTGAATTCTGAATTTATTGTTATTCACGTTTTATACTGTATTTTATGCTGTTTCTGTTGTTGCATCGCTTAGGTATTTTAAATTTGTTGTTAGCCGCCCTGAGCCCAGTTTTCTGAACCGGGAAGGGTGGGATATAAATAAAAAAATCTATTAATATTATTTACTATTTTTCCTCCGCAGGAGTGGGAGATTTCTCCTGAGCGGCGACACAGAAGGACTGGTCAGCGTCTGGGACACGGCTCGGGCCCCCAGCAGCAGCAACAACCCGGCTCACCCCCTTCTGGAGCCCACCTTGCAGTTCCAGGCTCTGAGTGACTGCGTCAACGGGATCAGGTACTTATTGGGGGGGGGGTGTTGAGGCCCTGCCCTTAATTCAGAGGTGGAAACGGGGTTTTAGGACCCCTGAGGGTTGGGATTATTGCAGATATTTGAAGATGGCCCTCATCTCTCCTCTCGGTTTCTTCTTCCCCAGGCTAATAATAATAATAATAATAATAATAATTTATTTATACCCCGCCCATCTGGCTGAGTTTCCCCTTCCACTCTGGGCGGCTCCCAATCAAGTGTTAAAAACAGTACAGCGTTACACATTAAAAACTTCCCTGAACAGGGCTGCCTTCAGATGTCTTCTGAATGTCAGGTAGTTGTTTATCTCTTTGACATCTGGTGGGAGGGCGTTCCACAGGGCGGGCGCCACTACCCGAGAAGGCCCTCTGTCTGGTTCCCTGTAGCCTCACTTCTCGCAATGAGGGGACCGCCAGAAGGCCCTCGGAGCTGGACCTCAGTGTCAGGGCTGAACGATGGGGGTGGAGACGCTCCTTCAGGTATACAGGACCGAGGCCGTTTAGGGCTTTAAAGGTCAGCACCAACACTTTAAATCGTGCTTGGAAACGTACTGGGAGCCAATGCAGATCTCTCAGAACCGGTGTTATGTGGTCTTGGCGGCCACTCCCAGTCACCAGTCTAGCTGCCGCATTCTGGATTAATTGCAGTTTCCGGGTCACCTTCAAAGGTAGCCCCACGTAGAGCGCGTTGCAGTAGTCCAAGCGGGAGATAACTAGAGCATGCGCCACTCTGGTGAGACAGTCCGCAGGCAGGTAGGGTCTCAGCCTGCGTACCAGGTGAAGCTGGTAGATAGCTGCCCTGGATACAGAATTGACCTGTGCCTCCATGGACAGCGGTGAGTCCAAAATGACTCCCAGGCTGCGCACCTGGTCCTTCAGGGGCACAGTTACCCCATTCAGGACCAGGGAATCCCCCACACCCACCTGCTCCCTGTCCCCCAAAAACAGTACTTCATGCCCAAATCTGTCAGCCATTCCTCCTGAGGCCTGTTGATGGACTGGCACTGAGGGTGGGTGGGTGGGTGGCACTCCCCTCACCCTTACTTGCCCACCCGATGTCAGGGACTGGACTGAAGAGGAATGGTGGGGACCGCCCCCCCTTGCACTTCCTGAGAAGAGGGAGACAGTATAGATTTAGAACAGTGATTTGCAGAAACTCCAGCGGGTGCAGAATGCCGCGGCGAGGCTCCTTACGGGGTCCTTGCCGCGGGATCACATTCACCCAGTGCTTTTCCAGCTGCACTGGCTCCTGGTGGAGTACAGGGTCAGATTTAAGGTGCTGGTTTTGACCTTTAAAGCCCTATGCGGCCTAGGACCCATGTACCTACGGGACCGCTTCTCCTGGTACGCCCCGCGGAGGACCTTATGGTCTTCAAACAAAATTATCTTGGAGGTCCCAGGTCACAAGGTGGTTAGATTGGTCTCAGCCAGGGCCAGGGACTTTTCAGTACTGGCCCCGACTTAGTGGAACGCTCTGTCCCAAGAGACTAGGGCCCTGAGGGACTTGACATCTTTCCGCAGGGCCTGCAAGACAGAGCTGTTCCGCCTGGCCTTTGGTTTGGACTCGGTCTGACCCTTATGTTTCCCTCCCCTTACGGTTTCAATCTTTGGGCTACTTTTAAAATGAGGCTGCATTTTAAGTTGTATTTTTAACCTGTATTTTAAATTGTCCCCCCCCCCCCCGCTATTATGTTTTTATTGTAATTTTACCAGTGTTAGCCGCCCTGAGCCCGGCTCTGGCCAGGGAGGGCGGGGTATAAATAAAAATTTATTATTATTATTATTATTATTATTATTATTCAGAGGCTGCAGAGGGGAGAAGCTGGGAAATATTGGGAGGGGAGCAGGAGGAAGAAGGAGAAGAATCACCAGGGGAGAGACAGCTGACAGACGGCGTCTTTAGAAAGCATTCCAGATCCCTCACTTCTCCCACAACCAGGCGGGCATTGAGAGTAGGAAAACAGAACCTTTATGCACATGTGGTAGGACTGCGTGAAGATAAGAGAATTTTGGCATATAATATACAATGAACTCAAAAAGATCATAATAATAATAATAATAATAATAATAATAATTATAATTATAATTATTTATTATTTGTAACCCACCCATCTGGCTGGGTTTCCCCAGCCACTCTGGGCGGCTTCCAACAAAGATTAAAAATACATTAAAATGTCACACATTAGAAAGTTCCCTGAACAGGGCTGCCTTCAGATGTCTTCTGAATGTCAGGTAGTTGTTTATCTCTTTGAGATCTGGTGGGAGGTCGTTCTACAGGGCGGGTGCCACCACCGAGAAGGCCCTCTGCCTGCTTCCCTGTAGCTTAGCTTCTCGCAGTGAGGGAATAAAATACCATGGTGAGAACTTCTTGTTTTCCCAGCCGCGAGGGAGGGGGACCTGGTTCCCTGAAGCCTGACCCCCCCTGACTTTTTGCCTCCTTCTCTTAGCCTCCACCCCAGCCTGCCCCTTCTGGCCACGGCTTCTGGCCAGCGCAAATTCCCCGACCTGTGGGACAGCGAGGACGACGACCAGGAGAAAGGGAGAAGGCCGGCCGCTCGCCACCAAGACCACGGTGACAACTCTCTCCAGCTGTGGTGGTGCTCCCCGGGCACCGGGGCGGAGGAGAAGCCCCAGGCCCCCCCGTAGCCTCGGCCCCCTTCCTCGTGCCTGCCGGGGTTTGCGAGGCGGCCCAACGCCAACGCTTGATACTGCCACAGGGCTGCGAGGGTACGGGACCTCTGGCGTGCCACAGGTGCCCTCGGTCCATGAACGTCGCCGTGTTTATATGTTTCTACGTGTGGCGCTTTTGTACCAAAGAGAGAATGTGTGTCGTGCGAGGGGATGTTTGAAAACTGTGTGTTTTTTGACAGGACGGAGCTAGGTGTTGCCGTAGGGACTGGATTTTCTGCATGCTCTGAAGGAGAGATGTTGGGTCACGGCAGAATTGTCACTGTGCCTCTGTGGGTTGGAGGCACGAGGGTAAGGAATCTCTCCTGTCCCAAAAAAACCAGTATTTTCCTTCTCTCGCCCGGCTAGCGGAAGCACTAGCTCCACGCAGGGGAAAGATTTTGGGGCGCCTGTGTGTCGATCTGAGTCTTGTGCTTGGGAACTGTATGTATGTATGTATGTATGTATGTATGTATGTATGTGTGTGTGTTTGCTGTTTTTTATATAAGGGGAGAAGAATTGGATTTTTTGGATTTTTCCATTGCCCCCCACTTTTCTGTGCTCTGTAAATAGTTTTCCACCCCTTGCCCAACGGGTGGGCCGTGGTGCTGACTCGCTTGGGGGAGGGCAGGGTTGTTGTGGTGGGTTTTGTGAATGTTCGTCACCAGTTGCTGTTTCCTGGCAAAAGAATACGTCCTCTCATTGGCAAGTAAGTGATGCAGGTGATTAATAAAAGTTTATGATGATTGTAGCTCTTGGTTTTTTTCTAAGTCTTTGCCTTTCTGGAGGGGGAGGGCGTTGGTGCGAATTCCGACACAGGATTACGAAAAGATGCAGAGAAGGTGCTGTTTCTGCGCATGCGTGCGGTGCGGTTTAGCGCTTTTGTGCATGCGCGCGCGACGAAACCCAGAAAAACACTTCCGGGTTTGCCATGTACGTATCCCGAAGGATACGTAACCAGAGGTGACCGCAACTAGAGGTACCACTGTACTTTGAAAGGTCTAAGACTTTTCCTGCCTGTTCTGAAATTAGGATTTTTAATTATTTTTTAATCTTAAAAACAGAGAACCTTATTTCATGCAAACATCCGCTGTAAAAATGTACGTTAGTCCTGCAAGGTAAGTTAATGCAGAGAACTTGCGGTGTATTTTTAAATACAGGCTTTCAAGTTGCATGGGTTTCTGTTGGGGTGGGGAGAATTTGGGGCTTGTGATCATTGCAAATCTTGGCCCTCACTTTTACATGGAAATAGGTCAAACAAGGGGTGAAGTTTGAAGCTTGTTGTCGTTTAGTCGTGTCCGACTCTTTGTGGCCCCCTGGACCAGAGCACGCCAGGCACTCCTGTCTTCCACTGCCTCCCGCAGTTTGGTCAAACTCATGCTGGTAGCTTCGAGAACACTGTCCACCATCTCGTCCTCCGTCGTCCCCTTCTCCTTGTGCCCTCCATCTTTCCCAACATCAGGGTCTTTTCCAGGGAGTCTTCTCTTCTCATGAGGTGGCCAAAGTCTTGGAGCCTCAGCTTCAGGATCTGTCCTTCCAGTGAGCACTCAGGGCTGATTTCCTTCAGAATGGAGAGGTTTGATCTTCTTGCAGTCCGTGGGACTCTCCAGAGTCTCCTCCAGCACCAGAATTCAAAAGCATCCATTCTTGGGCGATCAGCCTTCTTTATGGTCCAGCTCTCACTTCCATACATCACTACTGGGAAAACCACGGCTTTAACTATACAGACCTTTGTTGGCAAGGTGATGGCTCTGCTTTTTAAGATGCTGTTTGAAGCTACCCACATTTTAAAATGGCCATTGTGGATGAGATAAGGGGGGAATATTCTTGGTGCGTGAATAATTTCTAGTCCTTTATCTCAGATAAGCAGGAATCATTGTTTGAATTTCTTGTTTTATTGGCTATTATGGGAAGGGTGCTGCAAGACTCGCTAAGTACCATAAGGGGGCAGCCTCTCCCCACATATTTCTTGCTTCTGTAAATCTATTCTACGAGATTCCACAGTTGGGTATTGTGGTTGCAGTTGAGGAATTTGAAGAAAAAATCTGTTTGTTCCCTTCCCGCCCCCCACCCAACATTATTTCTGAGCCGATCACCCAGTTCCCCCCTGTCTTTTTGCAGAATATATTAATGGGAGGTGAGGGCGAGAAGGAAAGCAGTTCCACGCATTTGGGGCAGCCTAGAAGGTCTTGCCTCAGGAAGGTTTTCCAGAAATTTTGAAAGGCAAATAATCCTAGTAAGCTTATTATTCATTAAATTTGTTAGTCCCTTATGGGGGGAGTATTGGGTGGTTGTTTTTAGTTTGCTCTTGTATTTTGAGGTTTTATATTTTGATTTTATTCTGCGAACTGCCCTGGGACCTGCGGGTATAGGGCGGCATATAAATTCAGTAAATAATAATAATAATAATGGGATGCGGGTGGCGCTGTGGGTTAAACCACAGAGCCTAGGACTTGCCAATCAGAAGGTCGGCGGTTCGAATCCCCGCAACGGGGTGAGCTCCCGTGGCTCAGTCCCTGCTCCTGTCCACCTAGCAGTTCGAAAGCATGTCAAAGTGCAAGTAGATAAATAGGTACCGCTCCAGCGGGAAGGTAAACGGCGTTTCCGTGCACTGCTCTGGTTCGCCAGAAGCGGCTTAGTCCTGCTGGCCACATGAAACGGAAGCTGTACGCCGGCTCCCTCGGCCAGTAAAGCGAGATGAGCGCCGCAACCCCAGAGTCGGCCACGACTGGACCTGATGGTCAGGGGACCCTTTACCTTTAATAATAATAATAAAAATACATTGCTCAGGGCAACCCAAAGTGACTTACGACCAAACATCAGACGAAATCCTCTACAGAGAGATGTTAAAACCAACAGGGGTGAAAAATGCATCAGAAACATCCCTCCCAGTTCTGAAAGTTGGGGAAAACGTGGAGATAAGTGTCTGACTGGGGTATCATCCACCATTCCCTTTTACTCTGCATTACAAGGCATACAGCCATCTAAGTCTCCTCTCCAAGGCTTTTTCCAAGCAATCAGAGACTGCGCCTGCGTTCAGCCAACCTCTCTGCCCTTTTCATGCCTCTCCTTGTCGTGGGTAAAAAGATTAAGGACCCCTGGACAGTTACGTCCAATCAAAGGTGACTATGGGGTTGCGGCGCTCATCTCGCTTTCAGGCCGAGGGAGCCGGCATTTGTCTGCAGACAGCTTTCCGCATCATGTGGCCGGCAGGACTAAACCGCTTCTGGCACAACGGCACACTGTGACGGAAACCAGAGCGCACGGAAATGCCGTTTACTTCCCGCCACAGCGGTACCTATTTATCTACTTGCACTGGTGTACTTTCGAACTGCTAGGTTGGCAGGAGCTGGGACGGAGCAACGGGAGCTCACTCCTTTGCGGGGATTCGAACCGCCGACCTTCTGAATGGCAAGCCCTAGGCTCTGTGGTTTAATCCACAGCGCCACCCGAGGGAGGGAGGGAGACCCCCATGATTCTTCATCAGCCTCTCTCTGCCTCCCTCCTCTCCTGCTTTGTTCTTCTGCCTCTCGATTCTGGACTGCTCTCTGCCACAGATTCCTCCCGCTCACTAAGCCCTGTTGCCCCTCAGCTTCCGACACCTCTTCCCAGTCTTCTCTCTCTCTCTCTCTCTCTGACTGCTCGTCGTCCCACCACCATTCCCTGACCTCTGAGCCTTCTTTCCTTGGGGGTTCCCCAGCTGGTTCCCCCCCCCCCAGCATCCCTGTGCGTTCAGCCAGTCCTTGACACACATTCTATGGACCTGGGCATCGTCTGCGTGCCAAGCAGATGATCTGATCAAAGCCTCCTTCCCCAGAGCCATAGCCGGGTGATCTTGCGCCCCTGGCAGAACCGTCCAGATTGCGCCCCTAGCCACAGACAAATCACCGTATTTCTCCGTGTATAACACGCCACCTATTTTGGGGGACTCCAAATTAAGAAAATGGGGGGAGATTGCCCAGAGTTACTGAGCTTTTTTGAGGGAGGGGTTTGCCCGCCCAATTGCCGCAGCCAAAACCAATCAATGACAGCCCTTGCCAAAGCAATGACCGATAGCCGCTGACAATTTCCGGCTCGCGGCAACAACCAATCCAACGTCCCCCCTCTGCACTATCCGTGTATAAGACGACCCCCAATTTTTAACGTCGCTTTTTTAATTAAAAAAACCTCATCTTATACATGGAAAAGTACGGTAGCTTTTCTTCCCACCTCTCCTCCAACACCCCCCCCACTCCACCCATTCAACTTCTCACACATTAATCAATATTTTTATTTATAGACGTATTTATGGACATATTTTTAAGCTGATTTTGCACGCACCCCTGGCGGGGGCCCACCTCACCACCCCCTAGCTACGGCTCTGCCTCCAAACCACCATTCTCTTTTCCAAATCACGACACAGCCCCGAAGGATGAGTCTCTCAGGCTAGATTGGTGAGGCTGGTTTTACTGGGATCCTTGCTTTTGTCAATGAGTCGGACATGATGAATCCAGCAGCCCCTTTTTATCACATCTTGGTGGGCAATGCGGTTTTGTCTCTGCACGGATCCAGTTCTCAAACTGGCTGAGGGGACCCTTTCCAGGCGGGCAGGCAGGCAGATAGATAGATTTACAGTTTATTTTTCTGGCAATTTTTTCAAGGCCGCTCTCATCCATGGAAGAGCGGAGGAACGCATAAATAGCAAAGTAAAAACGTCGAAAAGCTTTGAGCCGTAGCTTAAAACCACCAAGCGTTCAAGAACTGGGACGAAACAGATAGGTGTGTCCCTTCGAATTTAGCAAACTGGGCTCCGTCAAGGTTTTCCAAAGCTGATGAGGAGCCACCACGAAAAAGGCCGCCTCCTCGGATGTCTAAAGTCTGACAGTGGAAGCCAGAGAAGATCTTCAGCTGATGATCATCACAGGTGAGGAGGTTCATAGGTGGTCAGGCCGGTCCTTCAACACATTTGGGGTGGGTGGGTTCCTGAACTTCTCCCGTCTCCCAATTAACTTCCATCTCCAGGGCTGGTCCCCATGAAATCACAAGGGCTGCCCCAAGGTCTCAGGTTTGGGACTTGAAATCTTAGGGTCTGGGATGTTCTGGGCTTGACCACCCTATGAGTAGGTGACCCAGAAGAGGGTGCCCTTTTCAGCCATCTCCCTGCCCCCCCCCCAAAAAATATGGATTTCAGTTCCATGTGAGATGCTAATGTTCCAACGGGCCTTTTTAAAAACCACAGCCTTGGACACAAATTTAAATCTGCAAATTAGGTATTGAATTTTTTTCTACGCCAGCATGCTGGTTCGTGCACCTCGGTGGGGGGGGGGTGTGTGGAAGTGGATTTTGAACATTGGAACATTTTTATTGTTGCGTCTTTTGTAGCACCAGCAGGCGCGAGCGGCTCTTGAGGGCTGCGTCCGCCTCAAAGAAAACCAGCCTGTGGGTGAATTAAAAACAAATTTAATTCTCCGTCCCTGATTATCGCCGTAAAGAAATATAACTCTCTTCACGAGGATGGGTGGGGGGGACGGCTTTCTTCGGTTCAAGGAGCCCTTGGCCCCCTCCCCAGAGATGAGACGTCGCTTAATTTCAAAATAAAAATAAATCCCGGCTTCTTCGCCCAGCCTGAACGTAACTAGGTTTCAAACCGGCCGGTAAAAGGGTTTTTATTTTTATTTTTTGGGGTGGGTGTGTGGTGGTGAGCAGGATTTGCACACACACACCCGTTCTCCCTCGCCTCTTATCCTGCTGGCTCTGCCCCCCCCCCGCCAT